ACAGATAGGAAGGGAAACGGGAAGGGCCGGACAACAGAAACACCCTGTTAGGAGCTCTGAGTCAGTCCTGGCTGTGCTGAAAGACTCATTCATGTGCAACGCCTACTCATGTGGGGCAGACACAGAGCTGTTTTCCTTGCGGCGAGGGACCCCAGGCCGCTCCAGCACACACGGCGAGGAAGCCCTTCAGATGCATGCCTGGCTTCTCAGATCTGCTGGCGTCGGGATGTGTGGACAGAGCACCAGATGCTTTCCTGCCCCAACGCCTGCCTGCGATTCCCCCTAAGTGGCACAACAGCACTTCAGGTGTCTGAAAAGAAAACAGCCCCCTCCACCCCAAAATAAGGGGGCTTCCCTCTATACCCAGGGGACCCCAGGTCACACCGAAGTGTGTGTGCATTGTCACGCGTGTAAGTATGTGTGCCCATGCATGACTGCATGCGTGTGCATGTGCATAAATATTAAAATCCCCAGGCCAGCTCCAGGACCTGGCAGCTTTCAGCACCGTTGTAATGTCAAGGCCGCGGAGATAAGAAATAGGGGTGAGTCATCTCACGCTTCACATTCAGTCCCAAAGAGGGGCAGTCCTTCCTCTACTACCACGGGTGGGGACTGGGGATGGGACTGAGGATGTGAAAGTGGAGGAGAAGCTCCAGGCCAAGCACTTTCCCACCAAATATGTTGTGATTTCTTTCTAGAGGTGGATGCCGCCTGCGGAGTCTCAGCAATTCCCAAAGGAGGGATTTCTCAGCTGCTCCCAGCTTGCCGGAAGGGCAGGGCAGGGCCGTTCTGCAGCCTGTGGGGAAAGTGGGCAAGAAGGAGGGAGGTCCTGGGATTCCCCCCTTTTCCACAGTGCAGGGAAGCTACAACTCAGGAAGCAACTGGAAACGGGATGCGGAGGGGAATGCCGTCGTTATTTGTTTTTCGGCACCAGGCTAAGACCTTTTTATTTAAAACTTATTTTAATTGTTAAATTATTGCATTAATTAGGATTTTAAAATTTTTAGCTGAGAATGCACCAGGGGTTTTTAAATTTTTTTTAATTGTTATATTATTATTATTTATGTATGTTTTTATGTATTTTTTGTGAGCCACCCCGAGGCTTTGTTGCAATGGGGGTGGCATAGAAATGGTTTAAATAAACAAATAAATAAATAAAGCAAGGGACGACCTGGAGATCATTCTCCTACAACCAGGGTCTAAACAAGCCAGGCTTTGGATCAATTGTGCAGTTGAAGCAATGAAAGGAGCAATCCTTTGTATGTTCAGACTCAAGAAAAGTCCGGAGATGCCCAGCTGTGCATGGCCAACTGTAGTGGGAGGCAGAACCCAGAGAAAGCCTCTTGAAATGGGCCTGGCCATTGGCAGGAGATGCCCCTCCAGGCATGGTGGACCGGAGCTGGTTAGAGCTTTCGGAGTGAGCGCTGTGATTTGAGCAGCCGGCTGGCAACTTCGGCTCAGGGGGCACATGCTGGGAGGGCACAAAACTCTCCTCCCTCTGCTGAACCGGGCTGCACCCACCCATCTGCACTACGAGCTGTGCAGCCCCCGCTGATCCAAATTCTCCCGCCTACAAAGCAGGGAATGGAAAAGCTCTTCGCGGGTTCCAGGCTGTGCTGGAAGGCTGGTTGTAGGCTGGCTGCGGGGCTGACTGGGAGCGCTCTGCGTATGGGCAGAGGATACCCAGAAACACTGGTAGAAGCCGTGACTTGTCACTCAGAAGGATGTTTTGAAGGTTCCACTGGATCAGACAAATGGTCCGCTTTGCCCAGTGCTTGCCTGGGGCTTTGGAGGGCCCTCTCACAGGATGCCCCCCATGGGCCCCTCCCTCAGTGAATCCACCACCATCCTGCTGCTCAGGGAACACCGATCTTCAGGGCACCAGCTCATGTAGGACACGCCTGTGCTTTCCCCCGGGAGCGGAGTTTCATGGGCTCATCCGGACTCAGTCCTGTGTTTACATTTCGCTGCCTCCAAGCTGGTGATTCAGTGCTGAGCCTTCCGTTTGCTTGCCATTGACTCATGCCGTCTGTTAACACACAGTGCCTCGTACTGGCCCTTTCTGTTTTCCATCCTATCTTGAGATAAGGGTTTCCATGCCACCAGGTGCAGTTTCTAGTGACTAGAGCAAGTACCAACTATTGTTACCTGGGAGGAACCTCTGGAAGGTTAGAGAAGCCATTTTAGGAAGAAAAAGCATTTGGGCATGAGAAGAATCCTATTTTTGAGTCCTTTCAACATGTTTAAATTGTTTTTGCATGTATGTTTTATTCCTTCACACAGAATATAGTTAAACTGTGGCATTTGCTGCTTTGGGAAGTGGGGATGGCCCCCAATTTGGATGGCTTTCTAAAGGGGTTGGACAGACTCATGGGGGAGGAGGCTTTCTGTGGCTGCTAGCTTCGCTGCCCATGGGCTACCTCCATCACCAGAGGCAGCGTGCCTGCACACCCCTGCTGCTGAGGTGCTGGGGCAGGAAACCTCGCACCCATCCTGCTTGAGAGATCCTGTGAGCAGCTGGTTTGCCACTGCGCATATGGAGTGTTGGACTAGACGGACCTTTAGTCTGATTCAGCATGCCTTTTTATTTTCTTATGATTTAAATATTTACACCCCCCATGTCAGCTGCAGTCTTTACGTGTGTTTTACCAGTTCTGTAGAACTTCTTTCCATCTAAATATGCACAAGGATTGTATATTTTGAGATATTCTTAAATGAAGCAGGAGGGAAGTATTACGAATGAAGCGACTGGCAAACTTAACTGATCCATGAACAGGCCTCTGGCTAAGGAACCAGAAGTATAAAACAGGAATGCAAATCAAACGACATTCCTAACAGAATGAAACCACTACTACTGCCGCTGCAACTATACTAGTTGCTGTATACACAAGAAATTTGAACTAAAAAAGGTCCACCTCGCGTTAGGCAGCACAGGTCTACCCACACCCATCTTTGCACTTCCACGCACCCAAGCTTGTTAAGTAGCTCCGGACCTGACATTGCACCTGCCAACTGCTTTAAAAACTGCAAAAACAAACAATCCTTGGCTGCCCGTGGTTCTGCGTGAGCCCCACCATCCCTGTTTCAGCACGCCCTGCCCTTTAGCCTACCTGTCACCTGCAACCTCATCCTTGTCTTCAGCCATGCCCGGTTTGGTGGCTTCCCTCTGTCCAGACTGACAACTTTCCCTTCCCTCGTACAACTTGGGCTGCAAGCAGGTTTGTTCCCTCGGCGGCTGTCTTGCAACTCGTTGCTCTCCCTGAGTTTCCATGGCTAATTTGGGGAGCCTCTAAAGCAGGGGTCTCAAACTCAACTGACCTGGGCGCTGCTGGAAGGAGAGTCTGTGAGGCTGTGCCGCATCAAGTATTCCACCACCGCGGTGGTGGTGGTGGGCCGCTCATCCCGCGTGGCTCCCGGAGGCTGGCCCGGGTGCCGCTGGCGCTTTGAAGGCCACAGCCCACCCCCCCCTTGCTCTGCCTGTCCCGGCAATTGGCCCGCGGGCCATGGGTTTGAGACCCCTGTTCTAAAGCATGGTTGTCCTCTCCGCCTACAGCAGATAAATATGACGGCACAGTATTTCCAAGCTGCAGTCCCTAGCCAGGTACAAAGTTAGCCCATTGCATATGTTTTTTCCAGGAGAGGAATCCTTTCTGCCTTCCTTTGTGGAGAGCCCCTCATGACATTGCCCTCACTGCAGTGACGCAGCCAGGCCCGGACCTTGGGACCAAACTCCAGAGTCTCCGAAGAAGCAGCCACCACCTCAAACCCATCAGTGCAGATACATTTTTCCTCCTCCCATTTGCATCACTTTATACTCACTTTGCCAATTTTATGCCCACCCCTTCCCTTTGGAGAGATCTTCTAAGACCCCTTCCCTGTCCCTACATAATTTGGTGGCATCAACAGACTTGGCCACCTCATCAATGATGAGCAAGTTATGGTCCCGTGACGGATCTGTGGTGGATGCAAGCCAGTAACACAATTCCTGTTTGTAGCAATGTACTGGTTGAAGCTTGAAAACTCCCTTTCTTGAGTTAGTTCATAGCCAATTATGCTGCTACCACTCGCGTTAATGACAGCTTGGTTCAAAACCTCCCCAGAAAGGTTCGCCTAGCACAGACTTTATATTCTGTTCAGTGCCAGGTGAAAATCTTTTATTTGCCCACCATTTTAAGTGATAGGAATTTTAATCTGGTTTTAACTATTTACAGTCACATTTTGATTTTCTTCCTGTTTTTGTTTTTGATTCTGTTTTGATTCTGTCTTCATTTGTGATACGTTATTGTTGGTTTTATGTATATTTTAAATTATTGTTAATTGTTGGATTGTTTGTTTTGATTTCTGGAAGCCATCCTGAGACACTTTTGTGTATAGGATGGGGTATAAATATTTTAAATAAACAAACCACCAATACACAAAGAACAATATTTTCCCCTGTATAACTAACACTCTGTTCATCCAGCTGACCCCAAAAGGTTCAGGCCATCTGAACTATGAGAAGATCTGCAGAAAACCGTATGCCCATGAACTAAGAATGGAATTAAGAAACATGGTGGGCTCTTAATGAATGTAGATTTTTAAAAATAAATCACACATAGAGATGGAGCTACTGTAGCCCCATTGAAAGCTTACCCCTCTACTTAAATTTAAACGCTGCAATAGTATCTCCACAAATGTTTTCTCAACATGAACAATGGTGGTACAAACCAATCCTATATTCTGGACATAACAGAATTCTTGGGTTTATTATTAACACATATTTCAACAGTACACACCCCATGCAATGATTTCGGTTGGACAAATCTCACAGCTCCCCTGAGAACAGTTTTACGGAGCTGATAACCTGCGTTCATGGGGGGAGCACTCTGTTGACTTGACACTTTGCTGTCGATAAGCAAAACCAAGAGAAGCTTTTGAAAACCTCAGTGGAGATTTGCCTGTTCACGCAACAACATCTTCTGAACTGCGTTCTCTCCCAGCATATGGAAACACGGGCAACCATGTTGAGATTATTTGTAATACTAGCAGCAATTACAGGTAAGATTCACACGATAAGTTGCAAGTGAAATGAAAAATGGATTTCTCCTTTTTTCGTTGTCAACCTGAGGCATTTTTGGAGGGATATACTGAAAAGAACATGACTGCGATGAACTAATGCATTTAAATAGCAATCGGGTATCCTTTTCAGTAAGTCTGCAAGTTTTGGGATAGAGAGCAAAAGCTGAAGATGGGGTATCAAACCAAATTGTTTCAGCAGATGCCCAGTTCCCAAACTTGTAAGCATGCTTTCCTTCCCTAAATGGTTGAAATATTTTTGTAAGAGCTGAAGACTGAATAAGTGGGATTTGGGTAGGTTCGTGGGTAAATTACCTAATTGTCTACAGCTGATGGTCGGGTTCCAAAGAAACATGGAACCGGTTCTGTGAACCCATATGGCTGCTAGAGGCATGTTTTCTTGAGTTGTGACTCTTGCCTCATGTGCCTCATGGAAAAGTGAGTTTCAAAAGTAGCTTGTGGTTTGATGTGGGAGTCAACTGTTCAAAGTGGGGAAGGAATAGAAGGGCTAGAACAAGCTATGAAGGACCTCAGTGGCCATGGATGGTGCTTCCAGGTGGAGGGCTCCCAGTTGCCAGCCAAATGCATTGGGGGACACATGTACATACATGTACATATTTATTTATTTAGAATTTTTGTATCCCATCCCCTTGCAAGAGCCTCGGGACGGCTCACATACAATAAATAAACAATAAATACAAATAGTGCAAATTAAAATCCATATTCACCCTGGCAGTAAATTAAAAACCTATAGGTGATATTAAAAATTGTTAAAATATTGTTTGAATAAAAAGGTCTTCGCCTGGTGCCGAAAAACAAATAACGACGGCGCCAGGCGGACCTCTCTGGGGAGTGCATTCCACAGATGGGGCGCCACCGCAGAGAAAGCCCTCCTCCGGGTACTTAGCCTCCTAATGTTTTTCATGGAGGGTTCCTGGAGGAGGGCCTCTGCTGTTGATCTCAGGGGGTGGGAGGGAAAATATGGAAGAAATTGTATCATTCCATGGATGGACCAAGATGACTACAGATAATAAGCCCTGTCTGGAAGCACCGTTCCTTTACAATACGTTTTAATGAAGTCTTCCAAATTTCCCCCAAACCCAAATGTGGCCAAATAGCAACAGTAATTTATGAAGGACCAATACCAAAAATAGCAATTGCAGTGTTGCATTTGGCAGGAAAAAATGCTGCAACCGCAGTCACTGTCCTTTTTTCGTAGTTTTGTTTTTTGTCATTTTAGTCCCTGCAGTGTGGGCTTAACCCTTGGCCTTGCATTGCATTTATTATTTATTTATTTAAAAATTAAATGCCATTCCCTCAGCCTGTTGCTCTCGGAATGGTCTACAAATGACAGTTGCTATTTTATTCTGTGCAGGCACGTTTATAAGTTTTATATTGTTGATTTATTGGAAGGTTGCTGCTGCTGCTGTTAATTTGCTTTATGTGTCTTCCCATTGCCGGAACTTTAAGGCCAAGATACCCAAGAACATTCAGAACAATACAAAGATGGATAACTCCCCACTAACCCAATAGTAAAACATGCTATGACGTTTGGCCTGCCCAGTTCCAGGGATGGTGCACTTCAAGGACTCTTGTCCATCAGCAGTTGACTCCCAAACTCAAACGGAGGAAGGCACATGGATCTTCTGTGCAACCTTACACGCTGTGCCAAGATGGACAGTTTTTCTATGATTTATTTATTAATTTAAGTTTAATTATCAATTGATTAAGCTTTTCTGACCTGTCCCCTACAAACATCTCGGGATGGCTTACAATAAACGGCTTAAAATTAAAACAGTAATAATGTCTAACTAAATCGGCATGTGCGCAGATTAGGTAATTGGGTGACCTTTGTTTTGGGTGGGTGAAGCTTGTCCTCTTCTCCAGTTTATAAATGGCCACCCCATCTGGATCTGCCTCCTGGCTTTTCTGATGTAGGGCTAGGTGGGGACAATGCATTCCCGTCTGGGCGCCACAACTGAAAACGACCTGACACGGAGCGCAGGGCCAATCCACCAGCCCTGCTGAAGGAATTCATTCTCCCCTCTGCCCTCCCCATTTTTTCCCCTTGTATGTGGGATCTGTTCAGATGGAAAGCCTGTGGATGGGGACTGTCTTGCTTAGTTGCTGGTAGGTAAGCTGCTCTGGGGACCTTTTGGGCTGAAGAGCGGCAAGGAAGTTTGTCATGGATACATATATGTTGGAAGCCGTCCCGACGCTTATGCGAATGGGACGGCATACAAAAATTCCAAATAAATAAATAAGTAAAGCTTTGTACTGCCCTGCTGCACCTTGCCGGAAGCAGGACCGATGAGGCTGACCTGCAGGAATGAGTAGGAACACAGAGGAGCAAAACCAAGTCCTTGGTGCATCACGGCCCTTGATGGACCCCTTTCCTGCTGGCCTTTCTTGTTCCCACAGGTCCCGTGAATGGCTTGACCCTGACGGTTCCCCAGAAGACTGTGAGCACAAGGGCCGGTGGCAACGTCACACTGCTTTGCACCTACCAAGCTCCGAAACTTGCACCAAATGTGCTGGTTCAGTGGAGTTTTTACAGTGCCAAACTCAAGAGCACCTCATTAGTAAGGAGCCACAGTTTTATGTTTTTAATTTTTAGAAAACGGTTTCCAAAAACAGTTGATTATCTGATGCAGACTGGTTTGAACGTGCTTCTGAGTTGTTCTTAAGGATGTTTGGTCCAAATATCTGAGTGACCTCTTGGGTGACAAAACAAGACAGCTCTGTGTTCTTTTGGAATAGCCCTCAAAAAGCCCCTTCTAATCAAACTGCTCTGGGAAGGAAATAAATCACAGTGAAACACCACATTTTAAAATACGTATTAGCTTTATTCTTTCTGAAAGAGGGAAAGGTTCTGGTTAAATCCTTCCTTATTTCATTCCAGGCCTGGCACTGAGCTTAGGAACAATTATGCATTTCCTAGGTCCCTCACCCTGGCTCTGAGGTCAATCGCATTAACTCTGAGGGCAAAGGGAAGGTGTTTCGAGGCCGAAGCTCCAGCACTAGCTTCCAAACACATTTCCAAGATCGGAGTCGGAGCTTGGGTCTTTCTCATGGCCATCTAGCCAGGGTATCATGTCACAGGATTGTGCTGGAAGGGATACAGCTCTTCTCTCTTTCCCCCTTGTTTTCCACATGTGTGCAAGCCTTTACTTCCAGCATAAAAATACGCTGCAGGCACCACCCGCAGGATACCTCTGGGTCTGTGACCGGGGAGCGCTGCAGCTCCATGACGGAGCTCACGCCTCCCCAGACCTCTGCCACTAAACCCAACATCATGAAAGAGTCTGCCCGAGGCTCTGCATGTAAGGCCAAGGGGCATGCTGGGAGTTGTAGTCCAGCACATACGGAGGTCACCAGGTAGAGGAAGGCTGAGCTACATCTTACTCAGGTAAAAGCTCTGCCAGCTTATTTAGAGACACCGCTTTGTGTTTTATGTAAAAACACAGCATCACACTTCAGTCTTAGATCAGCACATTTCTACCCAAATGCAGCACACCCCGTGCCACTATATGGATGAAAAGTCCATCAGGCATTGTCAAAAGATGGTGTACCTGAGAGATGCACGGGGAAGATGTAGCTGGAGACACCTGGTAAGTAAACACCAATTCCAGAAAGGGTAACATTCTGCTTTGATTTCTGGTGGTACTGCTTATGTGTTTCCGTATCCCTGAACAAGTTTCTGGAGACAGCTCTTGCAAGATAAAAATCGGGCTTGCTTTAGCAACCTTCTCTCCACGTAAAATTTCATTTAACTCTTCAGGATGATCCCAGATGAAGCTTTGGTTGTTGCATTACTGTGCCTCTCCCACGGAATTTTCCCAGGGTGGGGAGGCAACATCATGGTCAAATTGTGATAGCAGCCTTTGAAAAACTGAAATAACGTGCACACAAGAATCTTGCAAATGTGAACTGGTAGGGCATTTGGGCGTTCAGAAATGCTGTTTGTTTTTGCATTAGTCTCTCAGAGGGTTGGGGTGACTCATTTCAGGCAACTTGTCTGGTGCAGTTTGGGACTTCATGAGAGCATCCCAGCTTGTCATTGACTCAACACAGGTAGCAGGGCATGCTCTGGACCAAAGCATCCCTTTGGTCAGATCAGTCCAAAGTCACCCAGGGAATGGGGACTTGGACACAAATTTCTGTGGGCTTCAGACTGAATATTGGATAGATACCAATTTTAATTTTAGTTGGTAAGGTGGTTACAGTGTTGAGCTGGGATAATGGATGGATGGATGGATGGATGGATGGATGGATGGATACCTTCTCTGAAAGGATCCCAAGAATTATAGTATTTTGGACACCCACAGAGCTTCCCCTTGATCTATTCAGGGATCTGATGTGTCGACAAAGAGGTGTGGTATAAGCTTTCTTTTGCTTGTTTATATTCTATACTCTTATTTCTTATAAGCTGTGTCTCATCTTTGATTCAGGTAGTTTCGTTTCTTCCCTACATATCCTGAAATCACGTGGTCTGCTTGTGAATTTGAACAAAGGGGAGTTACTGAAGGGAGAGCAATGAACATTCCCAGTGTTCCAAACCCAGGATAGTTTCTTGGAGCCTGCCAAGGCCTTATGGCTTTTAGCTCATTAGGAAAAGCACCAGAGATCATGGCCTTGAAAATGCCTTCAAGCTTCTAGTCCTTATGTTTTTCATCATTCAACATTGTACTATTTTAGCTGGGGAGGCGATACTGGGGCACCTATTGGGCCCTACTGAGTGCTTTCACTTACTTGACCTTTACTCAAGTTCTGTGCGCATTCCTGGCTGTATTACCCAAGGGACTTTTGGTAGCTTTAGGGTGTAACCAGCTTTTGGTCAACAGGTAGATCTTGATAACATTGATGCGAAACATTAATCAACCTGGCATTCAGCGTAAGGAGCATTCCTTTTTAATACAAATGCAATCAAGCTGATCCATAAATTAAATAGAATCCTGTTGCCAGCCAGGGCAGGGACTGATAATCATAACTAAAAGGAGCAGAAAATGTCTAAGGCATTTTGGTCAACAGGCCGAGACTTCCTCAGTTCCCCTGGGTAGCTTTCCAAGGCATCTGCACTCGTCACGGTGTCCTTGGTCTCAAATCATTGACCTCACAGAGCAGAGGTGGGGGCTGCCGAAAAGACACTTGTGTGTCAGTGACCCCCAAGTGAGGGCTGAAACTTTGGAGAGCCGCTGGCCATGGGGATGTACTTGTCCCTGGAGAGTCTGCTTAGTGGCGTCAGCTGCCTGTACTTGCTGAGCACCAACACGGACACTCTCAGCAGGCTTGGACGAAAAGTTCCTTTGTGGTGGTGTAGTGGATCCAGGGCTCACAGGGAGTGGTACTTCAGCTTTTTATTAGCAGGGATAGATCTGCTCCTATGCAACCGTAGGTGCAACCCCCCTTCCCCTTCCAGGCCTCAAAGCAATGCTGTAAGATATTTTGGGGTGGCTGGCAATTACCACCCATTAGCTTTGCAGAAGACCTGTTCCTAAGAGCAAGAACTCCTAAGAACTGATCTGCTTATATGAATCCAACCATCTGCCTGTAATTTTGGGAATGTGACTATCAGAATATGTGGTTCTGCCTCGGACTTTAGCACCACACCACTGGTTGCTTTTTGTCAGAGGGAAATGTGGAAAGGAAACTTGTCATCGTTCAAGCCCTGGGGAGCAGCGGCATGGAAATATAATGCTACCTGGATGGAGCTCCTGGTGCTTTCATGCCCTGAAATTAGCTTCGTTACTCACTCCAGTTTGGAGACTGGATACAGCTAAAGCCAGATATTTCATGTCCAGATTTTGAGGCTTTTTGCTGTTGTTGTTTCTTCCCCATGCCCTTCTTTTTGCACATTTGTGAAGAATTTTTGGTGGTCCTAATTAAGATTTGCCCCATCTGTAATCTTGCAATGTTTTCCTGATTGAGCAACAAAAATTACATTGCCCCAGTGTAAAAACCCTGCAATGCAGAAATTACAATGTTAGTTTGTACGGTGGATTTTCCAGGGTATGCCAGAAAACAATATTTATCGGTAACCAATCTATCGCTTGCCGTAGATGATTAAAACTCTGGTTTCAGTCTGTAGACACCTTTCTGGGAGCACCATTGAATTCTGTGGAGCTTTCTTCTTAGCTAACACGTATAAGGGATTCCCCTGTAAATTAAGAACATACAACTGTGAACTTGCAAAATCTTTCCTGAAAGAGAAGTGACCTTATTATTAAGAGATTAATTTTGGAAGGGCAGGAAGGTTAGTTCCACAGCCAAAAAGTCACCTTAAAAACAAAGGTGTTGGATCAGGAGTAAGTCCCATACACTTCAGTGGGACTTATTTCCTGGTACGTGTTACACAACTGCAGCCACAAGTGGCATTCAAGTGTGTGACTCTGGTCATGTGAAGTCTGAAAATTGTTTTATTTTACAAAGCCTGCAACCATGTTTTGCTTGGGAATGGCCTTTGTTAGAAAGATGGTAAATATATACAGAAAAGAACTCAATATTGTTGAGTTATTGTTGTAAGCCGCCCTGAGGCTTCGGCGAATGGGGCGGCATAAAAATGTTTTAATAATAATAATAATAATAATAATAATAATAATAATAATATCCCCCTTCCTCGGTCCTGCTATGAGCTGGATTAATCCAAAGTTTTGTGCAACAGGTTTATTATTCACAGAGCAACCAGTCAGAAACCTCAGCAGCTTTTAAGGGCCGAATTCAAAACTCTAAGAACATCGGAAATGCATCATTAACCATCTTCAACATGCAGCCACAGGACACGGGAATTTATACCTGCGAAGTTTTCAATCCTGGAGACGCAAGTGGTGTTGCTGAAAAATCAGTGACTGTCAGCGTACTTGGTATTTATTTTTCTAATCTTATATTCTTCTTACTTCCTTAAATAATGTTGCATTCAGGATTAACACATGGGGACTGCAGGGTATCCTTTCTCCTAATGCTTGAGCTTCAGTTCAGTGTTCAAACCAATGACTCCTTCCAAAAGAAAATACTCTACTCCCCTTGAAGTGGAGCAAACCACTCTCTACTAGACTTGGCTGAGGAGTTCATTTAGGTCAGATTTTAATGCGAACTTACTGGATTTCATCCCATCAAAACTCTGACACAGGGACGTGAAGCAATGTGAGCTCAACACTGTGCTCCGGTCAGCATGTCCGTGGCAAAAGTCCAGGCCGATGGATATTTCCGAGCGGTCTTCAAGGGCAGTCCCACTGCGGGTGCTTCTCGGTGGCTGATCTGAGGCATAATGAATGCATGTGTAACCTACAACTAGGGCTGCCTGGGGCAAGAATGGTGCCCTCAAGTCCTGAGTCACACCAGGAGCCCACCCCTGTGTCCCCACTGCCTGCCCTTACTGATGAAGGCTCCTCGTCGTCCTCAGCCGTCCAGCCATCCGGTCGCTCTGTGGATCATCGCTCTCCACACCCCTCTGTCCTGCTGCCTCCTTCAAGTCCTCCATGGCCATCCCAGCGTCCCCCTTTATGGAGTCTAAGTCTGATTTCTAAGTCTAAGATGAAGTCTAATTTCTGAGAAATAGCCAGAATAGCTGAGGACACCCTGTGATGGTGTTCACACCACATGATGGAGATCAGGAACGGAGTTCACTGATTTGCCTGTTCCCCTGCTGTTTTCCAGTTCCGCCCTCCAAACCTTTCTGCAGCTTCGATCACAAGCATCAGCCTGAGCTTGGCCACCTCGTCATTCTCTCCTGCCTCTCTTCCACGGGGCTGCCTAACCCTACATACCAGTGGCAAAGAGTGGAGGGAGATAAACTCAAGCCTTTGTCTGACCTATATTGTAAGTAACCTTTCCTGTTAGTCTTCCTGACCTGGGGCCCAACCCCTGTGGTTCCCAGGCTGCTTGGCCACTGGGATTCCTGGGAGTTGCCATCCCACAGATCTAGAGGGCAGTCAGGCTGGTCCAGGGAATGTGCAGTGCCCGGGAGGTGGTGACTCAAAGCAGGCATGCGAGAGATGCCAGCACTTGTCTGGGTTGTTGAGTAATTAGACATCTGGGATTAATAACTCCTGAAGACAGCATCATACCAAATGTAGGCCATTTATTCACAATGGCCAGTCTTTTCTTGAACGTTTCCCAGGAGGGATCTTCTGTCCAGGGCTGGCATCAGAGGTCAGTATGGTTGGGCACCTCCACAGGGCCCAGGACCAAGAAGGGCACACCACCAATCCTGATATGGGGGTGGCAGGGGTGCTTGGCACTGCTGCTTCACCAGTAGACCCAGCCCATTATGTGGAAGAAAGGTTCTGTTGCCCATCCAGTTGGTTTTTGTCCATAGAACAGGAGGGGAACCATCTTGTGCACCTCATGCAGCAAAGCATCATGGGCCAACCTGAAGAGGAGTCACAGAAGCCATGTTGGATTTCAGCTCTGTGGAGCATTCATTTTATAACCTGAATGTCCCCCCTGCTTTGTTCCAGATCCTGAAAGCGGAACCTTAATTATTGGCAACCTGACGAAATTTGAAGAAGGGTACTACCAGTGTACTTCTTCTAACTCTCTCGGAAACAGCAGCTGCCAGATCGACCTCACCACAAAACGTGTGTTTACCATAATCATCTGTCCTACTTCTTTATTTTCGGAAGGGCTATTCCTGCCTGACTGTTAGGAGAAGGAGAGCATCTCCCCATTAGAAGCACCCTTGGGCACGCCTGGTGACGCCTTCTGCCTTTTCTAGTTCTGTGGGCGTTGATTTGCCTCCCTGTGAAACTGCTCCTGGGGTTGGTGCAGCACCAGGGATGCTGTTCACCTCCGCATTTCTCTCTCACAGCAATACTAGCATGTCTGGCTTTCTAAATAAGACCTTCTCTTCACATGTGTGTCCTCTGCTGTAGTGGTGTAGTCAATTTCGAAGTGTAGGCTCTCTACAAGAAGAGGGACCTCGAGCCAGTCAATCCGGAGCATGCCCTGGAAGCAAAAACGGTGACACTCAGGCTGTCTTACTTTGGACACATCCTGAGAAAGCATCCTGAGGAGGAGGAGGAGACCGAGACCAAATATAAGACTGGCCGCTTCCATCAGGGAAGCCACAGCCTTGAGTGTACAAGAGCTGAGCTGAGCCATCAGTGTGGCTACTGCGTAAAAACCTTCTGTGTGTCTTTTCAAAAATAAGTCCTGTTGCATTCAGTGCTTTCGGTTTGGATTTTACTTCCAGACAATTGTGTAAGGAGTGGACTCTCCCTCCCTCCCTCCCTCTCATTCTCTCTCTCTCTCTCTTCCTGGAAGCATAACTGCGGCATTTTATTTTGTTCTAACTTTCTGCCACTGAGCTATCTGTATACAATGACAAAGTCTTCCACTTCCTTTCAGATTCCGAGAGTGGCATTATAATTGCAGCATTAATCGCATCCATTCTAGCAGCTGCTCTGATCTGTGTGATTGTCTGGGTTATCACCTCGAAAGAGAAGAAAAAGAAGAGAAAAGAAAAAGCCGCTGCCAGTGAAATGCAGTATGTGTTCAGGAAGGCTTTTTTGAATAAACCTCCTGGGCTCTTTGCCTTACTTGACTGGACTCAGTTCCAGACTGAAAGCTGGATTTGGCTTGGGCATGGGTGGCGCGGGGCAAGAGTTTTATTTCAAACACTTTTATATTGCCTTTCAAGGCAACTCATTCTCAAGGTGGTAGAAATATAAAATACAACCAACCTAAATATCATGGATCTTTTTTTGTAATACAAAAAATAAAAATACCACCAAGATATGGTACGAAATATGTAAAATATAAAATCTAGACTAGTGTCAGTTTTTAGTTAAAGGTGAACCGAAACATCCAGACCTAGATGGGGTCTTTCAAAATTCTGAGAGGAGGCAGATATTGATCTGGTACCTGGGAAGTGCAAAATCTGCCGTTCAATAGCAGAAGCCGAAGCTGCCATTCAATAGCAACCTTTAGCGCTGAGGTGTAAGTGCGCAGAAGTGAAAGCCAGCATCTCCAGTCTGCATTTGTCCTGAGCGCTGCACTGGGGCTTGGAGCATCTGGAGTCTAGTTCCCCACCCAGCCATCAACTCTCCCTCTGAATGCAGCCTCACCCTTTCCCTGGCCAGGTGGTGCTTTCTTGAATGCTTTCTTGGAAACCGCCCAGAGAGCTCCGGCCATGTGGTGGGGTAGAAATGACATGAAAAGCGGGGAATCTGCAATTTGGTTTGCTTGACTAGCTCCCCTTCCCCTTCCCCTTCCCAGGCAAAATGGATCCGGTGTGAGCCAAGGCAACCTGCAGGAGACGGATGCAATGGCTGCTAAGAACACCATGATCTGAGGGCAGTTCTCCCTGCCATCTTATTCCAGAATCAGGAGGTACCTCCTTGCTGTTGTACTGGCGTTGCTTGGATGGAGGTCCTCCAGGTCACCAGGCACCTGAGAGATTTAGGGAGGGGGAGAACGAGAGAGACTGGAGAACGATGCCTGCAGGAGCAGCTAAGCGGACTTGGCAAATAGGAGATGGCTCTTGTCTCAGAGACTTCCTCTGCCTTGCATGGGATTTCTGGAAATGCTCCTATGCTGGTTAAGAGAAGCATCCTCAACTCGATCTTGCTTTCCCTTCCACAGGAAAATGAATCAGAAAGAGCCACCGAATGCAGTGTACGCGGCTGTGCCCAGCCAAGAGAGTGTGCCCATTGCTGGAGCCCCTCCAAACGAGACAAATGAATATGCTACCTCCGGGGAGGTCGCAGCAGCCACCACGCCTGAAAATGAGATGCAAGAAATGGAGCACCAAACTGCCGCCTAATCCCTCCCGGCGTCGCTCGGGGGCCCGACAGCAAGTCACCTGCGAATGACTCAGGACAAAGCCCAGTCATTGCCCCGATCCAGCAAGGGCGCCCCCCTCCCCGCAAGCAAGCTTACAGGCGCTGATCTGCTTTGGGTGGCCACATCCCCAGGGCTGGAGGGGAAGGCCCAGCACCCAAAGCTGCATGGTTCTTCCCCCTGGACCGGGACTGCACACCCCCCATGGAGTAGCCAGTAATGCCACCCGGGTCCCCTGCTCCAAGCAAGAGAATGGTGCCTCTAGCACCAGGCATTGATTCAACAGTATAATCTTTACGGATTGGTGTGCTTGGCTTTTGCATGGCTGCGCTGGAGAGGAGGAGGGGATTGCAACTGGGGTAGAAATGTTGTGAGCGGAGCTGGCTGGAGCTGGGGGTCAGACTAGATGGCCTGGGAGACCCCTTCTGACACGCTCTGCTTCTATGCTTCTATGTTTTGTGTGTGCATGCGTGTGCAAGCTGGTTCTGTTCCTGCCAGGTCTGGTCTCACCCCCTTCTGTGTGTGGCCTGTGACAGGCTAGTCCTGGGGGATGCACCCTCACTTTGGATTACAAAATCATGCATTGAAAGGGCCCCCAGAAGGCAGGCACACTCTCTTTAATATATACCTGCACGTACTGCCTATGTTAGGGATTGCATAAGTGCCCCGATCCGTTTTCCCAAGCAGTAAGTTCTCCTTGAATGAGGTGAGACAGTCAAGAACACCTTTAGCTCTTGAATTGGTTGCTGGTGCAGACGAGACTTTGCCTAGAATTCTATTTGCCAAGACCCCCCTTTCGTTCACGAAGACTCAAGCTGCCCGACGTGTGGGGGATTCCTGGGCTTCACTAGGCAGAGAAAACAAAGTGGTTATCTCAGCAGCCGTTGCCGCTGCAGCAGCCAGCTGTACAGGACAGAAATTTAGCATATGAAACGTTTCCTGGCATGGGGTTAGGAAAGTTCCCACTTAATTTCAGCTTTTCTTAGAAAGTAACAACCAATCCTCCCTAATACTTTAATACTGTAATCCCTGTGGGAACAAGTTAATGTGCATATACTTCCTGCCAACCAATTTTGTAAGTGGCAAACTATCATTCTGGCTGACCACGAAGGAGTTCACAAATTTGAACTGCTTTGCTCTTATGTGCTGATGTCTCTGACTTAGCCGTGATGCCCTCCAGAAAGTCTTGCCCTGGGCAGCCCGGCTCAGCTCTTGTCAACACGAGGCTGCGGCTTCTTTCATGGATGTGATCCATCTCATAATTGGTCTCTCCCGTCTTCTTTTGCCTAACTATCCCCGACATTGCCGTCTTCTGCAGTGAGTCTTGCTTCCTCATGATGTGCCTAAAGTACAACAGCTTCAGTTCCGTTGTCCCCACCTCACGGGGCAGGTTCTGGGTTGGCTGGAGCTAGGACCCGCTCGATCATCTGTCAGTTCAGGATATTCACAAAGCTCTCCTCCATCTTTTAAACACATCTGCTTTCCTTTTGTCATCTTTTCCCACCAGGATCACCCAAACCATGGGGAACCTTCACAGATCTTTCCTCTCTCATCTCCAAAGGAGGTCTACCAAAAGGGCTGGGGATGATGGCAATTATAGTCTGACTGGTTGGGGAAGACTGCAGAAGGTCCCTCCTACTTCCCCCAACATCTTACCACTCTGCTGCTTACTGTGCCATAATACTCCATCCCCCAAGACCACAAGTTCCTAATTAAGCAAACTAGCGATCCTTTTTCAGAACTTCAAATGCCACATGCTCACTTTTGAACCTTCTTCCGAGGCACTTTTTTCGGGTAATACCATTGACTTATGCTTTAGTAGATGATGTCTACTACATGATAATTCACAAGAAAGCAACTCCTGGAGATGCGGTTCTTGCTTCTGTTCAGTTAGGCTGTAGGGAACGATCCTTTGGCCCCTGGACATTGCCTGCGGGGCCGTAACTCACTCTGGATTCCCAGTTCTGAGGCTGAAGCTGGAGATCAGAACTTTGACCCTCCCTCTTCCAGTCCCTTGCAGCCAGTGCAGAAAGCGAACAAATAGCACACACACTCTGCCACTTTCTGAGGCTGGGAACGCAACCTTGCAGAGGGGTTAAAAGGGAGCATTTCTATGGGACGGGAGCGGCGGGACCACGAAGCAACCTGAAATGCTCCAGCTCCCGTGTCCCTCCCTGGGAAGCTCCAGCCACATGGGCAAAAGTGGGTCCTTAACAAAATTGCCGGGTGGGTGGGCAGGGAGGCAAGACTGCTCCTGCTTGCCTCCTGCTTTGCAGGGGAAGCTCGTCAGCCTCCGAGTTCTAATCCTTGGAGCAGCCCGGCAGAACTGCCCCGTGAGGAGGAAACTGTGATATATACAGAACTGGCACACTGAATCAGGCGGATGGTACCTCCAGTTCCGTGGATACATTTGAAACGGGCACTCATTCTCCAGGGTCTCGGGCCAGAGCTGCCTTGTCTAGCTTGTCAATCCAAGATCCTTTGCAAGAGGAGACCAGAGATTAAACCCGGTATCTCTTAAAGACCACTAGAGCCGCTGTGGAGCCCACAGCCCTCATTCCTGTAGGGATGGAAGGACCTCTTTTTAACCGAAGACAACTCAGCTGAAAGTGGCTGCTGAATTCTCCTATGTTAGTCCTACCCAGTCCAGTACTACTTTCAAAAGATTCTTAAGAAAGACCTAAAGTGGTGACTATTGGGATCTAATTTTTAGATATTAGAGTGCTTGCGACATGAAAACATAGAAAGAACAACTAAATCAGACTGGCTAAAACTGCAGTAGTAACTTTCAGTTGTGCCCATGTCTTTAATATATGGCTTTAGTAAGTTTCATTGGGATTCTTAAAATAATTGGAGGTGGAAAGAATGTTTGTTGTTGCCCTTTTCTAGCATGGCTGCAGATGTGGATGAAACATTTAGCTGGGCTGTTTCATTTTCATTTTCCTGATCTGTGGTTTTGTCAACGATACGTGACTTGTACAGCCAAATGAACCTGTCTGTTTTCCTCATTCACATTTTGCTTTCATTTTCAGCTGTGATCACTGCTGTTGGGTTCTTTGTAGAAAGATGAAAAGGATGGGGGAACGGTACTGATTATTTTGTTACTACCAAATAAACTCTTGTCAATGTCTTTCATAATCAAGTTTTGGTAATGATAGAAATGCATTAAAAACCACTAAACGTCAGATCTGAACTCCCATGTGCAACTTGGGGTTCCTGCCACACATACTATGAACAGTGGCAATGACATGTTTGTGGTTAGTGGTACGTTAGTGGAACTCAACCTCCTGGATGTTCCAGCCACCTTTGGTGTGTTGGATCCAACCTTGGTCATCCTTAGAGATGGACAACCCACTTACCAAGTAGCTTAGTGCACAGTTATCTTACTACCAAAACTAGATTTCTGCTCAAAATATTGCTAACACCCAGAAAGGGAACCTCTGAGGAATAAGCCAACTTCTTTTCATAAGCAGTCTGCTGAAGTTGGCAGCAGTCTAAGCCCGATACACAAAAAGTCTGCTAGTCTGTAAGGTTGCAAAGGTCTTTTATGTTATTCAGAAGTAATACACTCCCTGCTTGCAGGCTTAGTGGGCTCACAACAGGCTTCCTACAAGTTTCATTCCTGTCACTCCCCTGCTTGGACAAATTGTAGGGCTGAGTAACTCCTTCAAAGAACAATTCCCAAAAATATTACACCAACTTTTTGGGGCAAGTCTATTCCATTCGTCCTCTTTGTGGGGCTCCAGTGCATTCTGCTTTTACTCAAAACAACCATGTCAACATTGAAATTGAAGGAAGCTGATAAGGATCAGTGTTAATACCCTGTGGGTTGCACATGCTTGCAGGAAGAACAATGAATACAGCCTGTTTTTAGAATCAACCTTATACGCCGGGATGGAGAGAACCAGGATGGGAGGATGGTTTCTGAGTGTCTTCTACAAGAAAAGCAGGACTTTAACCAAGTCCCTACACTGGAAAATTATATCTTAAAAAGTAGAAATAAACAGAGTATCAAGAAATTAAAGGAGGGTGGCTTGGCCACCGGATGAAGAAAAATTTAACAGATGCACTACAATAAAAATAAATCAAGGGATGACAGTTAAAGCCAGTTTAAAAAACAGAAACACAGACCAGTGAACAGTCCTGAGCGTATTCATCAAAACGAGGGTCCGAGTCAAGCAATGCCACTAGCCTTCAACTAGTCTCCGAAGTATTGACCCCAGATTGCCTTTCCCAACTTGCAGTGGTGTCTTTTCTTCTTTGTTCTCAATATATATGCTTGCACCATGGGACACCAGGAGCTTAGCTTCATCCACTCTCTCTTCGTCACAGGCTAAATGGCTGTCAAATAAGACCGAGAACAGCAGAATATTAGACCAAAATAAATACACCAAGAACAGCAAAATGATTTGTCTGCTTGATGGAACAAATAAAGAAATATAGGGCCAACTACCTTGAAAGTAGACCCGAATACCTCTATCAAACTTGGGACTCTTTTTATTATTGGCTAGAGAAACGGGACTTTGCATAGATTTAAATATGTTTTTAAGTTATCATAAATGGAAAAAGAAGGATGTGGGGGCTGACCCAGTGGGCCCGATGTTTTTGATGATGGATGTTGTTTTTAATTTTTTTGTTTTTTAGGATTATAATTTCAAATAAAACTTATTCGAAAGTCGACCTGAATGAACAGACATACAGACAGACACTCATTCACTCCATCATCTATATTTAGGTGTGTAGATCTCAATTAAGTACCACGCTAAATCATGGTCACAGAAGCTTAATTAGGATTTGGAAAGAGGTCTCAATGGCCAAACTATAGTTATGCTGCAAAATGTGACCTTATAAAGCAGAGTGCTTTGAGGAAAGAGAGGGGAAGCAGCCTCAACAACTTTAACTCAGCGCATCCGCTGAATGATTGGCACTTAAACCCTGGGTTGAACTTCCAAAAGATTGTTAATGCAAACAATACTTTGATGCAAAAGAACGGCACAGTCTGAAACAGGAACTGTGATTCTGTGCATGCATAACTCGGAAGTTTGGACCTGCAGAACTCAAGATGTTCTCGCGTAAAGTGTCCAAGACTGAGCTGCCAGCAACAATCCTACAAACCAGGAAAAAAATCGGCCGCAAATGTTAGATCTTACAGAGGTGTGTTCCCCTCCGAATCCTGTAGATTGACAGAGGCTTTGTGCTTCAGAAGGATCTGTATCATCTTCAGGTTGCCTTTGGATGCTGCTCTGTGCAGTGGTGTAGAGTCCAAGTGATCTTTTACATCTGGATTCGCTCCGTTTTCTAGCAGCATCAATGCAATCTATCAGGAAAGAGAGGAGAAAGATTGGCTTGTTGGCTGTTTTGTGCGAAGCGGGTAGAAGAGCAGGTGCATGTGGAAAAGCAAACCTCCTGCTTGTTTTTGGATGCTGCGTAATGCAGAGGTGAACAGCCATTCTGATTGACCGCATTCTTCAGAGCACCTTTCTTGAGGAGGATCTTCACGATGTCATCTCGGCCAGCTGAGGATGCAATATGCAGAGGACTCCAGCCGGCCTGAAAAGCCCGAGAACACAAAACACAGCAGAGCCATTACACGTTCCAGCAGCAAACCAGGTATGCAGAATCTTTCTTCCAGTCCTTTGTAATAACAGGAAGGAAGGAGCTGGTTACCTCTCTAAAATACAAGGAAATATTAAAATATTTGACAAGACTGTTGCAAAGGCATAATGCTATTTCACACCCACTTAGCACATGTTATGGATTCAAAACCCTTCATGTCCACTGAACAGGTGAGAGAATGAACAGGGAACTGGACAGCTCTCACCTGCTGCCCATGTCTGAACTTGGAACTGGGGGCTGTTAAGAACAATCCAGGAGTGCAAGTCAAGAAGAAACTGATACATCTGCTCCTTCTGAAGCATCCTTTTGAAGTGGCATCATCCTCGCATAGGAAACATACCACTTCTGTTCTGCAGAGGAGCTGATTATTAACTGTGGGCTGTTGATAGTGAAACTGGAGATGTTCCCCACGCCTCAAACACCACAGCATATTACAGCACAGACGCCACTTAAGCTCCAGCTCAGCAGAGCCCTGGAATCCCCTCAGGAGAGTCTGGCTCATGCTGACAACAGCCAGAAAGAACACTTGCTCACCATACAAATACTCCGCACAGACGAGAGACCTCCAGCTCCGCAAGCAATTATACGCATAATGCTCTGCCTAAGCGGCCTTCGAAAAATGCTGAGCCCAGAACTTACATCGTCTTTGTCATTCACAGGCACTCCCAAGCTTAGCAAGAAGTCAACAATGTCCGTGTGTCCAGCCGAACATGCCCAGTGGAGGGCTGTCCTGTTATCCTGAATGAAAAACACGGAGGAGCATTAGCAGTGTATCTGGAATCGACCGGGACCACAGAAACAGAACGGGACAGCCAGACTTGTGTGTGGTTGAAGGCCACTCTGTCCACCAGGCAGGAGTCTATGTCCTGAAGGAGGACAGTGCCATACAAACTCCCCATGCTTATTGGTAGCAAAGGCTTCACCGTTACAGGTTAAGCTGCAGGGAAAATAGTAGGAGTGATCATGCCTCATCTTGGAAGCTAAGCAGGGTCAGGCTTGGTTGGAATCTGGACGGGGGACTTCAATGTTGTGAACCACCCAGAAAGCTTCGGCTATGGATGGTATAGAAATATAATTAATAATAATAATAATAGGACTGAGCCTTTAGTTTACATCCAAATCATCAACTGGGTTCTCACATCCCATGGTTGCTCCCATGATGGGAATCAGTCTGAACTGATTCTCACCTTGATGGTATGTGGGGCTGTTGTACCCACGGTGGGTTGTCGTGTTGTTGAGCCCAGGGGAGTGATCCCATCATGTGCACAGGGAATTGGCTCACTTGGCAAGAGCAGCAACAATACCTTGCCCTTTTAGGATGTGTGCATTAGTGGCAGGCAATGCACAACACCCGCCAAAGGGCTCAACCCACACGTGAGCCCATGGCCCCAAGCTTCTTCCCCTCCCTGCTGTGATGGCAAGGTGCTCGAGTCATCTTTTGTTTCCTGGAGATTATAAAATCTGGCTGTGAAGCTGGTTTTTGCAAACTTCATTTTGACAGCTATGGACAGGAGCTGACAAGATTACCAAACAAAAAATTCAATATTTTTGTTCTCCCTACTTTTTCCCATTTTGCTAGAAGACTCTGCCCTGCATATTGCCCACTCTTTAAAGGAGGCTGAAACCTTGACAGCCTTGCAAGAACCAGGTAAATAAAAATCAATTCACGCAACCCATGAGCATGTGCAGAATGGTTTTTGCTCTCAGCTGAGTCTATACAGAGAACTTCTCCCAACCTCCCTCCACATCAGGAATTGGGGAGGGGGTTCCATGCTAGAGGTGAATATTTGTGTTCTGGGGCAGAATTTAGTCCTGCCATAGTTATCTTGTTAGAAACAGTATAATTGATATTTACATCTAGCCAAAGCCATCCCCCCCTTGTCCGGCCATCTGCTGTCTAATCCGGTCAGGCACACTGAACTGCGGCATCTTGAAGCAGCAGGAGAAGGGAGCAGAGGCAAACAGGCCCAGTTGCAGGGTGTGGATGCAATTATCTATCAAAAACTTGCCCCGGTTAGGGGTTAGGACACGTACATGGGTGCTGACAGTAAGTTTGCCTTGCTGTTTAAATAGGTATTCCTCTCCTATGACAACATGCTTATTCCCAAGTATTTATGTTTCGCACCAGCCTAACAGATGCAAACTCCCTTAGTTTCAGCAGCCACGACGGAGCTAAAACATGAAATTGCACATATGGAGCACATGCCTTTCTTGCTCTTTTTAAAGAACTGTCCAGATTCAGAAAGCTCTTTTTTGCTCTAGCCTATCTGGGACGGCAAAACATAATGTGGAGAGGAGGGGTGTTTGCTTTGGGTTTCCTGCAGGGAAAAAGGCATGTTACACATATAATAATAAACAAAGAGTTGCAAAGGAAGGAGCAAACGTAACAGTTGCAAGCTTACTTTTTCTTGTGGAGTGCTATTAAAAATAATAACAACCAACAAGTAAGGCACATGGCTGCCTAGGGTGGGGGGCGATTATTGTTATATTTATTACTTGCTATCATTTATTAGTATTGTACGACCGTCCTGAGATTTTTTGTAATAGGACGGAAAAGCTTAAATAAATGTATTGCTGCTGTTTAAATGACATCTACTATGTCTGGCGGAAGGTGGGCCAAAAGGCCCTTAGGGCCAACGGCAGAAACGACCTAGCGCTTCCTCCCAGCCAACACCCGAGACTCTAACCACTGCTCCCCACTGCCTCGGAAAAGGCCCCGCCCATCACGGCCCCTAGCCACGCCCCTGCCCCCCCGTTGCTGGCCAACCTGGTCGGCGCGCGTCGCCAAGCCCCGGTTGGCGGCCAAGCGCTCCTTCAGCTCCTCCAGGCGCCCCGCGTAGGCCAGGTTGCAGACCTCCACGTTGGACACCGACCCGCCTCCGCCGCCCTCCATTATTAAGGCCTCCAATAGTGCCCGCCCCAGCCAGGCCGGTTCCACTTTAAGAGGAAGTGGGCGGAGCCTCGTCCTTCCCCGTCCCTGCTCTTCGCGCAGCAAATCCGCAGAGACGCCCAGAAGCCCATCGACCAATAAGCACCCAGGCCCCTCCTTTCTCAGCTGCGAACGCGACTCCCCCCCCCTTGTTGGGAAGCAGAGGTTGTTGGGAGTTGTAGGAGGAAGTGGAAAGGGAAGGAAAAATGGACGTCCGGTCGGCGGCCGGACTTCAGCTCCCGGCATGCTCTGCGGAGGCAGTTGTCGTCGTGTTGTTTTCGGTGGGGAGGAGAAGAAGGCTCCGTGCAGCGGGCGGCGGGGGAGAGAGGAAGAGGAGGAGGAGAGGAGGAGGAGGAGGAAGAAGGAAAGGATGGTGCTTGCTGCAGGAGGAGGATGGAGTCTGGTGAGCGGCTAGCGGGGGGAGGGGCGACTACTGACGGATCGCGCCCCCTCCCCTCCCCTCCCTCCCCTCCCCTCCCCCACCCGCAAGGCAGTTACTTTCTTCGGAAGCGTTCAGGCAATTCAGGTCGATGTCACGACCGCGATCTTCCCGCAAACACCCTTCAGAAGCTCCTTGGACTCTCCGAGGATCTGTTTTGATGAGGATGTGTTTGCTTTATACGTGCATGCTCCAGATGTGTGTGTGTGTGTGTGTGTGTGTGTGTGTGTGTGTGTACACACACACTCACGCACGTGTGAATGCGTGCACGTGTGTTTCCCGGGGGGGCTGCCTGTTAGGCGGTTGCAGCACAAAAATCGGAGACACCCGCCTGCCCTGGAATAAGGTTTTGTGGGTTGTCGCCCCCTTCACCCTTGAAGTGTTCATGGTAAGAAAATGAAAGGGCAGTTCTGCCTGAGAACAGGTGATCGTGTCTGCAGGGCTGCCCGTTGGAGCTTGGTCCTGCTGGAACCGATTCTGCGGATGCTTCTGCCAGCATCAGTGCTCATCTTCCAGGTGCCACAAGGGTCTTGCATCACACCCTCATTTTCTGTTAAACCAGACCAAGAAGGAGAATGTCAAACCAGAACAGGAGGGGCTACTGACTGCAGCTCTGTTGTAACAAGAACAGCCACAAAGCTGGAAGGGCTTTGCTACACGTGGCTTTTTCTGTGTTGCAGTGGTTAAGAGGGCAGGACTGGGACTCAAGTGATCTGGGTTCAAGTCCCCACTCAGCTGTAGAGCTCACTGCCTTTGGGCCAGTCACAGACTCTCAATCCAGCCTATCTCGTGGGGTCATTGTTGCTGCGAGGCTAAGATTGAGAGGAGGAGGAGATTTATGTAAGCCACCTTGAATTCCTTGGAAGGAAGAAAAGGCACAATTTGTGATGGAGAAGTCCTGGTGGAATGGCAATGCTTGCATGTTCAGGTAGCACTTTTGAGTATTCAATGTGCTTTGTGTAAGCTATCTTGTTGCCGTCTGTACAAGACCTCTAAAGCAGGCCAAGCCACTCTGAGGATAAGGGTGGCTTCCTAGGTTTCCAGCCTGAGTTCACAGCAGAATTGTTGCAAGCTTGAGCCTTTATTTTCCTAGTCAGTGTGGTGCAGCAGATCACACATGCTGACTATCTGTATGCCTGGGACATTTGTGTGTACAGATGCTTCATCTGCATGGCTACAGGCTGTATGAACTTGGAAGTTAGAAGGCAAGCATCTAATTCTGGAAGGTCGGTTGGGTCTAAGGCCCACTATCCTGAGCTCATTTGCAGTGGCTGAAGCTTCAGTAGTTTAGCATAAGATTGGTTGTTACTCCAATAGAAAGATGTCTTTGCCCAATGCCATGCCTTAACAACAGTGTTAGAAGTCTCTGAAGCAACTGCAAAGGAAAGTCACAGTTCTGCAGAAACTACTAAGCTACTAGTGAAATGGTTGATTTATTTGCATTTGTGTCTGCCTTGTCCTAGGTTCTTAGGGTGATCTACTTTAATCTGACGATAACAGGGTAGTGAGGTTGAGTGACAGCCCAGGTAAGATTTGTGGCTGAACAATGCACTTACATCCAAATGCCTCCTACAAGCTTGCTGGTTTTAGGGTGCGGTCCTATAGATTGCCACATTGAAGTTTATAAGCTCTTGTCCCTGTGCAGGGTGGGAGGAACAGTGGAGGCAGTCTTCCTCTCCATGCCCTCCTGTCCTGTACGCTTTGCTGGACCAGCATTTTTGGGTGTTTTAGAAGAGGAAGGAAGGTCACTGGAAAGGCCTTTCTTGACTTTCCCAGCCTATTGGAACTCCCCCTGCTCTGAAGTAGAGTCCCTGACCTTGAAGAGCATCTGGTATAATTCACCCCATGCTGGCTGCAGGGGATGTATGTGTTGAGCTCTGACTTCCTGCTCCAGGGTTGGAGTGCTGTCCAGTCTCAGAGCAGAGAATCCAAAATATCCTATGGCCTTGAGACACTGTCTAGGGGCCATAGGATTGCCCCTCCATTAGTCTGGTAATGAAAGCAAAGCTGGTTGCTTCACCCTCTAGCGCGGAAGTATTCAAGACCTACTATGGCTCAGAAAAGAGTGAATGTTCCTCTTCCAGTTCCACCTTTAAGAGGTGGTGGAGGCAGCCACCCTCTTATTTTCTTCTGGCTTGCAGACTCCCCAGCAATATGCTGTTATTTTATCTTTGACAGATGTCGCTTTCAAGCTACTGATCCATTTATTTTTCAGAGGGTTTATTTGGTAAATAAACAGTAATAGTCGGATGGTATACAAAAACCTTAAATACATTATCTCAGGCAAGGGAAGAGTACACACTGATGATTCTCCTCCAGGCTGTGGTTTTGTCCATTTGGAACCATGAGAAAACAATGGATGCACTTTGGGATGCCTGCAGCTTACAAGGAAAGGATAAGATTGCATTTACTTATTGCTCAGGAAATGTGGATGCTGCTGCAGCGGAGAACCAGGGGTCTGGAGGGCTGGTGGTCCAGAATGCAGCGTAAGCTTTTGTAAGGGAAGTAGAAAAGATTCTGAAGCTTTATGCTTTAGTAGCTAAACATGCACTAGATTCTGTTGCTGGATGTAGAATGCAAGAATGCCTAACATAGTTGTTTCTATATTGAATGGGCATATCTGAGACCCATGAGCTATTGAAATGGCATCATTAGTTGTCATTTCAATAGCGACTGAGACATGTTGAAAGACTGTCAGAATTTCTTGCATGAAAGCTGTATGCAGCTTTCACACTCCTGAGGTTTTTCAAAGTTCAGACAGTATACTTTTTATTAATCATGAGTATACAATCTTACATTTGAAACAAACATTTGCGGTATACTACTACTTATTGGAAAAATAAACAGGATGAGCAGTGCAGCTGCGGCGTGCCATGCAGTCGCTTTTACTGGAGAAATTAGAGTGTCAAAGGTTAGTTCACGCATGACTTTATGGCCTTTGGTGTATTATCGATCTGGGCTGCAGCACTCAGTGCAAACACACTTTTAAGCACAAGAGGTGATGAAATGTCTGGTGATTTCCTTATTTAATTTACCACATGCATATCCTGCTGTTTTCCCAAAGAGCTCAGTTCATTTAGTTGAACACTCTGTCATACCTATTTCTGCAGTAAAATTGGACAAGTTATGTTTACCTTCTTGCAATCCCTTGTATCATATTGTTGACATCATATGATAGTGAGGATTTTTTTCTGATGGATCTGGCCCCAGGAAGAAAAAAAGCGGGAGAATATCCCACTCTGTGCCACTGAGAGCTGAATCAGGTATTTCGGAATCTCTCTCTCTCTCCTGCTCTTTTTTATCTGGAAAATGTAATGTGTCTCATGACACGAAGCTGAGCAAAGGAATGTCCTGAATATGAAAGACATGGAATCCTGCCTTCTAAAGTATATTGGGATCCAGAGGGCTTCTGCCTACTTGAGGCTGCTTTGACCTCCTTAGGACTATTAGTTCGTTATGCCGACCTATTTGAAAGAACCCAGAGCAGCAATTTAGTCTGACATATAATTACCTTCTGTTTTAGTATGGTTTCCATTGCTGTTTAGTAGCATAAATTCTGTATGATGGGGCTTGATATGACAATTAGGACTTGAAAAAACACTGCACATAACACCCCCCAAAATGGAAACTCTAGTTTAAAATGCACAAAAAGAAAAGCAGCAATGCAGAACAAGAACCCTGTGTCCTTACTAAAATGAATTATGTTATTGAACATTTTTGCCTTACTTCAGCATTTGTAAATGTGGCTGCTGTTACCAGTTGAACCCCTCTTATGTCCATCCATCAGCTACGTAGTCTTATTTAGATTGGCCAAACATCTAAGCCGGTTCTAAAGCTAAGGTTGGCGTTTATCTTTAAAAGCCTACAGCAGTTCCATAGAGCATTTGCAATTAGGAGTGCTTTTAGGAATTGATCAGCACAGGCTAGAATCAATGCCCATATTCACCCAGAATAACAAGCCAGAATTCTGAGGAATCCTAGCTTATCATGAGTAAGCTGTGTCCCAGCTCACTCATCATGCTCGCTCCCGTATTTCTCCCTCCTGCAAGTGCGAACAGCAAACAAACCAGAGCAGGTCCCTTGAATCAAAGATCCTGGTTTATAAAGTCCTTTATAAGCAGGAATGGCAAGTGGTGGTTTGTTCTAGGGGGATGGTTTCTGCTGCTTCAGGGAGCAACGTATTGTAAGTATTAGATTCTAGTTTCTAAGTGTTTGATACTAGAATCTTGTAATGTCTTCCATCCAGTGCAGAAGGAAAATGGAGTTAATATGCAGTCTGTTGCTTTAGGATATTTTACTAGTCTTTGCCTGTGACTATACATGTTAAATCTTTTTTGGGTCACCTCACTCATCCAGTTGAACAAGTAGAACTATTAATTTAAAGCCAGTTATTTCAGGATGGGCCTATAAAATAGAACTAATATAAAAATTGTGTTCATACGATGCCTCAGTCAAAATAAAATATGATTTTAAAAAAGCATTTCAGGAAAAAACACAGGCAAAATTTCATCCTAGTTTTTAATTCGTGAAGAAATACTTTGGTGTAAAAAAAAATTCCATGAAAATAAACTTTTTGGTTTATTTTTTCCTCTTGTCCAATTTTCTGGGGAAAAATACATAAAGTCACATTTTGTTTCTTTTACAGTTTCAGTTTGCAAACATTAAAAGCCCCTTCTGTCGTTGAATAAGATAGCACAGTTTTTGTATATTGGACACTTTGTAGACTTGGCTCTGAATAAAGGTAAGAATTGGGGCTACCTATGTACTGTTAAGCTCCGTGTTTTGAGGCCATTTCCCCATGGATAGATGCACGAGGAAATGAAATGTATGCTCGTTTTCTAGTGCTCTCTGTGGGAGCATCGTTTTGTATTTTTCCTGTATGCTGGCCGCTGGGTGAGACTGGTGGAAGGGTTGTCTCTGAGGAAATCTATAGTAGCTCCTCTTCTTTTTCGTCTGTTTGTTTGTCAACATAGTCAGTACGGGTCATCGGTCATGCGGTTTCTTGCTTGGCACCTTTTGGGTTGGCTCTGGTTTCCGTGCTGGCCATGACGTTGAAGTGCAAATGGCAAAGGCCGCAGTCTGGCTAAACGTAAGGCGGTAGTCATTCCAGTGTTCCAAAGGGCAAATGACGTATGATAGTGCAGTGAAAGAAACTGGTTAATATCTGAACCAGTGCAAGAATGTATTTGCGCTACATCTTTTCAGCAAGCAAACGGCACTCCGAGCGTTGGCCATTGTGTGATATAGAAGTTAAATGTAGGTCATAGCCATCAATTGGAATTATGTCTGGAGATCTATCAGGTACAAAAATCACAGGGGAACTAACTGGAGAAGGAATGTTCTAAATACGTGTACAGTTCTATAAGAAAATTATGAAAACTTGATTATTTTTTTTTTTAGCAGAATATCTAGAAGAGCTTCCTGAAACAGATGAACCTGTCTGGATCTTAGGAAGGCAGTACCATCTTAAAACAGGTAGGTTTTGAATTAAATGCTCTGAAGCTTTTATGAGTACTTGCTGATACATATCAAGATTTTCAGCGTTGCATTATGTCACTGTAGTAGCCTGCATAGATAAATCCTTGAAAATAGCTCTACCGTACGTAACGCTAGCCATGCTAATGTTGTTAGCCATCCGGGGATTTATGGAAGGACGACAGGAATGCTATCTAGAGACCATCCTTACACAAGATTCATTTCTGTCAAGCTTTCCAAATGTGGCATGAGTTATTTCTAGTGATCAGATGATTAGGAAATAAACAAGAGCGTTTATTTTTAGGAATACTCAATTGAGAGGGCTCTTTCTTACTCTAGCAAAACAGAGTGTTGCTTTGACCCCATTCTGGGTGAAACTGTGTCTTGGGGAGAGTAATCTTGTTCTGAAAAGATAAGCCATAAAGACTGCAAGCTTCCATTCAGAGTTGCTGTGGATTGGGGAACAGGAGGCAGCAAGCAAGCATAGAAGGGAATCTTGAAGCTCTGTATAACTTGGAATTTGAGAGACCTGCATGTCTGCAGTGAACTGTGTGAACACAGTGTGGTTTTGCTATCAGGACGAGTTACCCTGTGTGGTCACCACAGTTCATACTCACCCCCCCCCCCCCCGCCCGCCATGATCTGCCTGACAGAAGGTCAAGTGGTTTTTCTGTTATTGTGGCTTCCATCCTCCCCACACCTATCCCATTGGCCACTGCACCTGTAATTAAATTCCTACTTGCTGCCTGTGTTACCTGGCTCTTCCTCATCATTCCATACCATTACCAAGGCATGTTCTGTTCCCCTCTGTTTCCCTTTTTCTTCATGTTCCTTAGCCAAAACTGCTTTTTAATGAATGCATCTTCCCTCAGAAATAATATTTTTCTGCTGCGGTTCCTATCTTAGCATCTTTGACCACACTCCTCTCTACCCTCTTTCCTTACAGAAGATCTGTTAAGGGCTTGCTTTGTGCAGAAACCACTAACATGTCAATTGGGTTTTTTCCTGTGTGCATTTGTTCCCACAGAGCATACATGTGGGCACGCTTTGCCTTGCAATTTCTTTTTTTAAATAATTTTATTTTCACGATAAATATTTAAGAGAGAATATAAAACAAAGCAAACCAAGATAAACAAATAAAACTACAATAAACATGTTTCGCCTTCCCTTTTCTTGATTGTGTCTTTAGCCAGCATTTTGTTTGTGTTGGCTTATATTTGGAAATGGCTGTTTATATTTTATTTTATTTTATTAATTCTAGAAAGATCTAAGCTTCTTTTGGATATAAGTGCTCGTCTTTGGTTCACCTATAGAAGAAAGTTTTCGCCAATTGGTAAGTGTGCTTTCCTGGATGTTTGAGCTCCTTCAGTTGCTGTTCACTTTCATTCTTAAGATAATAAGCTAGCTAAGAGTTAGGGAATGAACAATTACGTCTGAAGAATGGCTCTCATAGTCTTTGATCTCCCATGGTACTTTTCAAAGTCAGTGCTATAGCCACTTGCCCTGGGTGGTATTACTTAATGCAGAGCAGGTCTGGGCATGTTTCTGTCTATGCCTGCCTCTAAAGAGGAAGTCAAAATCTAATGATTGCTTGAGGGGATTCTGAGGGTAGACACTTTGATCTCCATTGTCCTTCCTCCTTCCTCCCCCCCCCCAGGCCATTTGAAATGTCAACAACCCAAGAGTTTATTAATCTTCACCCTTTTGGCTTTCAAGAGCCCTTTCTGCTTGCCATGATCAGTTGTGGGGGGGGCTCAGATTTTTTAAAAATGTTTTTTGTTTACTGTAGCCTTCTCGCAGCTGACTCCGATACAATTTCCAGGGTTTTTCTACATGTCATTGCCACTGAATCTTGACTCTGTGGTGCAAAGTTGAACTTAAAGGCATATTCCTTTTCATTTGTGTATGCGAATGCCCTTCACTTGATCTCCCTTCCTTGCTTTTAGCCTCTTGAATGGTGTGAGTTGCAAGTTGTGACTGGTATTAAGCAATTTTCCTGGATACTTGGATCGCGACAAGAGTTCTTGAGCCAAGGAAGCTGTGCTCTGTGTCCTTCTCTTTCATAAACCTGTCTGCGTGGTGGTTCTCGTCTCCAGGTGGGACAGGGCCTTCCTCGGATGCTGGCTGGGGCTGCATGCTGCGATGCGGACAGATGATGCTAGCCCAGGCTCTGATCTGTCGACACTTGGGCCGAGGTAAGCGAGCTCCTTTCCCCGTGCTTTGACTGAAGTGAGAATAATGGTTGTGAAAATATCCAGAGCAACGATCTTTAGAAAGTTTCTGCGGACCTTTGGAACGGAGGAGTCCTGCTGCAGCAACTCATCTCCAGCTTTTAAGCCCCTCTTATTCATAGCCCTGATGGTTTTGAAGGTGACTGAATTTGCAGAAATCGGGGGCTTTTCTGGATAAGAATGATAGTGCTGTGGGCATTACCATGCATGGCTCCTTTCACCTCCCCGTAATGAGCAAAAGCAGAATAAATTATGCAAAGGGAAACAATGGAAATATGTCCACCCAATTTAAACTCTGAGGTTAAGCTTTTCTTTTACTCTAGTAGTTAGCTCTTTTTAATCTTGCCATTTCAACTTTGTGTATTTCGCATTGTGTATGCTCAGGTTATAATTAGTATTGCTGATGTGTAAAGGACTGTAAGAAGCTATTGTAACAAAAGGTGGGCAAACACGGTCTCTTGTTGGTAACTTATAGTAAGTCCCACTAACTTCCAAACAGCTTAGACTTTACTAGGTGGATTTAGGACTTCTGCATTAATTTTTGCATTTGAAAGCTTTAGCTTTTATTTCCTTTGTACTTGGTGAAGAGGGTAACATTTAGCATTTCAAATGATTTTCTCTTTCAGATTGGCATTGGGAAGAACACAAAAAGCAACCCGAAGAATATCTCAGAATCTTGCGCTGTTTCCTAGATAGAAAAGATTGCTGTTATTCCATCCACCAAATGGGTAAGAGCAGATTTGGATGGCTCTTCCCCTTTCTGCTAGGCAAGCTGTTAACATCGCTACACTTGTATGGGTATAAATATAGAGCATGGAAAATGTGTATTTTCAAATGTTATAAATGTTATATAAAGATGTCTTTCCTGAACAACACTTTTGAGCGCAAAGGGAGCATGTTTTTGTCTGTGGGTGTATGAATGCAGAAAAATTAATCTCCATAATACTTAAGTAAGCATTCTATGCAAGATAGATTCTTGATTCATACGCTATAGCGAGACCTTCCACGTACAACCAAGACTACCAGGTGTGCAACAGAAATTAGGTCTGGATGACTTCTGGGGGGTCGGGGTGACTTTGCTGTCCTTGTCGCTCCTTGGTTCCAGTCCTCACCAGATCTCCTGTCATGGTGGCCAAAACTGGCAGTTTTGCGAACGAGGCACGTGCCGTCCCTGATTGTGCCAGTGGCACAGCTTTGGTGCCTGCTGTGCTAGGGGAACACAGTGGAGGCACAGAATTCCTGTAAAGGTCCACATGCAGCCCTATGTATCCCATCTTTCTTCTGTAAAGAGCATCCCAGGCATCTTGACAACATTAAAATATAAAACATGCAATTGTAATGAAGGCAGATTAGTAAATGAAATAAACATGCTTCATAAAAAAGAAATAAACAGCAGCCACCTGTGAAAACTTAGCTTAGGGAACAGAGGAAAAACCAACAGCCTGTCTGAATAAAGGCTTATTTGTTTGCCCACACAAAGATGGAGCTAGCCTGGCTTTTCTTGGCCTCCATAGAATTCCATAGCCTCTAGTGCCTCCAGTTGTGGCAGAACTGGAAAGAGGAGCATTCCCAAGTTCTTAAAGCCTGGGAATATGGGGAAGGTATGATTTTCCGATAGCACGTTCCCAAGTTTCCAGTTAATAAGGGCTTTTAGCTAGTAAGCAGCACTTTGAATCGTGCCTGGAAACAGATCAGTAGCTAGTGAACTGGTTGTATAAGGTACTTGTATGCCTCCAGTAACCAGTTCCATTGAAGTAAATTGGCTGCAGCATTCTGGGCCAGCTGAAGATCTGAATACTTTTAAAACTAACTCCATCTAGACTGTTTTAAAGTCATCTAAGTGGGATGCAACAAAGGCGTGGTCACTTCTAAGTATTCATAGCAATGAGACCAAATGATTCCATAGCATCATCCATCACTGATGGCATTCAAACCAGAGCAGGTAATGAGCAATCTCATTTGCAAAATATAATATTTGAATTGCACTGAGCTCCTCTTCATTAAGGGAAAATTCTTGTAATGTCCACTGAAGAATTCATTGTGCAGCCTTCCAGCAACCTGGTTCAACAGGGAAAAAATCTGAGCCATGCAGGAATGTTACTGTATGAACCGCAAATTTAGCAAAATTTAGCAAAATACGTAGTTTAGCAAAATTTAGCAAATTTAGCAAAATATGTAGTTTATCGCAAGTCAGAATGTTTTAGCTAATGTTCCAGTGAGGTTCTTGGCAGTGAACAAGTTGCTGGCCCTTTGCAGGAATGTAGTCTAGTTTTCTAATTTGTCTGGGATGTGAGCAATGCAAGTCTTCAAAAATTTGTCGTTTGATAGGCAGATGCTTTCATTCTTCTGTGTTTCTAATCCACACAGCACAGATGGGTGTTGGCGAAGGGAAATCTATTGGGGAATGGTTCGGACCAAATACTGTTGCCCAAGTGCTCAAGTAAGCAAACGTATCATTTATCTGTTATGTAATGCAAGTAGATCATGAGAAGGAATGTATTTCTTCTGCATAAGCGGTTTTTGAAAGACGCATGTGAAATTTAACTGCTCCCAGGAAAGCAAGCGGTGGCGACTGTTGGCACTGTAGAGCGATAAGCATGCCACGTCTAACTCTTTGTGTCCTCGTATTAAATTAAGATACTTGCATCCTCAGGACACTGGGTCGTAGCTATCAAGGCCTCTCTGCCTCCGTATGCTCTGTTGTGCTTCCACAGCCTGCCCACATCTATTTGCTTATTTTGGGTTAATTTTAGAACTAAAAAAACCCCATTGTGCAAGTGGTGGAACTTGTGAGTGCATGGTCTGACTCTGATACCATCTGTTCTATTCAAAGCGGCATAATGGTTATAATCTCGGGAAGAAGGGAGCCAGATCACTATCTGCAAAAATGAACTTTCTCTCCTGGCTTTCTTTTTCGCAAAGTGTAGCTGTGCTTTCACACAGACTCAGGGTGTGTCTAGAAAAAGGGCTGCTAAAGGTATTGTGAAACTACTGCATATTTCCCTTCTTAATTTTTCTGAGGTTAAAAAAATGACAGAAGACACGCTTTCATGCGGTGAGGAGTTATGGAAGGGTTACAGATAGATGTTATCTGGACCCCCATAAAATTCCATGAAGGAAGCAGGGCAGCTGTACAATGAGAGCAGAAACTATTCCACTATGCAACCAGCCTGAAGAAAGGTTTATCCTTATGCATGTGCTTGTTTTACTCAGCATAAAAGTAACCTAAAAGTGGGTGAGATAAATAGCATGATGTAGAAAAAGCTAATAATTCAGTTGTTTGTCTATAGCACTCCTCAAAAAGCTGTGACAGCATTTTTATTCTAGTGAAATATTAGTATTTCTTGTAATATTGCAGTCAGAGTTATATTATTAATATTATTAGTACATTGCATTGCTAACAGCACATGTACTATTACTAATAGTAATGCAACCAGTATCGACCAGAGATCTAGATTGACAACTATCTTTTTTTAATTCAGGAAACTTGCATTATTTGATGAATGGAATTCCTTAGCTGTTTATGTCTCTATGGACAACACTGTGGTGATTGAAGATATCAGTAAGTTATAGACATCAGTGGTTTAACATAGTTTTTGCTCTGCCTGGGATTTGCATTGCTTTGGGGTTTAGTGCCAGACTGATTTTGATTTCTAGGAAAACAAGAAGGGGGATACTAATGCATTGAGAGAGCTACTGGAAACTAAAGGAAGACCAGCTTCAGTCTCTTGGCTATGCAGTATGAGCACCACTGTGCTAAGCTTCTGTTTGCTCACCTCGGATGCTGCTGATTTTATATGGTTGTAAAGCAAAGTAAATTACTTCATCTCAGCGTTACCCAAAGCGAATGTCAAACCTCAAATGAGTCCAAATCATGGCAGTATGGTTCTTCTGCATTTGCAGAGAAGGTGACCCAATTTTTGATTCGAGTTACTATCTCCAGTGCATGGCAGGTGTTATTAATAACCATGGCCCTTGTTATAAATGGATTATGCTGAATGCTGTCTTAATGAAAAATCCCTGGCAGCTTTACATATGTTTTCAGACTTACGGTAGGTTGTCACATTGCCACAACCAAGAAGCCAACAGTGCATGATGCCGAAGGGCCACATTTGAGGGTAAATTTCTTTGCTCTTGGCTGGAAATGTTGCAGTGGCACGCCTGGCGATAGGTTGCAGGGACTGGCCTGTTGCGAGCAAAAATGCCTCTCTTGTCCTTATCACAAACCTTTCAAGGTCTGCAGCTGGAGTCTTGATGTTCCCATAGCTGCCCTTTTCACTTCATGAGCAACCAATAGTTTTGTAGATGCGTCTTGATAAATATTAAAAATAATGAAAAATAAAGAAAGTATCATGGCACATACCATAAAGGGTTGGGTCACTACTTTGTTAATCGCTTTGTTTAAAAAGCTCAGGGTCCTTTCCTTCACCTGAGCAGGAAAGCCTGCTGCTAGCTTTTGGTTCCTGCTGGCCTTCTCAGCTTGTGTTGGCTGCACAGAGAAAATCTCCACAGCCTCCTTCTTTGCTGCTGGGTCCCTCTGTGAGGCAGGTCTTTCCTTTAACCTGTAAATCTTTGCAGACACAGAACACCCCTGTTGACTTCACAGGTGAATATGGAAATGTGTTTACACAGGAGCTGCTCTCTCTGTGAAAATGAACGGGGAAGCACACTTGTCTGTCAAAACCAACGCCTCTTTTTAAGCGAGTTGTCTATCCCTTGGGCCCGTGGTAAGCCAGTAGTCTTTAGGCTGTCTTAAGCCAGTAGTTAGGCTGTCTTTTCCCTTCTCTTCTTCCAGAGAAGATGTGTTGGTCCTCTACCCAGAGCTGCCCCAGTGCCCACTGCAGCTCGCTGCCCCACAGGAGCACACGCAGCTGCAACAGGAGCCCAGGAGGGTTCTGCTTGAGTTGGAAGCCTCTGTTGCTGATCGTACCACTTCGCCTGGGGATAAACCACATCAATCCCGTTTATGTTGATGCTTTTAAGGTACAGTCCTCTTACAGGGGAGGTAGCGGAGCTAATCAGCATTCTAGGAAATGTTTAGAGCGATAACAGGTATTTTAGTATTTCATAATATGCATCCATCTGCCTTTCCCAAACTAAGCCGCTCTTGTCCCAGAATTCCATAAATTCTGCCTCAAGTTCCATCGTGGAAAAAAGGCGGGATACACATGTAATATATATTTCTTCTTCTTCTTTGGATCTTTAGGAGTGTTTTAAGATGCCACAGTCTCTGGGAGCTTTAGGAGGAAAACCAAACAATGCCTACTACTTTATAGGATTCTTGGGTAAGGAAAAATTGAAGGACAAAGGGTAGTTCTTTTCTGAAGAATTATCTTAAAGCTGAAATCATGAAGTAATGTAATTGCGGGCGTAAGAAAAGCAGTAGGGAATAAAGAGTCATGGGAAAGAAGCATTCCAGTGTTTTCTATGAAAAACTGAACCGCCCCTCCCCACCCAAATACTGACTTAATTTTGGAAAGGTTCGAGATGGTGGTGTTGCATGCCTGCTGCTAGTTCTGGCTCATGATGTGGATGGTTTGGCTGTTTAGTCCCATAGTTTGAAGGGTCAAATGGAAAGCAGAAACTGCTCAGCCACTGGTTGTTGTCCGAATCTCTTGGTTAAATTATCTTGATTTAATCCTAAGTGATTTTTGAAATAACAAATGGTCTTATCTGGGGGAAAATGTTAGGGTTATAAATGTGAAAAAACCCAGTGTGGTATAGTTGTGAAAATGTGGGTCCTGGGAGACCTTGTTTCTGGCCCTGCTCAGCTCTGGAGCCCATTGAGTGATTTTTGCTGGTCACAGACTCATGGCCTAACCCGACTCACAGGATTGCTGTGGGGATAAAACAGAGAGGATCAGGTGCATTGTGTTGGCTTCTCAGAAGAAAGGCAGGATATAGATATAATACATGAAAGAAAGTAGAGTTATTAAATACTAAATAAAAGAGTTATTAAATGCCATCCTGCTGATTGTAATGCTGGAGAACAGAAGCAGAAGGCTTGGATGGGTTCAGATTCTTGCATGAAATTCAGCCCTTCCCCGTAGCATCCCATGTAGCTCTCTCCAGTCTTCAGATCGCACCTTCATGTCAGCAGTGTGCAGTTTCTCCTGCACTTTGGCCCTCAGGAAAGGAAGCTCCCCGGCCCTCATTAGCCACTTTGGCCTCAGCTCTGTGTCTTGTCTGGTCCACCTTTCTCAAGGCTTCAGGCTTCTCCATCTACCCTTCCTTCTATAACTTCCATCACGTGGTCACTTCCTCAGACCTTTTCCTGCTCCCATTCAAGTCCATGCCTTCCTTGCCTATCCTTACCTGCTGTTTCCCCTGCCCTTTCCTGATGGCAGCACAGCGCCTCACCTGTTCGTCGCACTGAGCATTTCCCCCTTCCTCTCCCACCCTGCCTTGTTCTTGACTCTCCGCCTCCTCTGCCCTTCTTTTCCATGGCTCGGTGCTCGCACAGCTACTTTCCATGCAAAGGGTTCAATTCATGGCGTTTCCACATAGGTCAGGAGTTCTGTTTGAAATCCTAGAAAGCTGCTGGAGAGTGGAAGCAACGTGGGGCTAGATGATCTATGAGTTGGCGCCATTTGTAGGCCAAGCCCTTGCTCCTTGTCCTTGTCCCTGTTCTTGGTCCACCCTATCCTCTGCCCTGTTAGTGCAGCCCTCTCCTGTCCATCTCACAGCTGCAATGCAAGACTGAATGGCTCTCGGTTCTGCCTGTTTCTAACGAACCACTCTTTGCCCACGCAGGAAACGAGCTGATCTACTTGGACCCTCATACCACTCAGAGTTTTGTAGATTCCGAGGAAAACGGCACGCTAGATGACCACAGCTTCCATTGTCAGCGGGCACCACATCGGATGAAGATCATGAACCTTGATCCCTCCGTAGCTTTAGTAAGTGTTAAGAAGCAATGTCTGCAAGACTGGAGCACTGGGCAAATGGGCCTGACTCAGGCTGCAGACTGGAGCTGTGCGGCCCTGATTGTCACTGTGCTGAAAAGGCAGTTCATCCCCTCTGGGAAATTGGCTGCAGCAAATACCAAGCAGTAGCCTGTATTCCGTGAGGAGCACAGGCATAGGCTTGCTGTTAAAAGGAATTATAAAAATAGCCGCCTGCACAAGCTGACTTCAGAAGTACTGTCTGGACAGTTGGGCTTCACTGTTCCCTTTGCTCGTGTTCTGATGCGGTATTTTCTGTACATCATCTCTCACGTGGAAACATCTCCTTTACTTGCACAGGGGTTCTTTTGTAAAGAAGAGAAAGACTTTGATAACTGGTGTAGCCTTGTGCAAAAGGTAAGCATTAGGAAGCACCTCGGTTGGCATTAAGTACAGACTGCCGCTCAATATATGCCACTAAAGGGGAGGGATGCGCTTGAGAAGCAGAGCATTCTCCGTGGCAGCTTTCCCTGCTTAATAAGCTATTTCGTCATAATAGCTCACTGTTCAGGCCTGTCTGCAGTGGCATGGAAAAAGTAGCTGAAGGGCACACCAGGGTGTGTGCCTGCATAGTCACTTCTAGGGTTGTGTCGCCACACACACCTGGAACGTAGCCCTGGAAGTTGGATCCAAAATGATATGGCTGTTCCTTGAAGTAATCCAGAAATGCAGTGCTTGTCATATGAAGCATAAATAAATTGTCCAGGATGGATTACAGTACCCTTTCCTACTTGGATGTATACGGTTAGAGTGTAAGGGCTTACTGGCTAGGTCAGACTAAGAGCTAAAGCCGTAGGTATCTTGTTGAGTGCTGCCTGTACTAATAAGGATTTCCAAGGTATAAATAAGCTGTCCAGGGACCTACTGCAGCGGGAGGGCACATGGAATGAGCTTGAAAAAAAGGAAAGTACGTGCCGCAGTCTGATATTTATTTAGCTATCCGAGTTCCTGCTGCTTTTTTGAAATGTAATGCCTCCCTCAGCCATTGACTTCACTGTGCTGCCATGGAGTGCTCATAAATATTTAAATCTGTAAGGGTGCCATAGCTCACATAGTTGGCCAGGGCATTTTGGGAGTTGTCGGCCTTTTCTCTGCCTAAATATGCATAGGATTGCACTGTAGGACATCGCAAGCAGTGATTAAGACGTAGCTAGATAGCAGAACTGTGCTTATTACAATGATGGTGGCTCTCAGACGCTTAAACACAGTTGGCCTGGTGCTTCCAGTTCGTAATTGCCCAGGCAGTTCAGCTAACTTTGACTGGATCTGTTGTTCTGATAAAGACAGAACACTGTTCTCCACAGGAGATACTCAGGCAGCAGAGTCTGCGAATGTTTGAGTTGGTTCAGAAGCATCCACCACACTGGCCTCCTTTCATACCTCCTTCGAAGCCAGAAGTAACAACAACTGGAGCAGGTACAGAATTGTTTTTGAATTACAGGCATTGCTTCAATCCCTTCTTTCCCACCTCCTTTTCTCCCCCTGTGAAGTCAAATGCTAAGAGGAAGGCTTGAGTTCAGAAGCGGCTAATATTTTGATCAGACTGCTCCCCTCATCATCCTGTTGATGGCTGTGATTCTTCAGTGTTTGCAAGAAATGTAAACATCCTGGTTGCACTGCACAGGTGCATGGAAGAGTTTCTCTCGAACCTTCTCTGCTTACTCCTTGCCAAAAGCTTGGACTGTAGAAGAGTCAGTCTTGATTGAAGAAATGGTCAGGGTGATCAGTATCTTCCTCTAGTTTGGTCTTGCTGTCCTGGCAGGCATCCTTGCTACTCTGCAGTCACTTCCCCCACCTCCAGTGTCTGCTCTGTGGCTGTAAACGAAGTACCTGTGAAAACAGGTGCATCTGTAGATGCCTGATGTCATGGCTTCTAACAGAGCACCGCATTGCGCACAGCCCCTTTCCTGGATGCGCTTTAGAGATGTGCATTTGCAAGAACTTGCAAAGTCTATTGAGCTCTGGAATTAAGCAAGAACGTTCGTCTTAGCTTGTATTGTTGGAATCCTTACTTGGTGAGCTAATTCTCATTTCTCCTGGGGTAAGTTTTGCCAGTTCGAATGATGGGGCCTTGCCGTGGTATTTTTTAGTATTTATTTTCTGCCAGAAAGTAAGAGAATAAACCTTGGAATAAAACCCTTGAGAATAAAACTTGCTTCCCCTATTTTTCACAGAGCTCATTGAGTCCACTGATAAACTGTTTGAATCGGAAGAAGAGTTTGAGATCCTGAGTGTATGAAGGAGGGTTCTGTTGACCTTGTGTGTACCATTTGACAGTGACTACAACCACTCAGCCTTTCTAGCCCCAAAGTGCCTGCATACAAACAGTGAACAGAGCACAAGAACTGAAGACAATAGTTCCAAAAGAACTTCACCGGAAGGGAATCCTCTTGGCCCATGCATTTTTTTCAGAATGTATTTTTTTTCCTGAAGAAAATGAACTTTTGGGGAGTTGAAGGCAAAAACAAAATTGAAGCAGGACTCTGGTATGTTACTGGAAATTGCCCGGAAGGCTTTGATACCCGAATGGTTGTTATTACTCAATATAGATATGATGCAGTAGTCTTGCTCACACTGAAAGCATGAGGCTGAGGTAAAGGAGTGCGTTTACCTCTCCTCCCTTCATGTGGACAGTTTTGTAAGAATAAATGTCATTGTCTTGTTTTAAAGGATCGGCGGGATTAGGCAAAAATGATTTTGTTAAATATTTTAACATTTCTGCAACTGCATTTCTAAAAAACACACCAGCCCAAATGTTTCTATAAAAGAAACTGTCTAGTAAAGCAATTTTGCAGTTCTCCTAGGAGAGACATAAAAGAACAGGACTTGGAGAGCAACCCTCCAGCTTCTTGAACGGACCCTGTTTTCTTGGCCAAGAAGGGGAGGCAAACAGAGCACACCACGAAATATGTCGCTCTTCCTCGTCCATAATTTTCTTGTATTTCACCTTGACCTTAAGTTCACATCATTCTTCAAGCTTGCATTTTTGCTTTGGAGTAAAAACAAATTTCATTTCAACTGTATACTATTTATTTTAAGTTAAGCATTTACAGCCCCCCCCTCCCGTCCGTAAGAGCACTTTCCGTGTGCATCTATTAAAATTCTTAAACCTTCAATAGGCTGCATGTTTGGTTTTATAAATGGTTTGAACTTTTCTACCAACCCAAGTAAGTTACCTGTCTGAATGAAAAGGTCTCCTGGTGTCTTTCCTCCAGTTCTTTGCAGTGGTCACACATTGATAACTGTTTTACTTCTCTGTGGCATTGCCAGTGTGGTTGCTCGGTCAACTGAGGTTCTCCCCCAGCCAGGAGCGCGAAGGTCTGGCTCGCTTGTACTCACTGGACTTCTTTCCCTGCTCAGCCTTGGCCAGGAAGTGAACTGAACTGAGATCGAGTCCATGAACGCTTAGGAACGCTAGGGCCTTCTTCGCATGAAGCGTGTCATTCTGTGCACAGAGTGCCCAAAGCCTGCAAGTTATGTGTGCACAGCTGGCTGTGCGTGCACAGGCCAGCCTCATGGGCTCAGATTTATACTCACAAATGCTCCGAATGAGGCGGACTTCGGGCAAAGAGCAAGGCAGTCCGAGTCCAGGGAGCTGAGCTGAGATTCCCAGGCCAGACCGCTCCCACAGCGCTACTCCCCACCCTCGGTTGCAAGTAGTTTTCGTGATGGAGAATAAATCTGTTTCTCTCAGATTCCATAATTATTTGCAGTTTTCCTTTCTTCTCTGCCAATTCATCAGAATCCACATCAAAACCACTGCAGTCCTGGCCAAGACCTAAGGATGGATCTAATCTCAGTCCAACTTAAGGTAGACCCACTGAAACAACTTGGAGTTAATGCAGACAGTCGTTAGATAAATCCAAGTCCCAACGTGGGGTTTATTTGTAGATAGGCATAATGAGCTACAAGGATCCATTTGAATTCCATGTTCAGGCTCTGGGGAGTACCCAGCTTCTGTACAGAAACTGCTTTCCTGTTTAACAGAACTTGGAAATTAAAGTTACACAACTGGAGAAAGTACCAAGCTTATTGCCATGTGAGGGAAAAATGAGCATAATTCATAAAACTCATATATATGTATTTATGGCTCTTTGGGAAAAAATAAAATACAATCAGTGCCCTGAAATGCTTTCAGCAGTGCATTATAAAAACTCATACCCCCGCCCTGACCATCAGAATAAAATAAGGAAAATAACCTTTGTTTTAGCAGTAAAAACATTCATCCAACATATTCTCAGTGTTACGTTAATGTAAAATTGAACTGTTTAGTATATTAATTTATTTAGTCTATTAATTACTTAAACACTGACAGTTCCACGGCTACCTCTGAAAGATAAGAGCAAAACATAAATTTGAGGCTGCAAAAGCATTGAATACAAACCTGGGTAACCAGCTTGTAAAACTCCTTTTTTATATATATGCAGTACAGCAGAGGGAAGCTATGCCGTGCCATGCAATTAAGGCTCACAGATCACATGTGCTCTGTGGGAAAGGCAGACTGGGTGAAAATTGCTCAGGGTTGCATGCCTGTTACCAATCACCGTGGATTCTGTGAGCTGCTATTAATGCTAGTGTGTGTTTTATTCAAAGTGAAAATGAATCTCCCTCCATGCTCTCCTCAGTCATTAGCAGTATCAAACCTGAAAGCTTCTGGTTGTGATGATGGGAATCTTCAGCAAATGCTTTGGTCATCTCAGAACAGTTCTGGCATAGTTTAGTTATTTATTTTAAACATGTGTATACTTGAGTCACCTGCCACTGAGCAAAGACCATCCGCACATAATACTGGAGTTCTGAGGACCAGTGGTTGCGGCAAGCACAGCAGCAAGAGCTTGGTTTAACACAAGTGTATACACATTCTAAACACAGACACACTTAAAACTTTTATATGCACCCACGCGCATGGGGAAGCAGGTTGCAGCTAGTTGTAAAGGTAATCTGCAAATCCATGGAAGAGAATGTTAAAGCCAATAACTCAAGAATGCGAGTCAAGATTACAGATCAATTAAATCCAAGGCAGAGATCTCAGCACATGGGCAGTGCAGAGAGCTGAACGAAGTAAGCGAAGACACAGATTGCAAAAGAGGCCATGCGTTGCAGAACCGAAGAATTCAGCTTGTCAGAGCCATTCCAGAAAACATACCCATTTTACGGATCAGCGGAGCCTTCTGCTTCCCACACACACGCAAGCATGCACTTCTCAGACTCCTTTCCTATTGACTTGTGCCTCAGCTACCACAAATTCCCACGCCTTCCAACACCTGCCGGCCTACAGCACTCTGGTGCAGCCACTCTGGGACTGAGCCGGGTGGGTTCAGCTGAGCTGGCGCCTAGGGCACCCCTGCTGCACACTGGGAAGCTTATTCTGCTCACACCGAGGCGGATTCCTGAATCTGAGCTTCACCTAGGCAGGCAGCAGCGGTGGATGAGCAAAGGGCGGGATGGAGGCCAGAGAGGGAACCTGCTTGTTCCCCTCTCTGGTGGGTCCTTCACTGGACTCTGAGCCAGTCTAAGGGACAGGGGAGCAGCCTTCAGTAACCAGGGCTGATCCGGCCGCTGCTGCAATCAACTGCTCCCTTGGTGTGCATGAAAGCTAGAACACTTGGCATGTGGGTGGCGTTCTGCAAGAGGCAGCCTGGTGCAACCTGCCGCCTTTTTGAGATATTCATCCAGAATCCACGATGCCCCGATTCGGATGCAGCACATCGAACGAGCCATCCGCCTTTACAAGTAGGGAAACTTGCAGTCTTTGTGCTTCCCCTTCTCAGTCGCCAAAGGCTCCCTCTTTTAACCAGTCGTTGCTTCTCATGACGTCTGAAGCAAGAAATGAGCAGCACTTCCCTGGGTGGAGTAGTGGTGCATTGCTGAGGGAAGAGAGGAGGAGCCGCGTGTTCAGGGGCGGATCGTGATTAAATCAGTTACATTACTCCAAAAGCGCCTAAGAGGGGAGGCATGTAAGAAAGCCGGGAGTTTTAACGGGTTGCAGGTTAGAAAGCCAGTTGCTTTCCTTTGCCCCTCCTGCCTGGCTCGGGCTCAGTAAGGGAGGAGACCAATGGTGTGCGCTTGTTTTGGAACTGGAATATGTAAACCTTACACAGGGAAAGAGTCGAGGACAGACGGATCTCAGATTTCTTCACTGAATGTATAAAAGGCAAGCAGGGTCACTCAGGGATGGACAACCTTCTTTGCGCTGTGGACAGAGCTGGCAATTTGAGAAGCTGTGCCGGGCACCATCTTGGTCGTGGCAAAGAACAAGATCGTGGTCCCAAAATCTGCGTACATTGCAGAGATGAGGTCTGATGACGCCTTTGGACACACAGTTTCAGCCCCATCAGAAACCTATCTCAAAGCTGCTAATGAGATGTGTTTGTGGGAGGGGTAAGGAAAATGCCCGGCTACACTCTGCTGCCCACAGGCTGATCAAATCCCAGCAACACAATCCTATCGTGAAGCAGCCCAGCCGTGAAGGCTAACGGTCAGCCAAGAGGCAGGGACCATTTCGTTTACCATTTCAGACAGCGTGATTGATTTATAAAATTGCTTGTCTTTGATCACCCTGATGTCTCTGCTTGCAAAGGAGCACCTTTATTCTGGCAGTAGCCTCAGGCTGGCTCACGTGGGTTAAGAGCACAAATGTGTTTTCTCAATCATGTCGGGAACATCTACTCCGTTTCCCACTGGTTCACTTGTCTGCTAATGTGCCATGCGAGCCTTTGGCCATGGCCTGTTCCCTAGAGCTGCACGGAATAGATAGCTGGAGCTGCTTCAGGTGGTGGTGTCTGTGTACACCTCCAGAATTCATTCTCGAGTAGGCTTGTACACAGCTACTCGCCTGAGGTGAGCGGAATCAGCTGTAGGTGATCAAGCAGTGACACTCTAAAATGCTTGTACTTTTAAAGCAAAAATGGGTCACCTAAACCGATTAATATTGTTAATGCAGACATGTGAATGCAGTCACTGCTTAACGGCCAAGTTCTTGACAAGCGCATTTTCTCCAAAAGTAAACTTACCCTATTAAAATCTGTTTATCATGTTAAAGAGGGGACAAAAATGGCAGCGAGGAAGGAAGAGAAAGACTTTCTGAGGTAGCCATGAATAGGAGAATGAAAGAAATATAGCACCATGTTCTGTGATACAGAGAAGACGGCTCCGGGAGGCACCGAGTGGAGGCCAACATCATTAGCACAATTGGGAAAGGTTACACGTTCCTTGGTCTTCAGCCAAGCAAGATCTCAAAGTTCCTTTGTCAGCTTCTGGCCTTTGCTACAAGTTCTTCATGCAGACTTGGCACCGGCCCACCCGAGTCCGGAGCTGTCCTGCTTTCAGTGTTTCAGAGATGGGGAAGTCTGGAAACTGCTGCGTCTGCTCCACCGTCGTCAGCCAAAAGCTGTACTTGTTTGAAAAGTAGTGGCAGGTTCCTCGGGCGCCGTTGCATTCGATGAAAGGAGTGGCACGGAAATCCTCCAAGCAAGAACCAGGGGAGACCAGGGACTGTCCGCCTCCTTCAGCTCCAGCTGCCGTGTGCTGAAACAGAATAGTTTGTATCACCTAACTTGCAGAGCTGTGACTGGTACAGTTGGACAAAATCCCCAAAGACAACGTGTTTACGACAAAGAGCAAGGTTGTGCCTCAACATTTCCGAGATTGCACTAAATCAGGGCAACAACATAACCTTTGTTAGATCTTCAGAGAAAGGACTTCTTTGGTACCATGGCCATCAAAGGGACATTGTTGGTGGCAGGTGTTTTGGGTCTTTGGAACTCCTTGCCAAGGGGGACTAGACTCACTTCCATCTCATCTCTGTCCAGTGCAGCCAATGGATTAGGGCCCAAGGCAAAGGCAGTAGAAATTAAAATACCAAAAAATCCGGGCACATCCCCGCTCAAAGCTCTTACAGCTGGTACCTAAATCTTAGGGGAGGGCTTCCAAGGTTTTAGAAGAAGAAAAAACCTCGGAAGCCACCAAATCCTGCCATGTTTTAATTCTGGGTTTTGATATTAATAAGTGTTTCCTAAGACCACCTTCTCCTCTCCCCTGTATTGCTCACTGTGCAGAAATTTTATGAATGCAGAACTGGAGATTTGTCATGTGAATGCATGAAGGACGGGCAGGGAGGGTTGTGGGGAAACCCCGAGGGTGAACCCAGCTCACATGCCTGAGATGCTGCATCACATACCATGAGGAAGGAATAGCCAATCCAAAGGCTGCGCCAGCCCTCCGGGCACTGCGGGATGGTGATGTCCTGGCTGTGGATGGCCACGGCCTGGGAAGGGGCTTCACACACGGAGCAGCGACTGATGTACTGTGCAATCTGGTAGCTGCTGACGGGCATCATGGGGATGGGAGCGGTGGTGGAAAGCCAGTAAGACTTATCGTTGCGGCTGGCATAGTAACACACCTCGTTGATGTTGCAATAAATAAAAGGCATCGTGCTGAAGCGGGGCAGGCAGGAACCGGCAAAACCTTGCACAAAACCAACAAGAGAACAAGGTGCATTCAGACTCTCTATAGTTCGGGTCCTCTTAGGATTGACAAGGCAACGACTGTACTCGATTTCATGGAGAAGGCAGCCTCAACTTTCATTTTTTAACATTAGCGGAAAAACATTTAAATTTCTAGTCCTTAGGAGTGTGGAGAGATGTATTTGAAAGCAAAAAGTGAGATTTCCAGGGAGTGGAGAACAAGGCAGAGAGGGTAAATCAGGCATGACAAATGAATAAAAACATAGTAAGAGAGTGCATAATAATTCTGCAATATACATAAGTGATAAATAAAAGCACAATTGGCACCTGCTCAGTTGGAATAATGTTAGGCAGTTTGTGGCATTCTCTGTCTCCTGATGCTGAATTTGGACTGCCCAGGTGGAGAACAGGTGGGTTGTCGTGAGGCCTTTCTCTCCAGTGGGACTCCAGCTTCCTCAGACAGCCATGCCTGCTTCCTTTGGCCCCTTTCGCCCAGATGCCAGTCTCTGGGTGATTTCCCAGCTTTTGGTCCAGTCCCCCCTGTCCCCCGCCAGTATTAAGAAATTCAAGTGCCTCTCCTTACCTGGGCACTAGCAGTCAACACTTCAAGCTAAAATAGGTTGGAGTGCTTTATTCTTATTTCATTGCTGTCCTGCCCCCCAGCCAGAAGTCTCCATCCTTACCCACTTCTGGAAGGCAGCCTCCAACATGCAGTCTGCCCCTCAGCCAAAAGCGCTTTTGGACCCCTGAGATAAGCGTCCTTTCCCTCCCCTAAAGTTGCGAGGGTAGAGTCGTGCCTGCCCTCTTACCAAGATCCTGGTTGTGCGCCTTCTCCTGGCCCTCGACATACAGCAGGCTGTACCCTTCCCACAACTTCACCATCCCGACCGGGCATGGCGGAATCTGCTCCGACTGACTGTGCTTCACCAGGGTGTACCCGACGCTGACGCTGCGGCCCGGCATCCCAGGCAAACCAGCGGGCCCCAGATTCCCAGACAATCCTGGGAAGAAGAGGAAAGAGGCAGGATCTTGGCCATGATGGATGCATTGCAGGCAAAGTGGGGACTGGTGTGGATGAGGCCCTTGCAACTGGTACTTAGCAGTGTTTTAGGTGAGGACGGTTGGCTCAGATGGGAACTGTAGGAAATAAAAAGCACCAATTTGGGGAGGAAGAAACCCCGGCAGGCTCCTTCTGAGAAGCACCACTGTCCCTGCCCAGAAGCCTTGGAACAGCGCAATGTCACTTCAGGCTTCAGGAGAAGAAACGTGACAACTGTCCAGAGATGCTCCAGGGGGAGAGTTTTGCGTAATCGGCTTCCCTGCCAAAGTGTCCCCACCGCTCGGTGGCTCTCCCAGTCCATGTAAAGAAGTCAACTGGGACGCACGAGTTGTGCCTAAAGCCAAACGCTTTGCGTCCTCCATGGCAAAGGGTTACAAGGAAACTGCACCTTTAATTAAAATAAGCAAAAAGGGAGAAGCAACACAGTAGGGCAACGTGGTAAAAAAGTTACCTTCATATCCCTGGGGTCCTGGGCTACCTGGTGTCCCTGGATCACCTATGATACCTGGTGGTCCCGGCAAACCGTTGGGTCCCATCTGGCCTGGCCTTCCCACAACCCCTTTAGGGCCTGTCATTAAAAACAAACCGTGTCCGATCAATCAGTTTAGCTGAGTCTGCAGATTCGAGCCACACCAATAAATACGAATGTGTACATCCACATACAGTGTGTTAATTTTCAGTTGCACTGATTACAACTAAGGAGAAATACTGCCCAATTAGAATTAGCAACGTAAGACTTATCAAACCTCTTGCTAAGTTTCTTTTGTATCATGCCTCTTCCAAAGGTTTTGGCAGATTTGCAGAATGCAATATTTGAGAAAGCAAGCTCCCAAGGGAAGGATGCCTCCTTCTCTCCAAATATTGGGGAGTTTCTCTAATCTCTGGATTCTGGGGAGTTTCTCATTATTGAGCACAGCATCTAAATGTATTGTTCATATAAAGACCAACCAATTTATTCTCCTCCCGTTTTCCAGCAATAAAGGAACCTGTCTGATTCACCCTGGATGCAGACCGTTTCAAACTAACACATGGATTTTACGTTTTCAAAACTGGTAGATCAGCATTTCTCTGTGAATTTCTTCCCAAATGTCTGCAACTCCTCTTCCAGTCATCTCAATACTCAAGTGCAGATATCCTGACTACCACATCCTACATTCAGTCAGCCTTTCCCCTCACCAAGCACCCTTTTCTGACATCCTAAGAGAATTGGAGATCAAAAATATTTTGCAGGATACTTTGCATTGACCAAATCAAGGCATGTTTCCCTAGCTTTCCCCAGCCTTGCACAGAGCATGGGACTCAATGCCTGGTGAGCATCCGATGAACACTGGCTGGAACTTGGACTCTGATGGATCATCCACACAAAACAGTCCTTGCGCATCCCTTGTGAGAAGGCAGATGCACTGAGGAAGGTGGTCCATGGAGGGAACATTGCCAATGGCCCTCCAACCCGTGAACTGGTATTGTGAAGCCTGCAGACCTTCCTCACTGATTCCCCTAACAAACTTAAGATTTGGACGAACTGGTCAGCCCTTGTGGCTGCTGCCTCTCCATTCCTCCCTGGACAAAGCTCTTCATGTAAGTAGCTCAGCTCACCTTGCTGTCCAGTCAGTCCGAGGAGCCCAGGTTCTCCATCTGAACCAGGGATGCCGTCAAAGCCAGGGTTTCCAACTAAGCCAGGGGGAACCTTGATGTCTTCTGGCTTCTGTGTCAGGCCTGGACTCCCTTGTGGCCCAGGCTCACCTGCATATGGAGGTGACGTGACGCTGGTAAGCAAAGGTTAGACATTCCCCTAATCTGCTACAGCAGTGCCCAAATCTTGTTGCATGGTTTTGTAGTGGCCCTGTCATTCAACCTGATAGAAAATAACTTGTTTTGGCACATCACATAATGGGCAGTTTCTTCCTGGTCTGTGACCATAACATAAAAACTTAAACAATAATGGGCAGTTTAACAAATAATATGCAACCACCCGCTTTTCTTCCACATATTGCTCCATTTCCAAAGTTTACCTCATTTCCCCTTATTTGCTTACCTTGAAAGCCTGTTTCACCTTTCAAGCCAGGGAAGCCTGGATCACCTGAAGGACCATCTTTACCTGGCATCCCCATGAAGCCTGAGTCGCCCCTGATGCCTGAAAGGAGGCAGTGGTAAAACAGTTTTTATTCTAAATTCTAAAGCATTTAGAAACACAGAAACAGAACAAGTCAGGAGGGGTCTCCTGGGCCATCTAGTCTGACCCCCGGTTCCAGGTGTCTGCTCATTTATGTTTACACAGTTCAATGAAGAACATTCACAAGATTGTTTCCTTTTCCATTCAGGGCAACATCTGGACTGCAAATGCCCCCTTTCTGCAGCTTCTCCTGCTCCAAAATTGCCTCCACCATCCCACCAAATTTTGCCAGTAGCAAAAAGCCATGCTTTTCTGTTTAAAACAGGGTTCCCAACTCTCTGTGCACCATTTTGTTTTAAATGGGGGGGGTGGCCCCCTCCTGCATGTTGCCCACCCTGATTCTGCATGCATCGGCTTTGGTACAGAAATAATAATCACAGCTATCTGGAGAGTGTCAGTGATTAGACAGACGGGACATTTTATGCCACAGGATGCAGTGGAAAAAATATCAAAATTAAGGGAGGGTCCTACCTTTGAATCCTGATGCTCCTGGGACTCCGGCTAGCCCAGGGATGCCTGTGTCCCCTTTGAGGCCTGGCAAGCCAGGCACACCGGGGAAGCCTGGAACCCCTGTGTCACCTTGGTCGAAGGCTGGGCCTGGGGGTCCCCGTGGCCCGGGGGCTCCCTGGGGACCTGGAAAAATGAAACAAGCAGAGAAAGCTTAGAACCAGCGGTCTTTGCACATCCCCCAAAACAACGGCAGCTTCACCTCGTCCGCTGTGGATAGCAGCAGCTACCCCAAGAGCTTGCAAAAGTGGGCAATGGATTTACTGGCACTGGTCCCCGAAGCCTCAGAAGCCAAAAAGGATTCTGGGAAGAGCTTCTCGCAGATCCTGCCACCTTGGGCTCTTCTCTCCTTGCCATAATATCCCCATTCGACAGAAGTAGAGAAGGAAAGAGGGAGAGAACGTCTCTTTCTGTGTACAACTATGACCGAGACCAGACTCCTTTGCAACTGAGTTGGAGAACAAGATGGCACAGCTCCCATTCCGTCTTCAACTGAATCTTACTTCAGTAGTGAGGACGAGAAGCCCTCTGTAAGGGGCACAGAGTCGGCCACCTGCTCTCTTCACATTCACCTCCAGCATTTGCCACCTGAGATCACCACCTCAGTACATCTAAAGGTGCGGCTGGCCTTGTCTATACATAACTAGATCGCTTTATATAGCACTTTCCAGATATGTGGGTTTTATGGAGAAGGGAGGTTTATAATTTAAAAATGGACCTCTCAAAGCATGTAGCAGAGGAAGGGGGAGGGAAACAGAAGAACAAATAAAGGAAGGAGATGTAGGTATTTCTCTGTTTCATGTACTCGGGTTTAGTGGCTGTAGGATCCTGGGTGGCAGCTTCCCAGCCTGGGAAGAAGGGTGCCTGAAGAGGTTTACCTGTGAGGACAGGAGGGCGGTGTTGGAAAGAAGCTTTGGGTCATGTTGTATAACAGGCAATGTTCAAAGAACAGTTCTGAGAACATTCAGCAGAAGAAAATTCGGCAGGGAAAATTCGGCTGCTTTGAAAGTGCACACACCGTTCTCCCTCAGAATGATTCTGCATTGCTTGAGGGTGACTGCTGGGAAGTTTTTGAAAAATTTAAACTAATTAAAAAGTAGGAAGGATGGGACTCTTGCGTAGTAAGTACTCCCTTCCCCAACCAACCTTCCAATGAGGGCACCCTCAGATCACCTAAATAACACCCCTCCCTGACTCAGGATCTGCCCAAGAAGAAGACAGCAAACTGGACAGGTGGCCTTTTCACTAATGGGGGGGGGGGTCCCTTGACTTCCCCACTTGACATGGAGAATTAAATGTGGCCTCCCTGATTCCACCTGGTTAGGCCCCGAGGAAAAACTGCAGAACACATTAAGCACATCAGCAGAAACTCTCTTATAATTGAGACAGGCGTTGATTGAATTTCTGTTGAACCCTAACTTCAGTTTAAGGGCCATGTTGCATCATATACTTGCACAATCTTCCGGTGAAAGTCTGCAAATGCCCCCTGCCTCCTATTCCTGAGATCACAGAATAAGGGACAAAATTCCTGGTTTGGGGAGGCAACATTCTTCAACTGCAGCCACGGATCCTTCCAGGTCCAACTTCCCCATTAAGGAGACTTTTAGGCATCTCTGTAAAGTCCACCTATAATGTTCCCAATTCCGTACCTGGCCTTCCATCTTCCCCGGGTCGTCCAGCGTCACCTGGTCTCCCAGGAATTTGAGATGGAAAGGAGAGGCCAGGAGGTCCTTGCAAACCAGGTGGCCCAAAGGCTCCGGGACGACCTAGAATGACAGGAACACTCATTCATCGGCTGATTTCTCTACTTGCTTGGAAAAGGACCAGCCAGGAGATAAAGGGGTGTGGCTGGCTGGGTTCTTGAACACTTCCGCTCTCCTTGTGGCTTTGCTCCAGAAGTTGCATGCCTTCTTCTGACCCTTCTTATTTACCTGCATCTCCTGGGAGTCCCTTCTGTCCAGGAAACCCTGGGGGTCCAATCTGGAATCCCGAGTCACCCGGCTTGCCTTTGGTGCCTGGCAACCCTGCAGGGCCTGGAAGTCCACTTTCACTCAGACCTGACAAAAGGATGGACACACACAACAAGGCAGCCTGTTAAACACCCTTTGAGGTCCTGCGCCGCTCCTGCCCTTGTGCGCTGCATCAAAGCAGTCTGCTCTGGGACCCGCTCAAGAATGGAAGGCCCACGATGAACCACAAATGGCTGCGTGGAGGCCAACATGCAACACTCTTGCTCTGATATTTGGGGAACTGGAAACAAGAGGAGGACAGTGTGAAGACATCTATGGCAGGGGTATTGGGCCTGCCAAATTTCCCTTTGCAGAGGCTCCACATTGGATCCGCACCACCAGCGCATTTCATTACGATGCCTCAGTGATGGGGACTGAGTCGTGGGAGGGGTGTCAACCTTTCAGAAAAGGGGAAGAACAGCAGATGGGTCAGTGGCCCACCAAATGGTTGGTTCTGGGGAATCACAAGGGGCCAGACTGAGACCCTGGGAAGCCCTGAGTTTATGCACCCCTAGCCTATAGAAAGGAACCATAAAGACGCAGTCCTTCCCATGGTTAGACAGGACCTGGCATCCTGCAGTGGCTGGCTGGGAATCCTGGGAATTGCAGGATGTTTTCCTTTCTAACCATGCATAGGACTGCACCCTCAGAGGATCGGCAAGGGCCAAAATGTCCGCCGGTGGGCTGGGAACCAGGTGCTCAAGTTACCTGGTAAGTCTCAAGTTACCTGGTGTGCCGGGGAGTCCCTTTGTTCCTGGCAAGCCGTTCAGGCCATTCAAACCTGGGAAGCCTGGGAAGCCTGCAGAAAGAGAGGAGAAGGCTGAACTGAGTACTGGGCGGCAGCAGAAACGCAGGCAGTGTGTTTCTCTCATTCAAAGACCCAGACCTGCCATTGGGTCTGATGGTCCTATAGGGAAGCTTGCAAGGTTAATTTTAAAGACACATATTAAGGCAGCAAGAAAATGTGATGGTGAAAGAACAGTCCAAAAATGAATAGCCAAAGAACAGTTTGCTCAAACAAAGCACAAAGCCCTTTTGCAAACAACTGTCTGAAAACCTGGCATGAGGGAGCGGAGCAGATCTTCCCTGGGACAGGAATCTGCGGCTGGTTGAGGCAAGCTGGGAACTGTAGGGCTTTTTGTTTTGTCTAAACACACAACAGATTCTGCCCTTCATGGACTTACAGGGCCTCCCTTTAGATATATCTGTGACTTCAGCTGAGAAACAAAGAACTAACACTCTTTGTTCCCCATTCCCTGTGTATTACGATTGTGCCTCTATCCTTGACATATTTAAATGAGAAATAAGCCAGCAAGGAGTTTATTAATCCTGATATTAAAGAAGACAGACTCGAAGCATGTGCAGTGGTGCATTTTAAATGCACATAAATCAAAACACAGGCACAAAAAATGAAGCTCTGATGCAGAACATATGTACTGATTGATCGGTACCTTGTTGCTAAGAAGGATCATGCAGATTTAAAGTAAAAAATATTCAGCCGAGTGTCTGGAAACACATCCAAGAGTGGTGGGCCTGGCCGACTATGCAATGGTCTGTCTGTCTGTCTATCTATCTATAGCTTTTATAACCCGTCCACCACCGAATGTCTCGGGACAGTTTATAACAAAAGCAACAAATAAAATGAAACAAAGCACAGCAATAAAATAAAGCACAGCATAGCACCCGACATTTCAATATGAGAAAACCCAGATTAACACCAATTAGACAGTAGAATAATGGGAAAATGAAAAGGTTTCCACCTGACGCCGAAAAGAAGTGTCAGCACCAGGCAAACCTCTCTGGGGAGCATATTCCATAGATGGGGTGCCGCCACCAAGAAGGCCCTAATCCGAGTAGCCACCCTCCTATCTCCTTCGAGGAGGCTCCCGAAGCAGGACCTCTGCACTGCATCTTTTTATGATGCAGAAAGCAGGCTGCCTTGCATAGAGCTGTGCGTGAAGGGCCCCGACTGCTAATGTCAGGGCTGCTTGCTGCTCTTCCATCCCCTGCCACCCTCTGTGTGGTCCTGCAGAGCCAGGCTGTGGGGTGAAGCAATGCCTACCCTGCCACAGACGGGCAAGTCTTAACCACACCAGGGAAAACAAGCACTGTGCATCTGCACCACGTGGGATGGAGTTGCCTGCTCCTGCTGCCCCTTGGTAATTTTGAACAAGCTGCCTTTGCCAGAATGGTTCGTCCCTCCAGCCCACACCCACAACGCGGGATTCTCTCCAAGAGCGAGGGAACAACAAGCGAACAAAGCCCTACCTTTCAGCCCCGAAGTGCCTGGAAGCCCGGGAAAACCTGGAGGGCCACGCTGCCCAGGACTACCTGGAAGGCCTGGGTTGCCTCTTGAACCAGCGACTGCAGGGAGGCCTGGCCAAGGAGATGCATGGAGGAAGAAAGCAAAGACACAGATGAAGGACATTCAATTGCAGAACATGCGCCTACATTGCAGAGCGCAAGAGCTCCAGGGGGTTGGACTTCCAGGGAAACAAGCTTAGGAGAAGGGCTGCGAGGGCAGGTCAACATGTTTATGACATGGATATACTGCAAAGAAATCTGAAGTGCCGGGTGGGGGGCAAGCAGACAGCTGGGGAGAAATGTACTAAGAAACCCTTCCCCCAACCCATTTCTTTTTATGGAGAGTTCTGAAAACTTGGAAAAATTACTCCTCTCTCCTCTCCCTGTTCTTTTCTACTTCTCTTTCGTCTGAGTTTCCCCCCTTTTTATCCCTAATCACGCGCTTCTCCCAAGAAGAGAAAGAACATACGGAAGATCTCCAGTTGGTCTCCCATCCTAGCATTGATCAAACCCAAACCAACATAGTTTCAACGTGCTTTCAGACAGCACCCTGGCTACAGCAGGCAAATTAATGTAGCATCTACTCCAATTGATTAATAGCTAAGAGTAAGAATTAAATTAATCTAGTATCTACTCCGGTGAAGGCGCTAAGGACATAAGAATGGCCATGCCGGTTCAGGCCAATGATCCATCCAGTCCAGCACCCCATTCACAGGGTGGCAGGCCAGCTTGCTCGCAGGATCCCTCAGGCAGGATGGGTGCCAGCCCTCCATTGCCCAAGCTCCTCAGCAACTTGTGAACGCCGGCATGTCACCTCTGGTGAAGCAGGTAGCCCATGGCCAGCAAAGATAGTTGCCACTGCTAGCCTTCTCCTCCATGAATTTGCCCGATTCTCTTTTAAAGCCAAACAAAATGGTGGCCATCACGACTTCCTGTGACATGAATTCCCTAGTTTAGCAATGTGCTGTGTGAAGAAGGACTTCCTTTCAACTGTGCCGCATTTCCCACCCATCAGCTCCGCAGGATCAGCCTGAAGTCATCCACTTCAAATCTTGGCCAGGCAGGCAAAGCGATAATGAAAACGAAAGCTCCCCTCACCACAGAGCACATTCACTACCATGGTTGTTGCAGATAATTTCTCTGCCTTTTCCAAAGTGGATTTAAAACCATTGTTTTAAGCGAAGACTAATAGCTGTGACTAGAACAACAGCCAACGTTCTTGGGCTCTGCTTCAAATGTTCTCTCTCCAATAGTAAGAGAATAATCACTTCTGTGTTGTGTGATTTGTTCACAGCAAGTATCTATTTTATAGGCCTTGGACTTGAGACAGGCAGAAAGCAGGAGAGATTCTCTGAGCATCTGCCGATTGATTGAAAACAGCCCCCTAAACGGCCTTGGTACCTGGAAGCCCTTTTTGACCAAGGTCCCCTGGTGCACCCTTCTGTCCGTACTGTCCAATGTTTCCGGGGAATCCTGGATCACCCTTTGGTCCTTCAAGGCCTCTTGCACCTCAAGAGATCATACAAAGAATCAGGCTTATGGTACGTGCATTTCCCAAGACGATCTGTCTGCTTCCTGCTGGGACATAACCATCTTCTGCCATCCCTCCCCACTGGCCCATTCAGTCTGAACTGACTACTGGGACAGGGTGCAGGTTTCCAGAGTTGGAGTCCCCCTGGGTACCAGTGTACCTTGCCCCTCCAGATTTTTATTTTTGTTACTTAAGATTCTTTAGATTAATTTTGACTGGCATACCATATTTAGGGGGATTCATAAGCGTGACTTCTGCTTTGCTCTTAGGTTCTTCGGCAATTTGCTTTTCTTTTAGGTCCAGTATGGACATAATGGCAGCAATCTGTGGATTCATTAAACTCCAAATTTCCTGGGGACAAGCAACGTACACAAGGCCACTCCTGGGACGCAAACCAACCTCCACACAGTTCAAGCATACATTGTTACCATAATATCAGGACCCAGAAACTTCGGGTTGTTTGTGGTTTGCAACCCCAAATTAACTTTGGTTTGTTCAATCCACAAACAAACCAAGTGTCTGAGTTCAGCTGTTACAGTAACAACCTACATGTGTGATGTTCGTGGCTTGTTTTGCAACCAAAAGTATCCCGTGATCACTGCAGAAGTCTCACTGCCATGTGTGAGCAAGGTCAACATCTTACCAGTTTGCCTTCTAGGAAGGGGCTGTGTTTGTGACAGGGTATACTCAACACTGGAAGCCAATTCGTATGAGCAGCCATGACACTCTTTCAAGATCCCAGATCTGTCCATTAACCCCAGAAGCTTTGGGCCCCCTATTTACACCCCCTTTAGCTGGAAATCAACCTACAAAGTGAAGTGTTAGCGTGCTTATATTAACACTTGGCTTATGCTGTCAGAAGCCCTAACTATTTGCTGTTTGAAAAACGGTGTCCAGTCCATCTTTTAATTTAGACTTCAAGGACCTAATCTTGATCGATACTTTAAAGTCACTCTGAGTAAATCCTGGAAGCCTTCTCTTCCAGGATGCTGTACGAGTCACCACCTGTCATCTACCTGGACGCCCAGGTCCTCCTCGTTCTCCTTTAGCTCCGACAGCACCTGGGATTCCAATCGATTCCCCTCGGTCACCTGAAAGAGTCAAGGAAACCCATAATTACATGTTGCATTACAAGTACCTGCTTAAGACCGTCCTGTTCCTACCTCATTGATTCACTGGGACAGCCTTTTCCAGCCTGTTGCCCTTCAGATATGTTGGACTACAGCACCCAGCTTCCCCAGCCATCCTAGTTGGCCTGGGGATGCTGGCTGTTGTAGTCGAAAACACCTGAAAGGTGTTGGGTGGGGAAAGCTGCATTAGGCAATCCAGATGTCTACCATAATGTGAGAAAAGCAACCATCCTCCTTTCTCGTTAAAAGTTGCTACTCACAAGAAGCACCTGAGAGGATTATTAGAATAAACTTTGAGCTCCCCATTTCTTCTTTTTTCCTGTGCTATTTGTCTCTGTGATATGCTCTCTAGAAAAGACACACTCAAAAGGGGGGGGGACCCACTTCAGCATCTTACCTTTTGGACCACGCTGTCCTGAGGTCCCTGGGAATCCAGGTGAGCCAGGTAGACCCTGAGCACCCTGATGGAAGAAATGTCATTTAAGCACCGCAATTAACATGGAGGTCAGCCTTGGCTGGCGGAGGAAATAATGTCCAGCTATAAAGGAACCCACCTGAGACCCCCATTAGCAAATGGAAAGGGACACACTCACACTTTCTCCGGGCATCCCTGGAAACCCAACAATGCCAGCAGCTCCTTTCTGTCCTGACAAGCCAGGAAAACCCAGGGGGCCTGGAGAGCCGACTTCTCCGGTCCGTCCTCTCTCTCGACTTGGTGACCCAGGTATACCAGGGAGACCAGGCTGTCCGGGCTTGCCAGGGAGTCCCTTGTCCCCTAGGAGAATGGCACGATGGTTGGAAAAGGGTGGTTGTCCACCATTCCTCCAAAAGGACATGGGATACATGTGTACGGACAGTCGATTCTTATTCAGCTCGACAAAGCATTCCAAGAATGTTAGATTCATTTAAGGAACCCAGAAGAGCCTCAATGGATCAGAGACAAAGTTCCAATCATGTCGACCAAATACTTCTGGAAAGCATGACAAAAATCGCTCCTGTGTTACATCTGAATCAAGTACAGCTGTTCAGGTTTTGAACTGGCATCCAGACGCAGTCATAGGGCAGACGAAGCAGTGATGGGGCAGGTGATGCCTTCACCTGTTTCCTGGTGAGATGAAGGCCCTGTAAGCAAGCAGTTCTCCTGCCTGGAAGCTGAGCAGCTGAGTTTTGATGGGGTTGTCCTTCCCTTAGAGGAGCAGGTTAGGAGCTTGCTGGTGCTCCTTCGCTCACCTTTGTCCCTGGAGGTTCCTCTGGTCTTGGTGGCAACCAAGAACCTTTCACCACCTTTGGTCGGTGTGGCAGCTACACCCGCAATGCAGTTTTAATTCCACTATTTCCATCATCTTGGTGAGAGTGAAATGTTCCCCAGGGTTTGAGGTGAGTGGGAGAATTTCCCTGAGATTTTGCATTGTTTGGCGGTGGGGTTGGCTTAGCTCATTTTCATGAAGCGGTTGCACTGTGTTTTCTAAATGTCTAAGAAAGCAGGTCCCAGCCACTGGGAGCGTGAAAGGTTGCCAAAGTCCCTCCAGAGAAGGGACCATAAACATAGAAACCGAGTGAGTCAGAAGGGGCCTCCCGGGCCCTCTAGTCAGGCAGCCCCATCGGCCTTCCTACCCAGCTGAGATGAGCAGCAGTGTCTTTATAAACACTGTGTGAGTGTTTCTGTGGCTGCTTTGTAAAAATAAGCCAAGCCAACTCCCACATCCCCTAATATCAGGGAATTCTCTCCGTTTTCACTGGGGACAAACACCCCACAGAAGCATCCCAGCCTGGCTTTAATTAAATAGACAAAGAAGGTTCTCTAAGCGGTGACTGGATGAGGGCAAGCACTGAAATTGGAGGGTCCTATCCAAGCGACAGCAAGTACCTCTGGCTCCTGGAAATCCATCAGGTCCGAGGGCTCCTGGTTCACCCTTGTTTCCTTTGAATCTGAGTTCCAGCTCTGGAGGCCTGAACACAGGGGCCCCCGGGGCGCCAGGGTTCCCCCTGTCTCCTGCAGAAGGGAGGAGAGAGGAGTTATCCTGGGACAGAGAAGCGTTTGGGGTCTCCAGGTGCATTTTGATGTTTGGGAACCTTGTTCTGGGTCCCCTCCAGATGGCCCCCAAGGGACTGGCCACAAAGTGCAAGGCAGAGTCCTCACTTGGCTTTGAAGAGATTCCAGTTGTCCGCAAGGAAATTACGGTGCTTAAAAACAAGTGGGAGGAGCAGGGCAACTTGCTTGGCACCACGAAAGGCGTAGGGAGTCCCTGAACACCATGTTGCCTCCAGCTGCTTTATAGAGTCCCTCCCAGACGCAGAGAGGGTACATTTCCTGGTCTGCAGACAGAATTGTTCCTTATAACCAGCATCAGCTGCTTTACAGAGTACCAGAGGCCAGCTCCCTGCCCCACAAAGCGTCCAATTTAGGGACTGTTTGGATATTGTTTTGAAACAAGTCATTGCAAATAAACAGAAAAAAAGCTTGACATAAGCAAACTAATGCCGGGAGAGCAAAGGCAACTGGAGCAGGGAAGGCGTATGCCAGAGGTGGGTAACTTGTTGCTCTCCAGATGTTGGAGGTACAACTCCCATCACTCCTAACCAGCATAGCCAAGGGTGAGGGAACATGGGAGTTGTAGGCCAAAACCTGTTCTCCACCTGTGCAAAGTTCAGTGATTCCAAGTTGCTGCTTTCCAGATCTTCTGGACATCAACTCCCAGGCCAGGGTTGCTTGGAACTGTAGCTGAAAAAATCTGGAGGCACCAGCTTAGGGAAGGTTGCAGTAGGCCATGAGGACTAGGAGGCTGTGTAGCACCAGAGGGATCAGGGGCATGATGAGGATTAAGAGAAGAGGCACCACAAAAGGCACCGTGGAAATGAGTTCCCGGGGAAGTGGAGGCCCGGGAGAAGAAAGGGCAGAGCCACAGGCAAGTCCAGTGGGGACCCAGACGTCTCTGGAGGGACGCTTATCCCTTGGGGGGCTGGATCCTGCCATTCCAGTCTTCTTCAGCCAGATCCCAAGTGTTGGGACTTACCTTTAAGGCCTTGGAGTCCAGGAAATCCAGGACTGCCATCTCTTCCCACTGCCCCTGCAGCTCCTTTCAGCCCCTCTGCCCCCGGGATTCCAGGGAGGCCTGGCAAGCCAGGGAAGCCAAGCATGCCTGCTGAGCCCCTTTCCCCTGTTTCAAAGAGCAAAGCAAGAATTTGAGTCCAAGCAAACTGGGCTTGTCTGCGACCTCCCCCCACTTGCCCAAATAAACATTTGGGGTTCAACTGACTATCTTTTCAACAAACAGGGTGGTGGGATCCAGAGCACAAGAGTTGCCAGGTGCACCAAGATGAAGCAAACATCAAAAGACACATTTATACTGTAACTTTTACCTTTGGATCCAGGGAAACCTGGATTTCCATCCGGTCCCAAAAGGCCAGCTGGTCCAGGGAATCCTCTTTCTCCAGGACGTCCCGGCAGACCATCAAGGCCTGGGAAACCCTTCATCCCAGCAGGGCCTGGTGGACCCGCGTCGCCACCTCTGCCTTTTTCTCCGGGAGTTCCTGAACCAAGACAAGCAAGGCGTGCTTTATCACAGTCCCTGTCTCCTTCCCCTTCTGCAACCATCCTCCAAAGCTGTATTGTTGTGAGCTTTGTGTTTGCATAGGAGAGATGGAACCTCAAAAAGGCATGCAGCTTTTCTAATAGGCACAAGTTTAGAAGTGGCAAAAATAAAATAAATAAAGCATTAGTCCTCTAACTAACAATTCAAAGGCCAAGGAGAGTTACTTCCTACACCACTATACAATGGCCAATAGTGAAACCCCTTATGCTTGGGAGAAATTTAGGACTGATCAGCCAGTGTTTCAGAAACATGTGTGCTACAAATCACAAGGCCACACACGCTGGGATGGAAAACATCTGGAAAAATGCATTCCACTGGCTACCCTCTCCATCAGAGCAAACCAAAGAGGTTAACTGAGAAGGAAAACAAAATCCAAAACCATGTCCGGTGAAGCAAAAAAGAAAAATCTTCATCATCACTTTGATCATTCTGCAGTCCAGGCATTGTTTTCCGGACTGGATTCACGATGCTAGAAACATCACTGCTGACGTTAATCAGTAACAGTGTGAGTCATGTTGAATTTGGCCCCCGAATTCTGGCTAGGTGTTTCTGGCTGCAACTTTGGACTGCTCTGCATATTTTGTAATTTGGTTCGCTGTAGCGACGACTTGAAATGTCAAAAAAGGATGCTCAGGCATCCTGAACAAAAAAAGAGGTAGTTTCTGGGAAGCAGCACCGGAAGCAGGAAAAGTGGGCAACGAATTTGCCAGTTTCTGATTGCAGGGGTTCGATGGCACCACCTGATCCAAAAAGAAGTACAGGAGTGAAAGAACTCCGTCTTTACTTCAGATGGATGGAGGTAGCAGGGGAAAGCGGAGCAGGGACTGCAACAGAACGGAGGTCCATGCCAGGGCCCCCCAGTGCAAACGGCTCTTCCGGATTCAACTCGCTGACCTGCCCAGGCAGGCTCAGCCTCAGTGCGGATAAGGGGTGTCACCTACAGTCAGTGCAGGTGTTCCAGCAGCACCGAAAGCTAGCTAGAGGTTAGTCCAGGATCTATTAAGCTACAGCAAGTTTTCTCTCACCTTGACAGCCTAGGTGAAGAACCCAACAACCAATACAGTGTGACATCAGAAATGGAGAGGTTGGTGGTAATGGAACAGAAACATGGTGAGGAAAAATAGACAAAAAAGTATGAATGGGAGGGAAAGAGCAAGAGCATGATCGAAATGAACGACTCGGGAAACGACTGTAACCTTCGCTCCTTGACGGGAGGCAGTGCAAACATGGGGATGGGCCAGAGCTGTGAAAGGTCCCTTCCCCTGCCTGATCACCCAGGTAGCATGTGCCACTGAATTTGTCCTGATTTGGGTAGAAAGGAATGGGGAGGGGAGCAGCACCCACAGTGGCTGTGGGTGCAAAGTGGGTGAAATAGCGGGTTCACACGCCAAGCTTCTTTGGACCTTTCACAGCGTTTTGGATCTTTCCCTCCTGGTTCCTGCACCAGGTGAGGGTGGGAGGACTCGGGCAGCGGGGAAATGGACCTTGGATTGCCTTACAGGATTTCCTCCGGGAAGCCCAACAGAGTTCCAAACGGAAAGATGGCATTTGCAAAACTGTAGCTGCCTGGAGTTTAAATTGTGAAATAGTGCATGCTGAAGAAGCAAATCAATTGCCCCTCCCCCAAACAATCAGTCTTGAGGTATTTTGTGGGGCTGGTCCTGCATCCATTCCATGATGGAGGATGAGCTTGGGGAATGAAGGAAAAAGAAGTTATTTTATTGATCAGAGGGATAAAAAGATACAGCAGCTCTTAGGAAAAGCAAATGAGAACAGAAGGATGAGGTCTTCTGAAAGGTTACATTTTCTGAAATGAAAGCATGAATGTGGGTCATGAATGTTAGTATTAATGATGATCATGAATTTTTAAAAGGCTCACTTAAGATTAATTCTTCGATCTATTATCTGCAATTAACACAGCAGTGCAGTGACATTTCCTTTCTAGGGAAGGCCAGGGAGCTTGACTAATCTGAGCTGGAGATCTCCACAACCACCAGGCCCAACTAAGTACTTCCAGCTACTGACTGAGAAGTTAGGATATTGTAGCTTGCAAATCTATCAGCTTAGTTTGATTTCCTGCTGGCCTCGGTTTGCACATAATGCTAAGCCGTGATGTGGTTTGTTGAAACTTGGCTTGTTGTTGTGTCTGAACACATCCCTGTAAACAAACCATGGTTTGTTAACCAGCTACAAACACATATAGGACCCATGAGGCCCATTCACACAATACAATGGCCCACCATGGCTTATGTTACCCCTCAGGGGCTATTGCATCTGCCTACAGGCCCCCAGTGTGTCATTTTGCACAAGCCCAGGTGGCAGGAATTAGTTGAAGGTTCAACAATCCTCCAACAACCCTAAAACAAGCCATGCATTGTTTGAGACAACCCTGCCGGGTGGATCTGCAGGCCACAGTAAGCCGTGGCTGGGCAGGTGACTTCAGGCACCCAACATGGCACAATCGCCTCTGCAAGTCACGTAAGCACGGCGGGCTGACATGCAGACCAGGCCATGCCTTGTATCTTGGGATCTCTGCGATGTCCAGAACTGTGAGCTATTCCTGGCTTGGCCATGCTTCCGTCTGCCTTGAAGCAGAGGCACCAAGCAAGCTGCTCAGGAAATTGGCAAAATGGGTGGGGGAGAAGCAAGCAAACCGATCTGTGGGTTGTTGGCTCATTCGCAAGCCGGTTCATGTCAGAAGCAACAGAGCATGGCTAACCTAGATCATGGCTTACCAATATGTGGAAACAGCGCCCACTGCAGGGCCCGAGGAGCTACAGCCGGTGTTTCCCAGCCTGCTGGCCATAGTAGGAACTGGAGACCCAAAGCTCCTCATAAACCCAGACCTGAGATCATGCTCAGGCTCCACGCTCAGAACCTAGCAAGAAGTAGGAAAGTAACCCTGCCTAAGAAAGCAACATTCTTCCAGTTTGTGACCCTATATACCTGGAGAACCTGGTAAGCCGATTGCTCCCACTGGACCTGCTTTTCCTTTGATGCCGAACGGGCCTGCAGGTCCTGGTGGGCCTGGAAGCCCATCAAAGCCTGGAAGTCCTTGTTCACCACGTCCTCCTTTAATGCCTGGCAGACCTGGCCTCCCATCGAAACCTGGAAGCAGAGGAAGCCTCGTTAAAAGCATACTCCCCATCTCCCTTTCCACTGAGTTAGACTGACAGACTGATAGGTTTGGCCTGACTGTTCATTAAAGTCCACTAAATGCAGCACAACACCCTAATGCAAACAACCGACTCATTAAAGGATGGGAGCAGAAGCTCAGATCCAGCAGACCAATCTGGCCCGTCGCGGTTCCTCAGAAGCCCATGCCTCACCCCTTTCCTCCCATGGCCACCAACTGGTTGGTGCTTTCCCAGTTTTTCTGCAGGTTTCCCTGTTCTAAAAGGCTGGAATGGCTCTCTTAAGACTTGGGTTACTGGCAAAGGAAGTCTTAAGCAGAAATGTTCTTGCATGCCAGGCTTCTTCTGCCCTCTGTTGATGTGTAGCCCCCCGGAACTTCTTCCAAACGGAACATGGTGCTCAGGGCAAAAGAGATTCTGCACTCCTGCCTTAAGAGAAACCAGAGGGCAGGTTGAATGTTTCAGATCTGAAGATCTGCCTGCCCTCTGCCCTAATATTTATTTAGCCCATTTCTGTCTGCTTTTTCTTCCACTCAAGGTGAAATGCATTAGCTGTTCTCAAGCAGTTTCCCATTCAGGCACTGAAGAGCACCAGACAGAGCAAGACATTTGCACCTGGGCCCTCTGGACAGATTCCAGTAAAAGCAGAACCAACCTTTCGGTCCCGGCAGGCCAGAATCCCCGGCAACGCCTTTATCTCCTGGCAATCCGGGCCGCCCATGTTCCCCTGGAGGTCCACTTTCAGCCCCAAACACTTCACCAGGCAGCCCCTTTGCACCCGGCAAACCAGGAGCACCTGGTTTCCCATGAAAGCCATCAGGTCCATCAAGCCCTGGAAGTCCTTGCAGCCCTTGATCTCCACGGATGCCAGAGAAGCCTTAAACGATAAAACGGACAATAACCGCAAATATGTTGACTGCACTTACATTACAGTTTCAGCTACAGCTCCCATCCACTGCAGAACCCAGTGGCTATAATGGCAGTCTAGCACATACATTTGATAGGTAGAGCAAAACAGAATGGCCTCTTTTCCCAGCACTCTGAGGTGCAAGCCATTGGCCAAAACTATGATGACCTTCCTGGATCTCTCAGCAACTTTCAGTACCACTGATCATGGTATCCTTCAGGCTTTTAAGAAAGAACAGTCTCAGGTTGAGAGTTAGTGTTTCTCTGAGCTCCTGGCTTTTCTTTTCTTTTCTAGTTGCAAAGTCACGTCCGACCCATCGCTACCCCATGGACAACACTCCTCCAGGCCTTCCTGTCCTCCACCATCCCCGGAGTCCACCCAAGCCCACACCCACCACCCCAGTGACTCCATCCAGCCACCTCATCCTCCGCCGTCCCCTTCTCCTTCTGCCTTCAATTGTTCCCAGCAGCAGGGTCTTCTCCAGGGAATCCTTCCTTCTCTTTAGGTGGCCAAAGTATTTGAGTTTCATATTCAGTATCTAGCCTTCTAAAGAGCAGTCAGGGTTGATCTCCTCTAGGACTGACTGGTTTGATTTCCTTGCGGTCCAAGGGACTCACAGGAGTCTCCTCCAGCACCACAATTCAAAGGCCTCAATTCTTCGGTGCTCAGCCTTCTTATTGTCCAACTTTCACAGCCATACATCACAACTGGGAAAACCATAGCCTTGTCTATATGAACTTTTCTCGGCAGGGTGATGTTTTTAGTATGCTATCTAGATTTGCCATAGCTTTCCTCCCAAGCAGCAAGCGTCTTTTAATTTCTTGGCTGCAGTCACTGTCTGCAGTGATCTTGGAGCCCAGGAAAATAAAATCTGTCACTACCTCCATTTCCTGGCTTACACGACCATTTATAGTTAGGAAAATGTTATTTGTGACCATTAGAACAGCAGATATATGACTTTTTATTGATGGAGGGCTGTTTGCAGGGTGAGAGGGTTGCTATGTCCGGTGTCCTTCCCAGCTCTTACCTGGCATTCCTGGGAGCCCAGCTTGTCCTGGTGTCCCTTGCTGTCCTTTGAAACCATTTAATCCCGGCTGCCCTGGGATGCCTGGGAACCCTCTCCTTCCCTTGGCACCTGATGATTGAGAAATAACCACTCAACAAGACAGGTTTGGATGAGGGTACCCCACATACAGAGAGAGTGCAAGAACAGTGCATGCCTCCAGGGTATAGCCTGCAGTGTCTGATCCTGCCCAATCCTGGAAGCTAAGCAGGGTCAGGCCTGGTTGAAATCTGGATGGGTGGCTTATGTTAGAACCCTCACAGAGAGCTTCAGCTACAGGGTGGTATAGAAATGTGATGGATAATAATATTACTTAACACAGTGTGAAAAGGGACCGATGGAAAATTGGATTTGATTTGGGCTTGAGTGGAATTTACCCAGTTCACATGTCCGGGAAGGAAAACCAGATCCATACGCCCTCTGCAGTCGAACCCTGCACATTTCTGATATTCGGACATGTTTTGCAGAACAAAAATGTGCTCAAAAAAGGGTACATGTGAAAGAGTGCAAGGAAAATACTCATTATTTTGAAAAACGTGCACAACTGACACATCCACTTAAGGATGTGCATGCACATTTTTCATTTGGAAAGTTTCAGATCAAAAGCTTTTGATCTGATACAGACGTAAGTCAGAACTAGCTTTGAGATTTCCACTTCCTGGAAAGTGACGCCAAGGCAAGTGAGTTGCAGCTCCTTTTGCTCGGTTCTTTTTACTTTTTCCACGCTTGGGGAGGAATAGCAGCAGAGCAAGGGCTTGCCAGAACCAGCACCAGAACTTTTGAAATGGCGAGACTGTGATGTTACCAGCTATCTATCCTGACCCAGAATTCCTCTTCTCTCTTGACCTTAACCACAGTCCTCAAGTTCAAGGGTCTCTCTGGCTGCGGACTGCGGCACGTCACTTTTACAACAGAAGCCAGCAGGAATCCACTTTGTTTTTCACCAGATCTGTAGCCAGGTGGAAACAAGCGTTCAAACAGGGAGGCACAGAATTGCAGAAGAAGGTGCCTTTCAACGCACACTCTGCCCAGAATTTTTTTCTCGGCACACACACTGTGGCAATCACAAATCAACTTTACTTCCTCCCGGGATTCACTCATTTTAGCTGCCCAATTAAGCAGTGGGGAGAAAATGCCTCTTGTTGCTATTGTTCACTGACTTCGAGTCAGAAGCCCTTCCTGATCATCAAGAGTGGTTGGTAGATCCCAACCCACCTTCTACCCACCTATTGTACCCAGGATAATTTTGATACCTGGAGATCCTGTGGATCCCGGAAGCCCAGGTGGACCAAACTCTCCAGGAATTACGCATGGTAGGACTACACCTAAAGAAAGAAAACATGTTGGAACGTTACTTGGCTACTCATGGAGTAAGGGTCCTCTTTTATGCTTTAAAAGAGTAAGGAAACACTAGTAGGTACACGAACAACCTTCTAAGCCTGCCAAAGGAGAGTGCTTCCATGCCTTTGAGACTCTCTGCACCCTTTTGCAGACTGGGTGGCTCAATTTTGTCTATTTTACTAGGGTGGCAAGAGCTGGGCCCAGAGGTGTGGGCTGCATGGCTGGCACAGGCCAAATAATGCCCGAGACAGACCCTGGAGCTGATCAACGCCCAGTAAGGAAGGCAGCCACAGGAATGCCCATCCAGATGGTGAAATCTTGCAAGAACGCTTGGCTTTGGCCAATGCATTAGTGGAGGTCTGTTGAGAAGGAGACTGGACGGAATGCGGGATGCAACATGTGCCCTGGACATTTGGTTCCTATGACGTAGGACTATCGCATCATTCTGGCTCTGTGTGTTTGCACCGTTGGGTAGAGACTCTCCAGCATTTCCAGTTCACCTGCTGCATCACCCATTAACTCTAGACTGAGCCTGGAACTTTTGGCATGTGAAGCATTTGCTCTCCCATGGAGGCAAGTCTTCGCACTGGAGGGGGAATGATGTTTGATTTGCTCCTCAGGGGCAAGGAGCTTTTCCTGTGTTGAAGGGGATGACTGTGCAGACAAGTTTCAGCACTTCCATTCTAGGGCTGAGATTGCTCCATCACAGCCATTTGCCCATAATTTGATTTCCTGCTTCCTTCCAGCTTGTACACAGTGCATTGGAAGCTCCAGGGGTTTTAATCACACTTCGGATAATTCCAGGAAGTACTGAAGGTCAGTAACACATGGCGTGCTCTTTATTTCCACAAATTATTTTAAAAAATGCATTGTTCAATATAGATCTGATCATTCCAATGCAATGCTACACTTTGGTACCTTCCAGGCTCCCTGACCCTCTTGATCTGCATTTTTAAGATTTATTTTTAGAATCATAGAGGAGTAGAGTTGGAAGGGGCCATGAAGGCCATCGGGTTCAACCCACTGCTGTTCCAGGACACCAAGTTACACCATCCCGTTCAGAGGGCTGTCCAGTTTCCCCTTGAATGTCTCCAGTGTGGGAGAGCCACCACCTCTCTAGGCAGCTGGTTCCACTGTTGCATTGCTCTGTCAGCGAGGAAGCTTTTCCTGAAGTCCAGCCTGAATCTGGGTTGATGCAACTTCAGTGGAATATTCTGTGTCCTACACTCCGGCATCAGCAAGAAGAGATCTTGACCTTCCTCACTGGGACATCCTTTTAAAAATTACCTTTGCTTTGCTTTACATACACAAAACAAAGAAGAACGAACACCATCTCTGTTTGGGTTCAGAAGGGTGGCTTTCTGCCTTGTATACAGACTCTAGGGCAAACTACCTTGCTTTTTCTTTTTCCCTTGTGGGAAACAAGTGTTTTGTGACTGGCTGTGTCCACGGTGGCAGCCATTTTGTGAGAGCACTCATCCCAGTCTCTCAAAATCCCAAATTCCCACTGACCACCCCCCAACATTTGCCACATTTGCAGAGGCATGCAAAAATGCACTTTCTTCAGATCAGACAGTCCCCTTAATCTTCTGTCAAAAGTCCACATCAGGCTGATGGCCAAATTTTGCTGGCAGCATCAGGGTCACATTCCAACATGAGAAGCCACAGTTGGAGGCCTGTGATGGCAGCCATGGAAAGGCACGTCAACGCCTAGTCACACTGTAACCATGGCAATGTAAATCTTATGCCATTTGGCCACATGGATGGGGTTGGATCCAGGTGGACAAGTGGCCACGCTTTGCCTTCTGCCCTTTCAGCCTGTGACCCTCGTGCTCATCCAGAAAAAACGGACAATGCAAAAGCTGTGACTACAGAAGGCCCAACATCCAAAGGAAACCCTCATCAAGGTTTCTCAGCCGCTGTCAAGATAAATGGGACAAGCCCTTGCAAACCAACTGAATTTACAGAAATAAGAAGAAAACAACAGTTGATGCAAACAGTTGGAGCTTCTGGGGAGCTCGCCATGTTAGTCCTACTTAGCGGAGACCTATTGAAACAAATGGGGCTTAAGCTGGTCCAACTCAAGTTCCATCCATTTCAATGGGTTTATGCCATGTAGGATTACCATGTAGAGGGGGGCCGTTTCTCAGCCCCCTCCCCAGTGTAAACTCGCCCTCCCCAGCCAGTATAGCGCAATACCAAGATCTGGCCAAATGGCGAGTGACACAACGCAGCGGTCTCTGCAACTTTGTGCGAAGGAACAAATCATTTGTTCTCAGCCAAGGATCTGGGTTTGCCAGTGAAATCCAGACCCCTGCAAGTGCGACGTGGGGCATGCCCCATGCAATGGTCGTTGCTGTTCCAGAGTCATTTTAAGGCAAGCATGCAAGAAGAAAAGATGTGGAAACGCGTCGCAGAGGCTTAGGATGGAAGCGCCCATTTTGTGGGGTGCGGTGGCGGGTGAAGCACATGTAAGCAAGCTCCCTACTGCACACGTCCCCTCGTAGGACCAGCAAATGCAGCACCCCCCCCCCGTGTCACACGACATGCTTCTCCGTGTGTCTCGTGCCGTGATGGGAAGGCAGAGGGGTCTCCCATCACAAGAGAGGCAATGGCGGGCCTCGCTCTCACCTCCCAGAGGGTCTAAGACTCGATTACCAACCTTCTCACCGCAGCAGCAATCACCTATACCAGTTAAGCAAAGGAGGACAGGTTAAAACAAAGGCGGAGGCGGAGGGGAAAAGAACAACCCACAAGACTGGAAGCAGTCTGCTTCGAACCACAAATGCACCTATATTCACAGGCACTGCAGATGGGGGCATCCGTGTAGACCCGCAGCTCAAGAGGAAGTTCTGGGAGGCTGAATTTTAAGGGGTTTAATTCGTTAATTAATTATTTTATTTTAATTATTTTGAGGGCAACGTTTTGGAGGAAGTGGCTCCTGCCCTTTTGGGTGGGAGAGGAGAGCCTGTTTGGAAGAATGTTTGGCCTGTGAATATAAGTCATATTTTTAAAACACTGCAAGACGAAATTCATCTCTATGAACACAACATGAGCTATGTATAAGGCAGAAGTCATATGCAGAACAAGCAGCAGCGGCAGCAGCACAGAAAGGAACACGTTGCTGTTGTTAAAATTATTTGGAAAAGCTGGCGTTAGAACCTAGGAACAAGGAGAAGATTTGAGTTAACTTCCCACAGGGTGGCAAACCAATCCAGATGCGGAGGCTGAGCTCTTCAGAAGGAACATTTTCACTGTGGGCACAGGCCTTCGGGTCAAGGGTCAAACTCAGCCCTCCTGGGGGCCAAACTCGGCCTTCTGGGTTTCCCAGACAGCCACACCACGTTCTCCTGGCATGAATTGTTTGGTGTATTCCCAGCTTCTGTGAGCTGTTTTCCCCATTCCAAAAGGCTGAAGTGCTTCTCACATGGTTTATTTACCCACGGGAAGAGCTTCCAACTAAGCTTTGGTGGACTTTTGGCCACCACGGGAATGCTTCCCCAGAATGGAAGTCAAAGGAGTTAACTGGCCCTGATTTGCACACATGGGTGTGTTTTCCCCGTCTGGTAAAGACACAGCAACAGCAGCCAGGGCTTTGGGCACATGCCAAGGCCAGGACACCTGCGACGGACAGGTGCTGGCCACTGACCAGCTCCTATCTCCTCCTGCCATCCCCCCTCTGGTACTGTGCGCCCCACGTCTTCAAGGAAAGACAAGGCAGACAGCAGCTGCAGCTGCTACTCCTTGCCACTGGAACGTCCAAGCACCCCGGTGGGACCAGAGCAAAACCCAACTAGTCCAGCGTCTGCTCACACAACGGCCAACTAGATGCCTAGGGGAAGCCCTAAGCTGGGCATGAGTGCAACAGCCCCATCTTGGCCAAGCTGTCCGAGGACTGGTATCCACAGCCACACAACTCGCCAATCGTAACATCCTCCCCGTTGCCCCATGAATGCATCTGATCTCTTTTGAAAGCCCTGCCGGTCGATGGCCATCACTCCATCCTGGGAAGTGAATCCCGCAGTTCAACTCTGCTGTAGGGAGAAGCCCCACTTCTCATTTGTCCTGAACTTCCCAGTGTACCACTGCTGGACAAGTGAATGAACGGTGGCCGCCATGTCTAATGTTCCTTGGTTGTCTCCTGATAATACCTTGGGGAACTGCAGCTGCACGGTGAAACCTAGGGAACTTGGTAAGACCGAATGCAGAAACAAGTGAAAAGTTAAAAATCGAAGCTGGATTTTGCTTAAAACAATTGTTGTCCGACAAGGAAAAACACCGCTCCCCCAAAGAACATACCTGGAGGACCTGGAGGACCAGGCTGCCCTGACAACCCATCGATTCCGGGATCACCTGGAGGCCCACGAGCTCCATTTGGGCCTGGTAATGCAATGCCGGGAAAACCACTTGTTCCACGCTGACCCTTTGAACCAGGTAACCCCGGCAAGCCTTTCTCCCCTGGGAAGCCAAGTCCACCATCACCCTAAACACGGAGACAATATCTGATTTAAAACACGCACACAAGAGTGAAGACCAGAGATATGGCGAGATGCATATCTTGCGGCTTGGAAGATGAGTTTGCAGCAGTCGCCATGAGCCATGCAACCCCAAAACTTCCCTGGCTTGGATTCTAGTTCCAAAAAATGTCCCAACCAATTCCTCCAACCCAGCCAGACTACAAGGCTGAAAGGGACTCCCCTCGGATGGGAGACCCCCTAGGCTGCGATTATCACCACCCCACCTGCTCATCTTTTCATCGCCGCCCTTGCCTAAACCAGAAGCACAGGTGTTTTTCCAGCCTTTGCTTGATGTGCACCTCTGACACAGGGTCCCTGCAGATCCTTTCTCCAGGCGGCTGAACACCCACCGTCCTGAGAAGCCCACATTGCTAAGGCTTCCATCACGGCCGGGCTCTGGGCAGGGAGGCAATGTGGCACCGGCACAAAAGAAACGGCATGCAGTAGCCATGAGGCCTTCCAAGAGGTACGAACTTACCGGAGGACCAGGTGGACCTTGCAAACCGGGGGTGCCAGCCCTACCGGGAATTCCTGGCACACCTGAAGGGCCCCTGGGGCCCATGTCCCCTGGATCTCCTCGCGCTCCTCTGCCGGAGGCTATCAATGGTTCTCCTTTCGCTCCCTTGAGGCCTATAAGTCCAGGCTGACCAAACGAGCCCTAGGAGGCAAACACACATAGGGTCAAGCAGCAGCCTCGACTGTTTTGCCTAAGCAGGATCCCCTATGACCCTACAGGCTTCCCGGGATAGATCCACCCTCTTCCCTGCCACAGAGACCCCTTTCCCCACCCCAATCCCCCTCCCCAATCCTTTGGTGGCTTGCCAGCATCTGTGCTGGGATTCCCCACATCTTAAAAGGCTGAAATGCCCCTCTTGCATTACCAGCATCAACAGCATTAGGATAAACTATGCCGGCATTTTGGCCAGTCCTTTCTGCTTTGGGTCCTGGCCACCCCCTGGAAAATACCCCCCCACACACACACACACCAACTGAAACAATGCAGCCCTTGGGCTAAAATAATTTCAGTGCTCTAAAAGAAATACGTGGCTTCCTAGCAAATCACATTTGAAGAATACACGAGAGGAGTACACAAGTGCAGAAAATGATCCTTTGGGAACTTTTTCTAGTGTAAGCTGCATGCATTTAAATTATGTCAGAATTCTGCATGAAACTATTTGTTTTAGAACTGGCTGATTGGGATCAACAGTGGCGTCTACATTTCTGGACTCTCCTGGGGGGTTATGGGGTCTGGCAATGCCTACACCTCAGGATGTGGTACTGTACCACAGCCAGCTTGCAAAAGCCACTCCGGTTCCCAGAGAACAAGCTCTGCTCTTGGGCCACCACAGCGGTGCATGGCACATCACACATGGGGTTGTGCCACAGGGCTGGACTGGACTCTTCCTCCCAGCTCTGAGAGCATGAGAGATGCAGCACTCGCTCCGCAGCCTCCAGGACCTGCCAGCCTATTTTGCCCAAAGCCATCGCAACTCTACTGATCGCCCTCATATAGAACTCTTCCTCCAGGATTCTCTCCAGGTAGCAAGCGCAGCCTCTTCTCCACACAATCCACACAACAAGCGCATGAAAGAGGCAGGGCTGAGAGGGGATTCCAGCCACTTGACCTTCGCAGAGTCCCTCCCTTTTGCTTCAGCGCCCTCTGGAGGTTTCTTTCTGATTCCATAACCTAATCCAGGTCTCTGATTTAATTACCACTCCAACCTGGCTTTCTAATCAATGCAGTTAGGGACTCAGTTGCTGGATAAGAACCTCTCAGAAGCGCTGCCCACCCTGCTTCCAGGTTCCAGAGCACCCTCAAGCAAGGTTGCCGGTGTTCGGCCCCAGAATCAATGCATGGAGAAATGTACTCCTGACTTACTGGTGGGCCTGGTGGTCCAGGTGTACTGCTTCCTGGCTCTCCCAAAGGTCCTCTCAGGCCTAGTTCTCCTGGTCTTCCAGGTAGGCCAGGCTCTCCTGGCTCCCCTTTCAAGCCAACCCTGACGATTCCTCCGTCACAAGCACAATCGCCTCCTTCGCCTAAGAAAAGAGCAGGCACGTCAACATCAAGCCAAAACGAGGGCCGTCTTCATGAAACCACTGCTCGGCGAGCAGACCACAGCTGGCGCCTCAGAACATCCAACGGGCAAAGCACCATCTGGAGCTGCCCAGTGCCTGCTGTTGCTCTACCTGTGAAGCGGCCTCTGGGGCGACACAGCAGGCACAGCTTTCTCTGGTTCTCCAGGTCAGGCTTCCCACCAAATCATGGTTAGCATCAAGCCAGCTTTGCACTACTGAACAGGGAAAACACACACACACACACACACACACACACACGTGCAGGCAGAAAACTTCCAGTCTCTAATGAGATCCATAGCAAGCAAGTGGACGCACAGGTTGCTTCCCCTCTTTGTTCAACAGTCAGGAAGGTTCTTGCCTTTGTTCACCCAGAAAACGCCTCTACCAAAGTTCAGCTTACCTTTGTACCCTTTTGGACCAAAGATCCCTGGTGGCCCTCTCGGTCCAGGGACTCCTGGTTCTCCGGGTTCTCCACTAAAGATTGCTCCTGCTGTATCTATGGTCCCTACAGATTCATAATAAGAAAGGAAAAAGAAAAGAATCCCAAATGCATTTGTATTCTTGGGGTGAAGTGGAATCATGGCCATTAATGGCAAAGCATACAATATTTCATTAGGATGGTGGGAATTCCATCTTTTCTTCAAAGCAAGCATGCAGAACTAGGGATCTGTGAAGAATCTAAATGGTGGGTGAAAATCTGATGGGGTTTCATGATCCAGCCTCCAACTTCCAGCTCAACAGCCCTGAAATGGCACCAGTTGGGATGATGCATGTTCAGCCAGTGTGTGGACCTCTTTTTCTAAGATGGACACCCACACCCAGGGTACTGAACTTCCCAATCTGGCTGAGTCCCATTTTGGAGATACTCTCGGGGTGGTAGATGGAACCAAAGGCCTAAAAGACAAGGTTAAAATTGTAATGCTGCTCTCCAGCATATTGCAGCTTAAAGCTCTTCCCATCATTAACAACAAATTTTACCTTTCCAGAATGGGAAAACAACTGCACAATCTTGGGAAACCTCCAGTCTGTGTTTGGAGGAAAGGAGGTGGGGCTGGAGGAGGAAGATGGGTGGTGACAGCACCCAGACAGGAAACCCAGAAGTGCTGCATTTGGCCTAAATTTCCTCATTCCAGCTTTGAGGCCTGGGAGTAGAGGATGCAGAATAATGCAAAGCGAAGCCAGGGCAAAAGCTGAATTAGGTCTTGTACTTACGTGATGGGCCAGGTAAGCCTGGAGCCCCTGGCGAACCTGGAGCCCCATCTTTGCCAGGTTGGCCAGGGAATCCAAATGTTGCTTGACCAGGGTCTCCTCGGTCACCTTTAAGTCCTGGGACACCTGGGAATCCCATCAGACCTGTGGGACCTGGGGAAGGCAGACATACCTTACCTTGCCAGTCACTATGTCAAATCATTTTAATTAACTGATTGATTATATTACCACCCCGCCATTTCCCTGCCATAATTCTTCTCCTCTCCATTTTGTTCTCACAGGTGGTTCAGGCTGAGAGTCGGTGACCGGCCCAAAGTCACCCAGTGCATTTCATGGCTGGGAGGAGACTAGAACCCAGATCTCCTGGGCCCCCCTCCAGCGTTTGAACCACTGTGCCACACTGGCTCTCAGGATCACTAATGTTCTTATTTTTTTAATCGCAAAACAATTAAGGGGGAAATAAATTGCCCTTTGCAGCACATGCCGGGCATGCCGGGTAGGTTAGCATCAAACAATGCCTCTTCGAAATTGGGAAAGGGGGAATGGGAGGGATTATCAGCTAAAACACGACAAAGCAGAGGACGAAATGGACACAGAACCCATGCAGGGAAGTCAGCTGCAGGCCTGCGCTGAACTGGTGGCCAGCTGGTCAGGCCGAGACGGGTCTTCACAGCAGGGGGGTCCAGCACGTGCTCCCAGCTGTCCTGCCAGAGGCAAGTCTGCCTGAAAATACCGCTTCATGAAGCCCTGAACTGGCTTTGCAGAGCTAGTGTCCTTCCGGAGTTGCTCCTGAGCCCTTTCTGCAGTAAAGGTAAAGGTTTCCCCTTGGCGTGACGTCCAGTCATGCCTGGCTCCAGGGCATGGTGCTCATCTCCGTTTCCTGGCCGAGGGAGCCAGCGTTCGTCCGCAGACAGTCCCCGTGGTCATGTGGCCGGCATGACTAAACACCGAAGTGCACGGAACGCTGTGACCTGCCCACCGAAGTGGCACCTTTTCATCTACCCGCATTTGCATGCTTTCGAACTGCACGGTGGGCAGGAGCTGGGATGGAGCAACGGGAACTCACCCCATGTGCAGATTCCAACCGGCGACCTTTCAATCCAGCAGCACAGTGGTTTAAACCACGGCGCCATCTGCAGTCCCAAAATAGTAATTGGCCCGTACTGTGCAGATTGCCTCTGCAGTGGAGGCAATGTAATCATTCTTTGGTGATTCATGTGTCGTTAATTCCTATTCCCCCCTTGCCTAAAATGGCACTCTGGGCAGCTAACAATAATGAAGTACAGGCTCAAAGGATCTCTTCTCTAAAACACAGTCCAAAAAGGGATCCATCAAAACACAAAACCCAACCATAGAAGAAATAGAACTGCACCTTCAGACATTTGGTTTTGGTTTTACTTCTGGTCCTTCTGCCATTTTCCTCCAAGAGAATTTTATCCATGTGTGCATAATGTACCGTGCACACATAAAACCTACTTTCAGTTGGCATCTCTAGTGCTTATGAGAGAACACCCATGGAAGACTATAGCCCATGTTTGAGAGATCAGGCACCACTAAATGATCTTTCAAGGCAATGTTTCTTAGCTGACTTACTTGGAAAGGGTGAAGGAATTCCTGGTCGGCCGGCAAGACCTGGTGAGCCAACACTGCCTTTTTCACCTCTGGAGCCAGGGATTCCTGGTGTCCCCGGCTCCCCAGGAGGACCTAGTAATTAAAAAAAAAGCAGAAAGGAAGACTTATTTGTTATTTGATTCATTTAAAGTGGTTTGATGAAGGGCAGCAGCTTCTTTCGGGGAGGCATACAAGAGGAAAACAATACAAGACCCAGCAGCCCACAAGACAGGCAAGCAAGACAGTGCATGGCATCAATGCGCCATCCCAATGCTTCATCAGAACATCTCTGAGCCCAGCTGCCACTATGACGCAGCCTTCTCCAGCTACTACAACTGCAATTGTGTGGGACTACAGCTCCCATCATCTCCAGCCAGCTTGGCCAATGGGAATGCTGGCTAAGATTCATGGAAGTTCTGCTCCCACACCTGTGAGAAAGCACCAGGTTGTGGAAGACTGTTGCTTACACACGAGAGGGGAGGGAGATGAAAACGTAGAACATATTCAGAGAAAGTGCAGGTGTTGGGGGACAGAGTTGTGGGGAGAAATATAGGGTGCAGCAGGGAGTAGGCAACTCTTTGGGCCTGTGGCCAGTGAGCAATTTGAGGGACTGTCCCTGGTACCACTGCAAAAACTCCGTGTGATGTGTGCTAGTAACGAAGGAAAATGTCCCGAAGGCCGAGAACAAGGCACTTGGCTCGGAAACAAGTCCAGCTGTGGGTAAGCGGATGGAGCAGGGCAACCACTGGGCTACAGCCAGCCCTAGGGAGCGATGGCTTCACCCTAAATTGCTCCCTTTGAAAAGTGCAGGTGTCATCGTGCGCACTGGAGCATCACTGTATTTTATCATCTGGGAGCTCCCTTATCAGCGTCCAGCCCGCTGCACAGAGACGCTTCCTTTCCAAGGCGCACACAAGCTCCCGTGCTGCTCCTGGGATTTACTGCATGGAGAGCAGGCAGCTTCTCCAGGACAAGTTCGGCAAGCGGGAGCAAGTGATGCATTTCCCTTCGCCTAAGTGGAACTTCCCCCCGTGCCAAGTCTCTGCCGGAAACAGCCCTTTCCTGAGGCGACATTAGCAGCAGAAGGGAAAGACAGAGGGTGGAGTGACTGTCTTGCGCCAAGCGGGTCACACTCTTTGTCATGCGGCTAGCGACCTTGCGCAGGCCTAAAAAAATCCGCCGTGGGCCCTCCAAAATAGATGGGAATCCTGTGGTTGTTTATCTAGACTATTTTCATCCCTCTCCTCAGCCAAGCAGGCCCCTGAGCAGCTGAACCTCAGATTCGAAAAGACGTAACACGTGAGGGGAAGTGGTTGAAGAGGGCAGAGGAAAAAATGAATCAGCCCTTGAGCAGGGCTGCTGGGACAGCCCTGCTTTCCCTCTTGTCTTCTGCAGCTCTGCTCTCTGCTGCTTGCAGTCTCCCCTGCATTCCTATCTGCCCACCCCTGACCAAGACCTCCCTCGTCTGTCTAGTTTGGCCTACAGAGTGCTGCTCCTCAAGCCCATGTGCCTCATCAGATGTGCCTGGGGGCCACACCTGCCCCTCCGGTATCCCCTCAGTGCCCCATTCCTTCCCTGCACCCCCCTCTTCTCTGGCCACCAATCATTTGGGGCTTCCTTGACTTTGGCTCCGCCCACTGTCACTGAAATTCAATCCAGCCCCTGGGCTGAAAAGAGATTCCACTCACCACAGCGGGATAACAAAACATGCGGCTTCTGGCCATGCATGGATCTTGGCCAGCCCGTCTATCGGAGGTTTTGCCCATTCCCCCCACCACCAGCTCGCCTGCCAGCTCTGATAGGCAGCAACGAAGAGACAGGATGAGTGTGCCATGTAATGCTCGCTTCTTACAAATATGGCGGAGCATGGCCCACGGCCCTCTGGGTACCACGAAATCATTGCATGAAACTGAGCGACGGGCATGATCTAGCTTGACTGCCTCCATGGCAACGCCACCTAGAGACAGGCCTGCACCAAGCGCAAGGACGCACCTGAGATCACGGCACCTTCTCTGTCAATCACTATTGTAGGACCTGGTGGGCCGATAGCACCAAAGTCACCCTGGAAGAGGAAACACAAGCAGGGTCCATATAAACCATTCCTGCTTAATCCAGAGGACAACTCAGCGTTCAATGCTATGCACATTAAGACAGAAAACGCCCCATGACTTCTGCCATGTTGGGAGCTGTAGGGCTGTTCTCTGACCAACCGTGCTTAGGATTTTGTCCTTAGACCATCTTCTCATTAAGGTATGAGGTCTGTGTTTGGACTATGGTCCTAGATTGCAGGTCCAATCACAGATCTCCCTCATCTGTTTAGTTAGGCCTTTGGAAACTCCACAGGGGGGAATTTGCTTTGATTTTCTTGTAGAACTTCAAGTCTGTAGGATGCAAGAAAATCAAATAAATTCCCTGCACTGAGAAAATAAGCATGTCAGGGAGCAAACCAGGACAGAACCTATCACCTTGAAAAGCTAGATTAATTGTGCGGGGAATGTCTTGGGTGGAGGGGCATTCTATCAAGTAAACCACACTGAAGTGCAGCCCAGGTACATCATTATCATGCCAGTGAAAACCAGACCTTGTCCATATCTCATCTGATCCCAATTTCTGCTCTCATGAATACAGCAAGAAATGTTAGAACCAGAGTAAAATTCTTTCCCTGTGCAAATTCTGGGCCAGGACAGGGAGAAGCAGCGGGCTGGGAAAGGGTTATACAAGCTTGGCTTCTTCATTCCATATCATGACTTACTTAAGTTGCTTTTAGGGGTATCTAAGCTTCTTTGAACAAGTTTGTGTTCATGATGTCTAAGGTTCTGTACTTATGGGGAGTATTTTGGAACTCTGATTACCTTAGCAGGTGGTTTAACCAAGATCAGGAGATGGAGAGAGCAACAGCTTTCAGGGATGCAACTCCCTGGAGGTTTAGCACTTGGCGGAGAAATCGTTGCACGCTGGATTCTTATAAGCAACACTCACAGAAATGGCATGGCCATGATGAAAAACCATTTCCTATATGGAGCGAGATAATCTAATGCCGGGATGGACAACTTCTACTTCTCCAGATGTTTTGACCTACAGCTCCCACTGGGACCATGCAACATAGCCAATGAGGGAAGGGGACGATGGGAGTTGCAGGGCAAACCATCTGGAAGGCCAGGAGTTGCTAACCCTTGTTTCAAATAAATCAATCTCTCCTTGTTTTGGAAATGCCTGCTACTTTTGTTAGCAAATGTCTACCCACCCTTCCGTAAACAAACAAATCTCCCCTGGCAGCTTGTGATACATAAAGCTCTAGAAACACAGCAAGATGACAGGGGCTGATTGCGCAAGCTTTGACCAAAAGGTTTAAACAAGAGCCTTCGCAGCCAGCTCTGCTTTCTGGAGCAGTGGCCGTTTCTCAGCTTGAGACTCGTTCTGCGTGCCTGATTGGAAATCGATCTGGACATTTAAAAGTGCAACCTGCAACAAAATGTTGCAGCCAGTCCATCAGCCATTCTCACTTCCCAGAAGACTCGCTTCCATTCTCCCTCTTTCCCTAACAAAGTCAGCATTCGTGTCAGCACTAGTAGCACGGCCACGGTACCTTTCCTCCAGGTGATCCAGGCTGTCCAGGAAATCCTCTGTCTCCTTCCAGGCCCTGTTTGACAATGAAATAATAATGAAAATGGTCATTGTGATGGGAGCGACCGTTCTCCCTTGGCATGCAGAGAATTTTATGCTCTTTAGCTCGCCCTGCATCTCACTGAAGGAAATTCTCAGTGAAACATTTCCAGGGGCACTCAATGCATCCCCAGATAGGCAGATCCTCCCAGTCTTGGCCTTTAGTCCTTGAACTAGTGGCCATGTTTGCACAACACTGCAAGCAGGATCCACCAAGGTCCTGGGTTCCTGGAAAGACGTTTATGTTGCTCGCTGCAGCCTTTTTGCTCCTCCTGGAAGTGCAAGCAGCTAAGCAAACCAGAATGGCTGGACTGGCAGGACACCGGACACAGGATCTTGGCTATCTGCCCCCCTTGCAAGACAGAATCATAAACAAGGGTTTATTGGTTCTGGCTTGATTTGGATGACATGCTCAAACAAACTGCAGGGTTTGTTTAGACTGGGAAGCACAACTCCTTCGGCCGCATCCGGTGCTGAGGGGCCACCTGTGCGCATGGCCTGACATGGATGCTTGCCACACGCACATGCGCATACGAGGCTAGAGAAGGGCTTGGGCAGAAGGGCAGGGCCTCCGTGCATCTATGTGGAGGCCCTGGGTGCCATCTGCCCTGGCGTCTGGGGGTGCTGGGAACTGCAGCCTGATGCACCTGAGGGCAACAGATGGGAGAGGGCTTCCTTCCTCCGTGTAGGAAATCAAGACCTGCCCCAACAGCAGATCTGTAAACGCCCGTCAAAAAAGGAAGGCCAGCCTTGCTCTATTCCAAAGGGGCAAGACCAGGATGGGCTGTTCACAGCTGAGAGGCTGATGCCACCATGAAATTTACAGGCTTGGTCAGAATCCTTGGGCCTGAGCCCTGTTCTGACCCTCCTTGGGTGCTAATCTGGGTTTCCCCGGGTGACCCCACCCCTTCCTCTCAGCCACTGACAGTTTGGTGGTTTTTCCCCATTTCCTCCCTTCCAAAAGTTTGACATACCTCTCCTGAGACTGGCACAAGAGCTTTCCTTGAAAACAGGCTGGGCAAAATATGCTTCCCCCCCCCCCCCTTTGCCTTTAGCTGAGCGTGTTGGTGAAGTGCACCTTTTCGGCCCTTGTGCCTCCAGCTCCCTCCCCCTCAAATGCACCCGCAAGAGCGTTCCCAAAAGGAATTCCGTGCTCAGCCCCCCACCCCGGATTCAACGGGGGCAGTGGGATTTCATGCACGGCATACCTCTCTGCCAGGGCTCCCATCCGTGCCCTTCAGTCCTGGGTCTCCCTAAGAAGAAAGGAAGCAAAAGACATTCCCCATCAGCTGGAAAGGACTCAAGGACTGCCAGTGGGCAAAGGCGATCCTCTGTTCTGGATGAAGGTCAAAAGTGTCCCAGGGCAGCAGATGGCAAAACCCAAGCCAACCCCCAAATGGCTGTTCAGCTCCTGAAAAACCATTCCCTGAATTGCTGGAAATAATGGTGCAGCAACCTTTCGACTAGCGAACGGTGCAATTCCGTGCGAGTTTCGACTCTCCTGGTGAGAGGTGCAGCCTTTTTTCCTGTCTAGACTTGCATGGAATTGCATCTTAAGGAGCACACCATCCAAGAAGGAGAAAAAGCTTGGATCGTAAGCCAATTTAAGGTTATTCCTGGAAGCAACGGCTCCAGTCTCCTGTTCTTTCTGGGGTTGCTCCTGCAAAACTATGTGAGATGGACTCTGTGGAAGCACCTTGGAGCTTAGGGTATGGCAACTTAAACAAGTTCATGGAAGGCCATCTTCCCACCCCCCTGACTTCTCCCTCACCCATAGCCCCTTGCATTTCACCCCACATTGCTCAGAGTCCCCCTTTTGGAGGGTCCACAGGTGGCTGAGAAGTGGGGAGGAGAAGGGAGGCAGTGTCCCAAATCTTCCCTTCCGTGAATTTTCTGCACTTCTTTTAGGATCCAGGCCAACTACTGTATTTAAGGAGCCAGTGGGGGAAGTTCGTATTGTTTTGGCATTAAACAAATACACAAAGGAAGACATCCTCATGGAATAACTGCTGGTGTTGTAGGTCAGCCAACTTGACATTTCAAATATATACAATCTGTTCGGCTTATAATAATTCTCTTTGTTTGTTTGTTTGTTTGTTTATTTAAAAGCATGGCTATTGGAGGCAGCTGCTAACATCTGGCCACTACCACAGGGGTAGAGAAGGGGCAGTATTTGTCTTTGAATGAGAGCTTAATGGCATGCTATTGAATTACTATGAGAAGTGAATTTCAGTTTCTTGAAACTGCCATTTCTCTAAATTTTGCAAGGAAGTCCTCCAATAAAATCTTCACTCATTCATTTGCTAGAGTTTTGTTCTGCCCCTTTTCTGCTAGGAACACAACGCAGCTTGCATCAGGCTCCTCCTCATCTCCATTTTCCTTCACAACAGCCCTGTGAGGTAGGTTAGGCAAGAGTCTGTAACTGGCCCAAAGTCACCCAGGGAGCATCATGTTTGTGTGGGGACTGGAACCTGGATCTCCCCAGTGCCAATCCAGCACTCTAAGCTGTATGCTTTGGGAAAATAGATTTTTAAAAAGCGTCCTTTCTGCAGAATGGTATGCCATTTCACATGGAAAAAATGCATTTGTATTTTCAAACAAATGTTTCAAGAAAAACTACTTGAAGTTCAAGATGAACTCAACTCAAGACAGGAGAAAATTTATTTTTTGTTATTAACATGCACTGCCTTATCTGCTAAAAAGACATGAAGGAGATGGACAATTTAAAACTATAAAACATTGCAACAATAAAAACCAGATAATTAAAAGCTTCATATTTCAAAGGGCTGCATGGGAAGTTGTGTCTTTATGCTCTTTCTAAAGACCAAGAGAGTGGATTCTAACTGCATTTCCTAAGGGAATGCTTTCCATAGTTTGGGGTGGCACAGAAAAAATTCCCAACCAGTGGATCTTGCAGGGTATGATGCCCTCAGAAAAGCCTCTCTGGAAGGTCTTAGTGGCCAGGCTGCCTCATAGGAAGGTAAGTAGTCCCTTAGATGGTCCAGTCTCATGCTGGTTGTCCATTGCTTCCCAGGCAAAATTCAAGGCCCTAGTCCTTATGGTCAAATTCCTATAGGACTTTGAAAAAGAAAACAGAGATGTCTAGTGTATTGCCACTTACCCTGGGTCCTGGAAGGCCTGGTACACCCTTTTCTCCTTTCTCCACAAAAGCATCAATGCCCTGAGTGGGGTGGGTGGGAGAGAACAAAGACAACATGGATTAACTCTCACTCTCAGTGTTGGAACAAAAACAACACAAAGCCAAGAAGCAAACAGCACGTGGTCTCTTATACATGGAGCCCAGGAGAAACAAGGGATGGAATGAGGGCCAGATTGGGACATGTATTTCCACAGGGAAGAACCGAGGGGAGACTCCTGGTGGTCTGATGGCTTGATTTGTAGCCTGAAATTCATAGAATCATAGAATAGTAGAGTTGGAAGGGGCCATGAAGGCCATCGGGTCCAACCCCCTGCTGTTGCAGGACACCAGTTCGCACCATCCCACTCAGATGACCATCCAGCCTTGCTTTGAATGTCTCCAGTGTGGGAGAGCCCACCACCTCTCCAGGCAGCTGGTTCCACTGTTACATTGCTCTGAGAGTGAGGAAGCGTTTCCTGATGTCCAGCCTGAATCTGGGTCGTTGCAATTTGAACTGATTATTCTGTGTCCTACACTCTGGCATCAGCAAGAAGAGATCTTGACCTTCCTCTTTGTGACAGCCTTTGAGGTACTTCTAGAGGGATATCATGTCCCCCCTCAGTCTTCTCTTCTCCAGGCTGAACATGCCCAGGCCTCTCAGCCTCTCCTCATAGGGTGAAACCACAGTCAAACCACAGTTTCCCATTTCAGATACAACAGCAAACTGTTCTCACGAACCCTGGAAATTGTCCATTACAGTGCACAAGAAAAGAGGATGAAGCCATGAGCACTCCACTTGACTTCAGACCAACAAACACAGGAGGCATGTGTCCTATTTTACGGAGGTCATTCCTCTATTTGAGGCGGTCCACTCAGTCCATGTGGAAGTGCCTTCAGGGCCAAGGGATCCAAGGAGTGCTGGATCGGTCCCACATTCTGTTCACACACTGGGTTGCTCACTGACTTCTTATGCAGTTAGGAAGCTGTGTGTTCGTGGAACATTTCCGGGCCCGTACAAGTGACTCTTGCACACGTGCAACTCTTGCACTCTTTTTGATATAAAAAGGACGCATGTGCAAAAATGCACCTTTCCAGGTTCTCAAACACAGGTCACGCTTCAAACATCAATATCCCCAATACAATGATCCTGGCGAGGAACCTTTTCCTTGGAAGAAAACCAAAAACAGAGACAGACGGCAACTCCGAGACAGTTTGTAAATAATTTGACCCATGGTTGTAAAGTTTCCTAAAATATTTATTTCCTGGACTCTAAAGAAAGGCATGACGTTTACAAACGTCTGGGATAACTCCATTGCCACCACCCAAGAAGTGAGGCGGTGTGTGCATGTGTGTTGGCGTGAAGCGGGGGAGCACCAGCTGTCTCACTGGACTTGCGCCAACGGTAAGGTAAGCCCTCTCCATCTTTGACCTCCCGATCGAGCCGAAAGCTCAGTGTATATTAAAACAATTGATTTAAATACAGGAAAAGAGTGTTTGAAAAGTGTGGGAAAGACAAAAAAAGAAAATGAGATGTAAGAGAAAGCAAGCCATAGTTCTGCCCTGTGGTTTTGCAAAGCATTTGTACTGATCTTTAAACGAGACATGACATCAAGGTGGGCAGCCCTTGGGGTAGAAATGTTCAGACACTTAGCCCAGCTCTGGAACATGTTGACCATGACAAAGTGCTGTCCCGAGAGCTGCCTTGTTCCTAGGAAGTCTCCCAGGTCACTCACAGCTGCCACATTGCTCCACGAAAGCTGTTGGTTTCCAAAGCAAAAGAAACAGCAGAAAGGGGACCAACCCCCTTCTGCCATCTTGGATTTAAAAGTGAAACCTCCTCAAAAGGGATTCACCCTTTTTCCATGTACCTAAAGATGGATTTAATCTTTGGGGGACATTTTCGCCCAGTCCTCAAGAAATGCTGAGGAAAAATGTATTACTAAACGAGTTTTATACAATTATACACATTCCACCCTTTTCTAGTGCCCCCTCTCTGAGCAACCGAGCTGCCCACAAACTTCCAGAGAGTTGTGCACAGGAGTGGTGGCCAAGCCTCGTTCATTTTAGAAACCTCAACTTGTATCACGGGGACCAGAAGAGGAACTTACCGGAGGACCAGGGAACCCCGGGGGACCAGGAAGTCCTCTGGGGCCAGGAATGCCCTGAAAAAAACAAATCAACAGGATTGCCATGAAAGATCTGTGGGCCCAAGGGAAGTGTTCCCATTCCCACAGGACAGCTTCTCTGAGCATCATATTTCAGAGGCAGGCTTTTCACATTCTTGCAGACCCTGGCTTATTTCCATGTCAATCTGTGCTTGAAATTCAGGTGACCAATGTCTTAATTATGGGGTAGTTACAAATAGATCTCACCCACCAATGCACAAATTATGGTTGGCACTCCATTAAAAAAATCTCCATTCAGGGGAGGGGAAAATTCAGGCTGTCCTTTACTAGAATGTCAAGATCCACCAGCTGGAGTTCTGGTGATCCAGTCAGCAACGCCTCTTCAAAGGTTAGAATTATCACCTGCACTTTCTATCGATACTTCTATTGAAAATATGGTTGACATATGTAAAAGTTCATGAATGACTGTAAAATGATACACCTTCAGTCGATCAGAATGTATTTGGTCAACTAGGCTGACTGATTCACTAAAAATTGCAGATTCTACTTCTATCAGAGAAAAAATACACTTTATATCTGAACCTTTAAATTGTGGTTAAACTTAAAAATGGTTTGTTGAAATGAGCTAGGTACTTAAATGATGGCTGAACCTGGCTTTTTTCAATAAACCAGTTATTTAAGACTACCATGTCTTGGGTTTGAACAACACTACAAAATATGGTGAATCAAGAACAGAAGCAAAGGTTTCTGGACTCTTGCAACCTTGCCCAGACTTCTTAAATTACTGCCTTGCGTTATTTCCAAAACATTCTGAATTTGCTCAAGCAAATGAGCTGAGACAGTCCAATTTAATCGTTGATCATTATTTATAGTAACACTGAAATTCACTTTAACCTACATTTTAATTATTACTCATGCACAGAGCTTGGAAATATGCACAAAACATTGTAAAAATGACCCCAAACAGAAAAAAATAAAGAGCTATCATTCGTCTGCCCTTTCTGTTCTTTTAAGAGATTACATCTTCCACATGGGTTAACACAGTTCCACAATTCAGAGATTCAATTTGGAAAAGCTTGGTATGCCAACATTTCCCAAGTAATGATTAAAATCTTGGGCAGTCCTTTGACTGCCTCTTGCCTGGGTGAGCTCCAATTTTCAGAGATAAACAAAAATAAAGAGATATGAGCCAAGAACCTTGGGTCACCTTGGGAAAAATATAAGATGGGAAATCATTGATAAGCTTTCTGCAAATCAGTCCTCGAATGAGTTAATGGTTTACAGAGACAAATTAATAGCCAACACACAAGCGTCAACTGGGCTCGATAGTCTCTTTTCCTCATGCTTCTTGAAATGGAGAGTAATTACTTTTTAAGAGAGCTGAAAATATTTTAAATCACTGTAGAGGTATGGATGCACTGTTATCTTTTCTTCTGGGAAACAGAAGGTCAATAAAATGTTTGTAGTCTTGGTGTACGTTGTACCAGTTAATACGGAGACTGTGCCAAAATTCACTGATCTTATAAGTATCTGAGCTAGAAGCTGAACCATAGATTTCCCAGTTAATCAGCTTGTTTCGATATCAGTTAGAACCAGCAGCCAACGTTCAGAGGCAGAAGGAAGTCATCTTATCTAAGGGCCAGAAAAATGCCCATGTCTTTTTTGAACTTAGGTTGTGCACAACCTCCAACCCAAGGCTTTAACCTCAGCACCTCCAGGGATGTCCAAACATCCTCTCACGGCCAAATTCCCTTCCTCAGCAATCCATGTAGATGTTGATCTTTCCCCACAAGCAGCAGCAGGAAAATCCAATCTGCACAAAGATGGCTGACACGGGTTGGAGGAAAAACTCTCGATCCCCTTCCACCAGCAGCCATTCCAGCAAGCTGAGCTGAGTGAGATGAGAGGGAAAGTAGGACCACTCCATGGGTCTCCCTCTTGAAAGCTCCTTCTTCCTCGGCTTCTCCCCCACCAGCCATTCCAGTAGGCTAGGCTGAGGGAGATGAGAGGACCACATGGGGTCATTCCACTAGTCCTTCTAAGAGACTTCTCCCTCTTTCCTCCTCATTCCCCTTTTCCTTGTATGTTGTGTCTTTTTAGACTGCAAGTTGCTCTAACAGCCTTTCAAGGAAAGTATCCTTCAAATAAACAAACAAATGGAGTACCCAGCAGAAAACCATTCCTTGAAACATGCGTTCTAGGCACCCTGAAGACTTGTGGCTTGACTTGGCTTCTACCACACCGGAAAGCATGTATATCACCTGGCTGAAAAACCATGAGACCATCTGTTGTAGGATTGTTCTCTGATTTGACAGCAGTTTGCATCAAACAATTAAACACGCACACACTTAGCCTCTGAGAGCAACTGGATTGTACCACAGACCTTTGCTCCTTGCTGTCCTTTGGGAAATCCCAGGAATTCCAATATCCCGGTGGAGGGTGGAGGGCCGGGAGGGCCTGGAAGTCCAACATCTCCCTAACGGAGAAAACAAAAGTAAGGTATTTTTGAGCTGGCATAGTATCAAAATGCCCCTATTCTCAGGAGGCCATCCAATGTATGATCTCTGCAGTAAAACCATGTTCTGGAGATCTTCAAGCTGAAGAAAGCCAATGTAGTATAGTGTTCAGCTTGGACCAAGACCCAGGAGACCTGGGTTCAAGTCCCCGCTTGGCCATGGCTCATCTCACAGGGTTGTTGCAAGGATTATAGGAAGAGGAGGAGCACATAAACTGGAGTGAGCAGACGGTAGGTCTCGAGATGTTTTCAGCATCAACTTCCAGCCTGTAGGACCACTGACAAAGCTGGCAGGAGCTTTTGGAAACTGAATACTAAAACTTCTGGAGACCTGACTTTTGACCATAACATTAAAATAGAAATGAATCCGCTTGGAAAACCCAGAAGCTGGCTTGGCAAAGTCAGCTGGAGAGTACAAAAAGGGTCTTCATAAGCACAGTACCACGAAAACCAAAACTCTCGTAGATGTACAACTGCTTTTCTTTAAGTGTTTTTAAAGAGGGCCCTAGTCAGCCATTCAGAAAGGATTCGTATCAACTCATAAGGAAGACTATTCTATCTCTGCCCTTCAGCATCCTGAAGGCCTGGTTGTGGATTTCTGAGGGTTCTTGACTAAAGAGAAAGCTGCCATGGATGCACAAGGCCATCCTCTTTTGAAGGCCACCCTCTGTGAGTCGGGAGCAACAAACAAGGCAGAGGAAAGGGCTGGAGCACTCCTTCCCTTTGTGCATTGATTTACACCCTTTTTGGAATGCCCGAGTAGGGTTTGCTGCAAGGAGACCAATACGCAAGGGACTTCCGTTCGATTTCTGTTTCAGCTATGCTGAAGCCCCTTTCGGGCTCTTTCTGAGTGGGCGCGGTCAGAGGAAAGGAGTGCTCCAACGCCTCTGAGTCGCATCTCTCACCCTTCCCATTTGAGGTCCACGCACATGACCAAGTGGGCAGGAAGGCCAGCCTCCAAGCTCTTGAGCGCAGGCAGCCGAGCAGGCCAGGACGCAGGTCAGGTCTGAAGCGCCGTCTCTGTGAGCCGCACCATGCTGGTGCGCTAACAAGAAACAGGCCGTGGAAGCTACTGAGGTAGTTGCAAAATATTAAACGCTTTCCCGTGAACACTCTCCCGACAGCTGCAGAAAGCTGGGGAAGCGAGAGGCCGGCTAGGAGCACTCCAGGCTGCCTCCGGGATCTGCCGCAGGGCAGTTCGGGGCATGTCTATGCAAGGGGAAGTCCTGCGGAGTGCAAAGGGCTCACTCCAAGGAAAGCGGGCACAGCAGGGGTGCAGAAATGCTGGACTGGGAAGCCTAGACTGGCCACCGGGGGCTTCAACAGCCCCTCCAGGGTTTCTCCAATGGCCTTTACCTGGCAGCACCCTCTTCCGCCTGCCATCTGCTTGGCAGTTGTGAACTACTGCCTAATCTGGGGATTGGTTTCTGAGTAAGGCCAGAGGACATTTTGGAGAAAGGCAAAAGGCAACACACACAACAGGACAGCGTCGTCCGCAGCTCTTTTTGGGCATGCATGGATTTTGGCAGTGCTTCAGGAATTCTCAGGTGCCTTTCACTCGGCTGTTCACTCCCTGATCGTATCTGAATGCACATCTGAGCAAATCCCCACATAGCTAAGCAGGTAAATAAATAGATCCACAAGTCTGCAGAATTTGCATGACTTGGAGAAAGTGGGCCTTCTCTGGAACCCACAGGTCAGGTTTATAGCTCATTAATTTATTTATTTCATTAAGCCCCACCATCTTCCTCCTGCAAGGAATCCAAGGAAGTTTACATAGTTCTCCTTTGCTCCATTTTAGCCACACAACAACAACCCTGAGCGGTAGGTTAGGGTGAGGTAAGAGCCTGGCCCAAAGTTACTCAATGAGCTTCATGGCTGAATGGGGACTTGAACCCGAATCTCCAGAGTCCTAGTCTGCTCTCCTGGCTCTTCATTTAATCCATGGAAGATTTCTCCAACATCCACTGCTGGCAAAAAAGCTTGAAGAGCTTTTTGTCAAATGTGGGGGGAAATGAGACAAAAACTGAGGAACCACTAAAATAAGAGTGGCTAGGGAAAAGATGGGGGCACAGAAATGGGCATGGTCCCCTGGGACATTGCAAAGGACTGGTTTCGGACACGAGGTTGGCTGGATTCCACTCCCAGGTCTGAGGGTCTCCCTCTTGCCCAGGGCCTTGGATGGACCCGCAGACAACTTGGTCCATCCTCAGAATGAGGAAATGCCTGTGCTGTTGACACAATTGCTCCCGTACGCCTTCTCTCTCCCCAGCTAAATGGGAGCCCTGATTCTTTGGGCAGCTGAAATGGCAGGCACAAGCATTAGCATGACGGCAGGAGGGAATTCCCAACAGTGCTGACAATTGCAAAGCCAAAATAAACTGGATTTACTTTTGCTCCTTTTTCTCCCTGGAAAACGAGGCCGCTGTTACCCTGTTTTTCAAACAGAAAACAAAAGCACCAAATAAGTATAAGTAAACGTTACAAAACCTCTTTTTAAATTTTGTCTCCTTCACAAAGATGCAGGTGAACAAAACAGTAACCACAAGATCACCTCGATGCAAAGAAAGAATATGGTCTTATATTGTCATTAAACTGTTCGGGAACTTATTAACCTGAACTGTCTTCTCATGAAATCTTCACCATGTCAAAACCTGGAAGGCTTGGGTACTGTTACTGAATGCATTCAGACACCATGATAAACCAGTGTTTTCAATAATGGAAATAAACCTGGCCTCCCATAAGGGTCATGAGCTCCCCACTCCCCCTACAAATTTAGACGTTTGCTCTTCCTTTCCCTTCTGTCATCCGCACATCTGCTTCTCATGCTATCTGAACAGAACCATGATCAGCTATCCAAGCCTTCCAAGCTTCAACAGAGCAATGCCATTTTAGAACTGAGATGCTCCCTGTCTGGAAAACAAACTATTCAGATACAAACAGTGAAATGCTTTTCTCCCCAAGAAAGAAACTATCTGTTTAGCAGCAGATGAAAGCTGATTACCAGCTCTAAGTCCATTTCCCACTGAAATATTTTGAAAACATATCATTATACTGTGAAGGAAGAAAAGATGAGATAGCATCTGTTCTCGGGGGTATTCCGAGACTCTTACCTGGGACTCAGGAAAAATTCCTCTCAATAATTAGGCCCCACCACTAATTTCAAAGGTGTGTTTTTATCTCAAAATGGTGCATCAGATGCTTCAATTTATTGCCGTGTTTTCAGCGCTCAAGATCTAATTCTCACTGATGGGTTGCTACCAATTCCAGGACACTATCCAGTCCCTATGATCATGATAATGTTTAAAGTAGTTTCAAACAAACAAACAAAATATGCTTTACAATAACCTATGCATAACATAGTTATCTTTAATGCAAAGGATTCTTTGAAATGGTTGCCTGAAAGAAAGCAAAGTGGAATATTTAATGGGATGAGAACATTTAAGGAAGAGCATGGAGGAAGGAATCGAACATACTTACCACAGGACCTGCTGGCCCGGGTGGACCTGGTAGTCCCTAAGCATGAACAGAACAATATAAATTTTATGTTGCAACTTACGGCAGTTTAAATAAGGTGCAGACCCAACAAGAGGAAAAGTGAATTACCAACAGTAGGCATAAAAATTAAATGCAATTATCCAAAAATTCACAACAGTCTATAGTACAGTATATTGAAGAAGTAAATGTAGCCACTGCAAAGGAATAAAGGAAGAGATTGGATGAGGCATACTCAGATAATTCCCTGGGCATTTCTCCCTTTCTATTTCCTGGGAAGGGAGAAGGCCTCTTTCTTCCCCTTCCCATCCAGCACCTTTATGAATGCTAGGGGGGAACTGGCCCTCGGACCCCTGCAAGGGGTCACTACCCCATCACTAGCCTTGCCCATGCAGCATAGCTGTAGATATTTATAACCACACATGAACAGAGTGGGAAGCCGAATTCTTGCTCTCCTACGAGCACAGGGGAGCAATCCATCTGCGAGAAAAGAAACCATGCATTGGCTGTGTGAAGCCACTCAAGACTCCAAGGCATGGAGAACTACTTAGCTTCTGCCTGTGTGTGCAGGATCTTAGCCTGAAAGACGAGGAGCTGCTTTACCTCTGGTAGAGAAGGGAACTAGCTTTAATTCTGGGCCTGATTGCCCATGAATTACCCTTGTGAGTTTCCTCAGAGAAACTTGGCCAACATTACGGACTGTTACGAAAAAATAAACATCAAAGCAACTAATATGAGCAGCTACATTATAAGCTACACAACAGCTGAAAACGATGCCATTTGCATCCGAATGGCTGTCATGGCAAACCTCAAACATTCACAGTATAATTCATGACAAGAGGAGGAAACGGAACGGGCAATTTACCGGAAAGCCAGGAAGCCCAACTGGGCCAGAAGGACCCTGAAGACCTGGGAACCCTTTCGGGCCCTGTAAAAAGAAACATTTGGGTCTACATTATGGGACTGAATTTATTATATCATGGCTGTTTGGAGGCCTTTTTCATTTATTACTGCAGACCTTTAATACAACAATCAGCAGCAAAACAGATTTGTAAACTGAATAGTAACCCAAGCAAAGCTGCATTCTTCACCCCTTTGAGATGCCTACCAGCCTAATAAGGTTCCTACTTGCTCACGTTTTATGTTCCAACAGAGGGAGAGAAAAGTGTGCTGGTTTGACACATGACTTAAAAAGATGCACGAAACCTCAGGTCTTGGCTTCAGCGTTCACATTCACCCAGGTTTCAGAATCTGGCATAATGGAGCATTAAACCAGAAACACTGTGCCCATGTGGCACCTCCTCACCCCTTTTTCCCTTTGTCCACTAGTTTCAGCACTTCTGATGAGGTTTGTCCAAACCATCGTTTCCCAGTGCATTGGAAGCTGGAATTTTGCTAACCAAAAGATGAAAGGAATTCAGTACATACTGAACAATTGTATGTACTGAATTAGCCTGGTGCAGATGGGTAAGAATTTATTTTCAGCTCATTTTTGTTTACGGATATATCAAAAGTCACATATTTGAGAAAGAAAGAACTGGAGAGTTGAAAGAATTCAAATGTGGGTGAAATGAAATTGATGAATTCATCCATTTCTAGCCCTTTTATGAGTGTTCACGGTGCCATGCTAACCGCCGGCACACGTAGAGACCATGTCACCAGCCTTCACAAAATCAGAAGCTGTGGCACAACAGGGTGTGTGTGAATTTGGCCCTGCACCATACAAGTCCTTGGTGTGCAGGAGGTCAATAAACCTTTGCACATTTTCAAAGGAATAATAACCTAAATTTGGGAAAGCGAGTGACCTGTACACACATGCCTGGCCTTTTTCATTCATTAACAGTTGGACAAAAATGATTAAACACATATAAATGTTCCAAATAAATAAAAACACTTTAAAAAGAAACTCCAGTGCCATGAAAAGAAACTTACAGGAGCACCATCGATTCCTGGAAGGCCTCTTTCTCCCTAAAATAAAAACAATCACCTTTGATGAAGCAGAAATTAGATTTGCAAGCAAACAGAATGTTATTATCTGAAAGTAAATAGATGAACAACAGTGCCAGCAATATGATATTTATTTAATGGCTTCTTGCCATTAAACAAAACACATTATTGCATTGTATAGATACGGCTTCTGCTGTATTTCATTCTTTCTCTGAAAAGACTTACTGTCATTCCTTTTAAAGATCCCTGGGCATAAACAGGCTCTCCCTTGGCACCTTTGGCGCCCGGACGACCCTACATGCAAAATGTAAAAACAAAAGCAAAATTCATTCCTTAGCATGCTTGTTTCTCGTAAAAAGAATAAAAACAGGGTGGGGGAGACACACATGCATTCTGAACCAAGGACCAATTTAACAGTTCTGAAGTCAGTGTCAAAAACCAAGCGGATATAAATAGAAGCTTTCTGTCATTTAGGAATCCCCAAATATTCTACCTATCCTGCCCAAGTTGGGGCCTCCCAGTTGTTCTGGGCTACAACTCTCATGGTTTGTGAGGTTTATTAGGGCTGTTGCGAGGTAAATCCAAAACACCCAGAGAGAACCAGCTTGGAAAAGGTACTTTGCCGTACTTTGTCCCCTCACGTTACCACTGCCCTCCATGGGATCCCATTTTGAGTGGCAAATGCAGAATGCAGGGTGGGCATCACTTGGTTAAGCCCCCCCCCCCTCCAGTGACCATTTGTGCAAATCCGCAGCTGCTGCCCCTTCTTGCAATCAGGATCGCTGCCTCTCTGTACCTGGGATCCTGGCAAAATCACCACGACAAGCTCAGCAGCCATTTCAGCTGTGGCGGCGATTTTGTGGGCCAGAGAGAACGCAAACCCTTGGTCCTGCTCACCACGTGGCTGGAATAGTTTTGCAAGCTGCCCTGGAACGAGTCCCACATTGTTCTCGCTGTGGGTGTTTGCAGCTGAGGCAACTGCCCAGCTACATTCAGAGAGTCCAGAAGGTCCAAGCCTCCCATGCTTTCCCACTGCTTCTTCCACCATTTTCTTACCAATGCAAAATGCATTTAGGAAGAAGAGGAGGAGGAGGAGCAGAAATGGAATTGTCACACATGGCCTCCTGTCTGGAAGCACCACCTGGCAGCATGCAGGTGAGGGAATCTTGCGACTGCAGAATGAAGGTGCTGGTATAAGAACATGCAGAAATACAAAGCTTGCTTTTGGTAAACTTAGCCATTACACTGCTGAGTTTGAGGAGCAACTAGCTGGGCCAAAGTCTGACGCATCACCTGCTACCTGAGAGCTTAACTCAGAGGTGGACAACTTGCGGCTCTTCAGATGCTTGGAAGTTCGAGGCCAACAAATTCTGGAACACGAATGTATTTGTTTCAGTTTGATTGGCATTTACCCAGTTTGCAACTCCGGGATCAAACATAGACTAGACATGACCTGTGGTCAAAGTCAGTACATGTTCGAGGTTGCGGCATAACTGGCAAACCACCAAAAATGGGTTTGACTGCATGTGTACATTTGAATAAGGCACATGGAAAAATGCACGAGGGGAGGAGAAGGCCTTTATTTCAAAGATGGGTTAAAACTGATGCGTAGACCTACAAAAATACCCTTCGATTTTTATGCAAAAGAAAAAAACGTAACTTGCCATCTGATACGAGTTAGAACAAGCTTTGAGGTGGAATTCGGCGAGTTCAGGTTGTGTGGGTTTGCAAACTGTTGATGTGGAGAGCCACAAATGCACTTCCCACCCAGTTTTCTGGGATTTATGTGGAGAGGTTCTGCTGGATCACTAGAAAGGGAAAGAACTGGACCCCCTCACTCTTTCTTGGCCACCCTGCTCCTGGAAAGCTGCCTAATTCCACAATATTTTTCCAAGTAACCTGGCACTGCCTGTTCTGACTGCCAGTTGCTTGCCAGCATTCCAGGCTGAGATCTCTTTGCCCACCCCTTCCATTTTCAGCTGGCAGAATTGCCCGTCTCAAGAAATACCGGTAAGCCTGGCCCGCCAGGACGTCCATCCAATCCTGGGATGCCGGGGCTCCCAGTCGTGCCGTTACAACCATCCAGGCCAGGAAGGCCCCTTGGTCCCGGTTGGCCAGGGTGACCCTGTGCAATGGAAGAAGAGAAAAGCACCCATTAAAGTCAGCATTTGAGGTCAACAGGTTATTTCAAAAAGCCAGGTGTCCTGTGTTGTATTTAGATGAAGGAACTGGATACAGAGACCTCTGCTGAGTGAGTGGAGCCCATGGGGCTGCAACCAGCATTTCTTGGAGCCACAATACCCAGAAAGAGGCTACCCCAGGGGAATTTTAGTGACACAACAGGTTGCAAATGTTCCTAATAAATACAAATATGTAAGCAGAGATACCAAAAATTGATGCAGAAAGCTTAGAAATGCACTCAGACTCGCACTCTTAAACAGGTTGGTTCCAGGATTTTGCTCTCTAATGTGTTGTATTAACATCCTTTTTAATGCATTTTATTCCTGGTTTTATTGTGCTGCTTCTATTTTATGCCTCTCCGAGAGGTCTGACTCTGGGAAAACCATCACCCTTTGCATTATCACCAAAGATTATGGTTCAAACATTCTCGTCAAGCTCTGAGGATTTCTATATGGAACAAAAGGACAAGAGTGGCAGATAAAAACTTACAAGTGCTCAAGAGCAGATGACTCCTGCAAGTAGATCACTGGACTCTAATATGCATATAGAAGTCTTATTGCAAACATTTGCATATTCGTGGAATTCAGGAAGACTCAGGAAATGGTGCCTAAAAGCTATGAGCAATTACCCCCTCTAACCTGCAAGAGGATCCAACAATGACAACGCACATGCGTGAGGCTGATAGGAAAGGCACTGCATTTTAAATCCTCGGATACTTAATGTGTTATTTCTTTAAAATCATCCACTCACCTCTTCAGGAATGTGGACTTTAGTACTTTTCACTCTAATATCACACATGCACATTGTAATTGTTGGATCTTTGGGTGAGCGTCTTTAAGGCAGAATGCGTGTAAATCTCATCCCATGAATTCCGTGGATACACTTCTGCATAAAATGCATAGAAGATGAGTCTAGTGTTTTATTTTAGAAGTGGAAATGGCGTTGAAGAGCTTACTCTGAAAAGAGGCTTTTGACAGTAGATGGCAGCAGAAATAGCCAGAAGAGGGAGAGCTAATACTGTCCTCTCCAAGGAGGCAATATCGACCACCACTTGGGCTCAGCGGAACATTTCAATTTTGGAAGACATGAAGGAAGGTTGTGTTCATTCACCATCACACAAAAAGCCATGCCAAACCCTCGGGAACAAAGCAAGGAGCAGAAATTCCCAAGTGGGGAATTGCCCCCAGTACACAATGACTTTTTGAGGGGCTGCCGTCCCCAAGGAAGACGGTCCTAACCCCATAAGACAGGGATGCTGAATCTGAGGCATGGGACCCAAATCTGGCCCTACCAGAGTCCCCCAGGTACCCTCTCCCCATTTCCCAACCAGTCATGCTTCAGTGGCTCCCTGGATTTTGTGCTATTTCCCCCCACCCACTCGAAAAACCCGAGGTGTCTTTCCTAAGGTTTAATTACTGGCAGTCAGAGTTTAAGGCTAAGATTTTGGGGCTTTGGATGCTCCCACTTTTTGCCTTTGCTCCACCCCTTTGGGTCTTTGGCTCCACCCATTCCTGGAAGGCAGCCCCCCCTTTCTATGCCCCCAAAGTTCTCCAGAATGGAATTTCGTCCACAGGCTGGAAGAGATTCAACACCTCTGGAATAAATTAGCCAGTAAAACCACAAGACCCTGAATGTCTGGGGAGGGGGCGGGCAGAGGAATGCCACTGCCGGATCGTGTCCCTCTTTGATACCCTTCATGGCTCACTTGAGAACGGGTGTCAGGGCCAAGCTAGGGTTTGCTCTGGGAAATTCAACAGTTTTTAAAAATTGATTGTCCGCTTCCTTGCTTGTTTGTCTAATGAACGGTCTTCTTGGCTGTAAGGAAGTCCTACCCAATCCTTCTCCTCTCCATCTTCTCCTCCTGTGAACTAGGCGAGGCTGAGTGTCTGTGACTCACCCAAAGTCACCACTAACTTTTTGGCCGAGTGGGGACAGGAACCTGGACCTCTCGAGTCCCGGTCCAACCCTCCTACCTGTGTGCCACTCTGGCTCTGTTTCTGGAGCAGGTGCACCTGACATATTGCAGGCGGAAGCAGCCTAGCCTCTCCCTCCAGGTGTTTTGCCCTGTAACTCCCACAGTCCCGGATCGTTGTCTATGCTGCCGTGGACTTAAGAGAACGGCAGTCCAAAACATCTGGAAGGCTCCAGCTGGCAGCCCTGCACAGAAAGCAGGACTCACCTCAGCTGGCCTCCCGCACCTTCCAGCGAGAGCCGTGGGCTGCCATTTCTCTTCCCACAATGTTCCACGGTGAACAGTTTCTGCATCTGAGTCACTGCACAGATGCTTGGCTGCACATTCATTCACATGTCCGAATTCCTAAGCTCCCACAAGCGGTTGGGAACACTTCCTCCAGAAGGCATGCTGTTGTTCCAGATGTGCAGTGAATGCATGGTATTCACTACTGCCAGTTAATCTCACATATTAGTATAGGAAGCCTATTGCCATCTATGCGGCATTCGAGCCAAGCTGGCCAAAACACCAGGACAGATTAACGGCTGGAATATCAGGAGGAACTGCATATTTCCCCAGCTCTTTGCATATACCCTCACCTGCTTCTTCTCTTTTCAAAGTTAATCTTTTATAGAGGGGAACTGCAAACAAAAAATGTAATCCCTGCGCTCACTTGCTTGCCTTTGTTTTTACAGTACCGTATCTAGTGTCATGCCAGCAGTAATAAAATGTAAGCACTGGGTCGTGATGATTCAGAGCAAACAGATGCAATTCTCCATACACACATTTAGATGTATAGCCAGAAGGCTCTCTCTCCTGGGGAGAAGAAGATTTGGTGGAAATGGGAATTGCATGTGTTCACAGCTACGGGCCAGCAACTCCTACTCCGTGCCAGCAACTGGACAACACTATGGATGTTTATGAGATGATTACCAGAGTGTAAACATCCCCCAGACAGCTTTCTTAAACCTGAGATGCACTTTCCAGACTCAGCATTTGCTTTGGGCTCAAGTGATCCTGGGTGTTGCCCCAGGTGAGTTCGTGACTTACGCTCACCTAACTCTTGCTCACACATTCCTGCATTCAGCAGAAGGTTGCTGAATGGACTCTCCCTCAGAAGGGAATTCCACCTGGAGCGTTAAAAAAATCCCCTGCACACAGGAAACAAGCATAGCCGGCATCTTTCTGATGGACAGATCTTCTATGCGGTGGCGGTGGGGGCGAAGACGGGAGTTCAAAAATGTCATTCCCTCCCAACCAGTCTCCCTGTCTTTCCTTGTTTTTATTATTAAGATATTTTAAAACTAATCTTGTTTTTACTCAAGAGGGTGGCATGCTGCACAGCCAGCCAGTTCCATTCTTTAATTCTTTAGTTGGGTTGAAAAGAAATATGTAGATGTAGATATTCTTTAACTGGATTGAAAAGACACACACACACACACACACACACACAGAGAGAGAGAGAGAGAGAGAGAGAGAGAGAGAGAGAGAGAGAGAGAGAGAGCGAGCGAGCTTCCAATACTGCCTTCTCTACTGAAGTTGTTGGGCAAGATAATTTTCTTTTAGCCTCTGCAGTTTGCTTCTGTGCAGTGAATGTTTTGCAACTGGCCGTGTCCGTCCTGGCAGTCAATAATCATTGTGCTGATTTCAAGGTGTCTGCAGACTGACTGCTTTATACTTGGCTCCAGAATTTTCCCAGGGATTGATGTCAGTCTGATGGGTCTGTAGTTCCCAAGTCCATCTTTTTTCCCTTTCGTGAAGATGGGGACAAGATTAGCCCTTCCCTAGCCCTCCATCATTTATCAAAGATAAGAGGCAGTGGTTCTATTAGAGGTTTTCTGCCACTTCTGCCAAAATGCCTGCACTACTGAGGAGAGCTTCGCCTGGAGCAGTGATTTCTGTCTGTAACACAGCACTTCAGAAAGATCTGCTTGCCAACTTGGAGAGACTGAAGCTGCAATCCCAAGCACACGTTCCCCGGAGCAAGACCCTTTAAAGTCAATGGGAGCCCTGCTTCTGAGCTGATTCCATTGATGACTTCTCGGGGAATGCTCACAACACACAGAAGACAGAAGGAAAATCGATGCAACCAAGGGCGAATGCAACCCCAGTTTAATAAGCAGCTTCATATATTAGTGAGTGCCGGATTCTGCTTTTAAAACAGCAGGAGGCTTTTGTTGGCTTTCTTCTTTTTTATGATGGAACCGATAGAAGCTGATCTGACGGGAGTGTTTCTATTAAGCAAGTCTTGTATATTCAGCTGAAATGGTATAAATTGTCCGTGCTCTGTTTCCAAACTCATGAACTTACCACCATGGGAAAAACTAAACAGATGCAACGGGGTGAGGGATCGTTAAGGGCCATTCAGCCAGCACATCTGTGGTTCACAGCACATAAACATCAGCGGCCTAACCTCTTCCCATCCCCCAGAGATCTTTCCTGATATTGCTCCTTCATCGTTGCTGCTAGCAGTAGGAAAATAAGGCAGGGGTTGGTCCCACTCCAGGACCTGTGCCACACCAAACGGACGAGGCTCTGCCACCTTCAGGGGCCATGGAGGAAGCAGCAAAGGGCCACCCATGGCCCCAAAGATTCAGTTTGGTGCCCAACTGCTTTGGATTTCTCAACCCCTTTGGATCAGGTTGTCCTGAGCGGGTCCCTTCCCTCCTTTCCTTCTGTTCCTCAAACTCAAGATGAACCTTTCCAGTGCAGTTCTTTTACTAAAATATCACAGATGACAGAAAAGTATGAGCTCTAAAACCTTCTACTAAAGTTGAGGGAGAAGCATCTGCCTATGTACAAAGTCGAAGGGGAAAGCTTCCCCTTTGTCCCTCCCTTTCAGTAAAACTTCTGGGGTTAGCTCTTGGTGCTTGGGGGCAGGAACACCAGAGACAGTCTAACCGGGACAGCGCATGACCCTCTGGAGAAGCCCGGAGGGCTGGATCCTGCCACAGGACTGAGGTTCAACACACCTGCCTTAGGTGGAGATGCTAGGATCAGGTGTGAAACCTCCCTCAGCTATGGCCCTTCTCCTATCTGAACCAGTCAAAGAGCACTGCGGACCATTTGGATACCTAGGCCAGAATTATTTATTTGGGTACTCCTTGGGCCGTTGGGAATACCGAACACCATCCTGAAGGGAAGAGGTAGAGTTGAATGCCAACAAACTGTGCTTATTCTGCGATTAAAAAACTACTACTGTACAGCAATATTTCCACACATACGCATAAGTATTTGCAACTCGGGGACTTACAGGAACGCCGTATATTCCTTGGAATCCAGGAACTCCTATTGGGCCCTAGAAGGACAAGAGGAGCACAGCTGAGGTACCTTGCTATCCACAGACATCATTAGCAAGATAAGGTAGAACAGTCGGGCCTGGTGGGCTGGAGGACATCGTCAACAAAATGTCCTCCAATATATATATAAATAACAATATATATTCTTTCAGGCACGCGCCATCCTGTTATAGGGAGAGGCTATCGGTTGGTATTTGGCTTACCTTATCGCCCTTCAGTCCCGCTGCACCTGGAACTCCTGCAGTCCCTTTCTCCCCCTTCTGTCCTCTCACGCCCTCAGGTCCGGTAAATCCTGGAGCACCCATCTGTCCTGGGTTTCCAATTGGTCCTGGCCGACCCTAAGAAGGAAGAATACATCATCTTTCAAAATGTTGCCAAAGCCACCCTCCAAATCGCCCTCAAATTCACTACGAGAAACTACCACATTCTGTGCAGGCAAATAGAATAGTTCAAAGGAAGGTAGCAAAGGTGGACAGACGGGTGGAAAAGAAGTTCTACCAAGAAAGGTCCAAGGACTGGCGCATGTTCAGCCTGCTCAAAAAATGACCGAAGGGCAAAGGGGCATGAGAGAATCCTGACGAATGTGACAGAGAAGAGGGCAAGGACTTGTTCCCAGCTGCCGCGGAGTTCAGGACTGGATTGAATGCACTAAAAGTGCAGGAGAGCCGATTTTGGTTAGATAGTAGGAGAATCCCCTTGAAGGTTCAATCATGGATCCAGCTACCTGGGCAGCTTTCCCCCACTGCCACCTGTTTCCTTCCAGAAGTTTGGGCCGACCACTCCCAGAATTCTTATTGGTCATGTTGGTTGGGGCTGATGGGAGGTGAAGTTCAAACCATCTGGAGGACACCCAGTTGTGGAAGGCTGCCCTAAGGGGCTAGGTGCACACTCCAGCCCTGGACATCTCAGGAGGTGATTTGTGGGTTTGTGTGAAGTTCTCAGCGGACTTTCTTCACGGAGCAGCGGGTGGACTGGATGACTCACAAGACCCCTGCAAGACTACGCTGTGACAAAAAGGAAGAGAGCCACACTTTCTAGCACCAACAGGATTAATTTGTAAATTTAAAAAGTAGAAGGGACACAGCTCCTTAGAGAGTCCCTGGAAAGGTGTCTGGGGGTACCTCATGAGCTGAAGAGCTTCCCTACCCCAGCAAGAACCCTGGCAAGATGCCCCCTCCACCCATTAGGTTCAGCATCTAGAATTACCTAATTATCCCCGATTATTGGAAGGGATATAGTAGGATATGACAACAGAGAGATACTGAGGGTGAGAAGGTCAGGGTAGAACTGGACAATAAGGGGAAGGACCCTGTGCAGCAAAACAGGAGATTCAAAGGTAAGACACAAAAACAGAATGTATGGATATCCAGTTTTGGGGATAACTCACAAAAATCCCAAGATGAGCCCATCTCCCCCGGAATCCCTGAAAGTCTTCTATTGTTCAGTTGGTTGAGGCTTCTTTTCAGCTCTTTGTAATTTCATTTTAAACTTTGGTCAGCTTATGTAAGATGAATGTGATAAGCAGATGTTACTGCCTAAGTGGCAGGAAACTGGAATTCATGACCCTGAGCTTCCTTTGGTGCTAAGATTCTGAATACCATATAACAATGCAATCCTGATGGGCCAGGTGGATCTGCATGCAATCCAGTGGAGGAGCAAGACCTTAAACCCCAGAGCCAAAGTTTAAGTCCTGCAGGGTGAGGGCAAATAAGTCCAGAAGCAAATTCTGTGCTATTCTGGCAGTCAAGGCAGTGCTAGGATTTAACTGAGTTTCGAAGGCAAAACGGCTTATGCTCAGCTAGTGTTAGTTTTTAATCCCTTTTATGGCAGAAGCCAGAGTCAGGGCTGTCTGACCTCTCCCACTCTACCCCATAAGAGAATTAAGTCCGGGGTCTAAAACTAACCGCAGTACTGGTGTAATCTGTTTCCAGATCTGATCACCAGTAACTGGTGGTTCAGCACAGTAACAGAGCTCCGTGGTGAGGGAATTAAGCATGAAGATTCTGTTTTCTAATCCTCCCACTACCCTGGGAAAAAAGAAAGATGACTCAATCATCTTATTACTTTATACAGGCCATCTTAATTGCACTTCAGGATTTAGCGCAGCACCCTGGGCTGCCTGCAGAAGCCCAGCAAAATGGTGCTTAATCTCCCCGGTAATGTTGTTAAACCATGATAATCTAATTCTTATGAATTTCATTTCAATCCGTTTGAAGTCTGTGAGGATGGCTGGCAAGAATATTTTCCAAACACTAGAGAAACAGTTGCCTCTAAACCATTGTCAACAAAATTGCCTTTCAGCCAAGCAAGCAGCCTTGCTTTCTGCACAATTAATTACCTTTCTTGCAATGGGAAACCCCCCAAAGTCAGGCCAAAGGAGAGGAAAGGGTTGCTTGCTCAATGGAAAGCGAACCCAGAAGGATAAAGAAGCCTTATCTAGCTACTGAACAGCTTTCCGTAACGACTCTGTAGTTGCATATTAGATTTGAGCATGAGGCATTCCACCTGGTTTCACCAACACTTGCAATGCAGTTATGTCACGCGGCTGCAGGGAATGATGGGAGGCGTAGATGATCGCCTCTGATGAGCACCAGGGTGGGAAAGGCTGATCTACCCTCTCCAAAGCGATGGAAAATGAAAAGCCCACTGTTTCAACATCGTTCGGAAGAGCCGGCAAATAGAAATGCACACCGCAGGTGTTATGTCTGGCTCCGTGGCAAATACATGCAGCATGCAGCTGTTCGGGAGGTGGAAGGACTGGTTTTCTTTGCTTTTCAACTGCAGAACATTCTCCCTGTTCCACAGAAGCTAACAGGGAAAGAATTTTGCTCTGCCTGCTCGCACAGAATTTATCTGGCTTGCAGAAGCACTTTAAAATCATGGAATAGTAGCTGGAGGGGTAACGACGAATGTGCGGTAGTGGCATAGGGGGTGGAGAACAGTGTGGGTCTCCCTACACTTCAGGCCACACTGCTAGAATAAAGGGGGGGGGGTGGAAGCTCCTGGTGGGCAGGGACCTGTCACCTTTAGAATGGCCCAGGAACACTGGTGGGAATAGATACAGAATGCCCAGACGCGGGGCCTGCAAAAATGCTGCTTAGGAGCAGAATTAAGGGCTGATGAGCATTTGTGCCTGCCAAAAATCCCGGGTTCAAACCCTGGCATCACCAGGTACCCTGGGAGAATCTGAAAAATGCTGGAAAACTGCTGCCAGGGAGACATCCCAAGTCAAATGGATCAGAGACTACGCTTGGTGAATAGCAGCTTTTTACATTGATGTTCCAGCCCACTGAACACTCCGATATTATGTAAGTACCACGCTTGGTCTGCAATCCTTTCCACTGGAACTAAATGCATGGATTCGAAGGCAAAAGCGTTGGGCTATATCAAAGGCCCATTTAACCTAAACTCTCATGACTGTTCTAACGACAATGGTTCTCATTAAAGCTGATTTTGATTGCTTTGAATGGTTTGTGCCCAGCATGTCCTGATGTGGCCAGAGAAGGATTTGCATGTTCTGCAAGGGTCCACTTTTACACAAATGTTTAATGTTGCCTATTCTTTTTAGCATTGTACTGAACAGCATTCTTGTATCAATTCCGTTTTTGTTTGTTTGCATTTCAATAAGTGAAGCACAACTTTTTATTCAACCAGTGTCAATGCACATTATGGAAACTCAACTTGGAAGAGGGTTGTAGTGTTGTTGTTTCCTACTTTTGTTATATTTGATTCCTTTTGCCTGTCAGAACTGCTTGTTCACAAGAAACAAAGCTCCTAATTCTTTTTCAGTTTGTTTGTTGCATTTTTGTTCTTGTTTACAATACTTTTTGTCCAACTCATAACTGGATGCTTTAATATTCCCAAGTGATCACTGGATATTCAGAGTGAGAATAACAAAGATTAATATATCATCTCCGAGATTACTGCTATAAATGAATATCAACAGCACAATAAATGGTCCATTGGCAGAACATTTTCCCCACCCAAGTCTAAAGTGTTTCCAGATGGGGTAATAGTGTGAGGTCAAGCTAGAAATCTTGCAGTCACTGGTTTGAATTGGATCTCACCTCCACCGCAAACATACTAGGTGGCCTGGAGCAAGCTACTCTCTTGGTCTCAGACCCAAATCTGCAGTCTGGGGAGCAACGTCCTGGATATGTACTGGGTACCCACTTGCCAGGGTGTGAGGCACAAGCACCGAGCCTTTTCCTGCTTGAGGACCAAATGCTGACAGGCAGGGCCAAAATGCTGAGAGGCAGGGCCAAAAGCAGAAATTCCAGCATGTTGCAGCTTAACACTCTTCCTCTCCGGAAAATTCAGGAATGGCTTAGAAACTGCCCAGGTGAGGAGGACAGGAAGGCAGCTGATTTGAGGTAGGTGTGTTCTCCACAAGGGACGCAGGACTTGAATCCCCCACTCAAGCACACACAAGAGTTGCAACTTGAAAACTGTTGAGGATATCTGAATAAATCTGGTTTCATTCCAGCCTGGATCCCCCTCCTTTTTTATAATGCACAGAACTTTAAGGGGTGCTCAGACAAGGTTGTCTCCCATTCGTAACCCTCCTGTGTTTTTCCAAAGCGTCTTCCGACTTTTCTCTTATCAGAAGCAATCGCTGATCAATACCCCAGGTTTGATGTGTCTTTTCCTATACAGAAAACACTGTGCAAATTCACTCCCAAGGAGATCAAATGGCCTCAGTGAGTCTCACCCAGCTCACCTTGGCTGCAGCATGGAGCAGCTCCTGATTTGCCAAGCAGCGCCATGCTCCCTGAGTGCACCTGCTTATTTCTCCAGGAAGCTCCATCCTAACAGTGCATGTGCACTGGAGGGGATATTCCTTCCTTGCATGCGGGCCAGTTTGTGGTTTGGGGGCTTAGTCAAGGCTGCGTGTCCATTTTTCCTCTGCCACTGTTGCTATGCATCCCTTCTACTATGGACTTGTATGCCCTTCAGTGGCATCTGCTTCTCACTCCCCTGTGGTCTGGGCCCTTGGGAAGTGCCCAAGCAGGCTGACTTTAGATTCCAGCCAGTGTGTGTGTGTGTGTGTGTGTGTGTGTGTGTGTGTGTGGAGGGAGGGAGATTTGTATGTGTAGTGAAGCAAGCGGGGGTGTGGGGGGGGGGACATTTTCTCCATCTGAGCCAAATTTGGAAATGCACCCAATGGAGTGTTCCTGAGCACTGGAAAACTTCAGCAACCAGCATCACAAGACATAAAACTACGAAATCTGCAGATGATTTATCTCTGTACATGCAGATAGAGAAACAACATCTAGATTTATTTCAATTTCGCAAAAAACAAAGTCGGCTCTGCTCAAACAAAACAAACTGTTAAGTT